TATATATATATATATATATATATATATATATATATATATATCTGATGCGACCTCTTCTGTCTTTTCCCTTGAAAGCGAATCCTGCAGGCGACCATCACCTCGGCCCGGCATACATGCTCAAAAAAAAAAGTTGTCAAATATTATTATTACTATTTATTTCCCTCTTGTATTTCAACTCTTAAAAACGGACCTTTTTTGCTTACGGATAGGCAAAGGCGAAGGTTATAGCTAAGAGTATGTACGCAGGTAATTTGGGAAAACACACGCACACACACACACAACATGATTTGCTGGAAAGTGAAGTAAGGCTGATGCGAGAGAGAAATTCTCCACGATTGCGGGCCGTCACTGCTCTCCTGCCGCGGAGGGTGCTACACGCAACCGTTGTAGCGTGGGCGAAACGGTATTTAGTGTCTTGCCGTAGCTCCGGCGCCCGCTTCGGGCGATTGTAGCGGATCAAGGAAAACGGCCGAAGCATCGAAGGCTGCCGTTTTTGTCGTCTCTGCCGTCGACCACGTTGGCTAATAGCTGTCTGGGCTGTTATGAAAAAAAATGACGTTCCTTAACTCTCGGAACCGCTTTGAACTGCGCCGGAGAAAAGAGTTGTTGAGGTGCTATTTTACATCTGTCTTCGTCGAGCGGAGCGGCCTCTCCCTTTTTCTTCTCTCTCGATGGAGTTCGACGGTGGCAGCAGAGCTGTTCACTCCCTCCTCCTTTCCTCATCTAACGCGCTCGCTCCACTTCTTCTATCCCTTTCCAAAACGTAAAAAAAAAGAAAACAAAAACAAAGGCTTATACTCCGTTGGCATTGAACACACAACAACAGAGGTCAACAACTGCAAAAGAAAAAAATAATAATCTCCTCCCTCTCCCACCTCCAAAACAATGTCTTCCTCTAGCGTGGCTCGCACTTCCACCGTCCGCGCCGCTGATGCAGCGGCAGCCGCTCCCCGATTCTACGACCGCCTCGATGCGACGAGCAAGGAACGCGTCACACTCCTTCTCAGCAAAGTGCAAGCCCTCCTCCCCATCGAACAAGACGCCTTCCTTCAAGAGCTGCAGCGTCAGCAGGAGGGTGCACAGGACGCACTCTTCGCTGTCAACAAGAGTCGAGGGAAGCTGGTGCGGTACACCGGCCCGAGACTGGAGGCGGTGCAGGCACGGGAACGCGGCTACGTCATGCCGCGCGCGTTGCGCTCTGGTAAGGACAGCGACACACGACTGCCGTTGATTACCGACGGCACTGATGCACCCAGTGGGTCGAGGACTGCCCTGCCGTGCTCTCTGGAGGAGTTGGCGCGCACGCCTGGCCTGTTCGGCGAGACGGAGGTGACCATTCACCTGGAAAAGATGTCTCTCTACGAAAAGTTGCATCAGAACATGGCGGAGCCGAAAGGGGCGGAGGGCCCTACCGACGACGTCGCTGCATCTCCGCCCGCGCAGTCGCAGCTGCACGACCGGAGCGGGGAAATGGAAATGGACCTGCGGCGTGCTGCTGCTGCGTCGGATGCGGAGACGGCTGCGTCTGCTCCGCGGCGCAACGCCCCCTATCGCAGCAACGCGTATCAAGCGGTGCGACTGGCGATGAGTTCGCCAGGTTTCATCCCTGTACAGAAGCCGCTATCGCTGGCCACCACGCAGACCGGGTACGACGGGGTGAAGTCGGTGCTCAACACGACCGGGATGCCCATCAGCGAGGATGACTTGCGCGAGTGGTTTGACGAGCTGGATGAAGAAGGCCGCGGTGAGCTGAGCCTGGACGAGTTTCAGCGTTGCATGGAGTTGTTGGAGCGCGATTTCGGCGTGACGGACGAGTACGCGGCGCTGCGGCGTGCGGGCGAGCATCTCGCCTTTGATGGGCGACTTAGCTTCGAGGCCTTCGCCTACCTCGTCTTGCGCTTTGCTCGTGTGTAAGTACTAGCAAGATTCACAGTTATCGTTGCTTCTACGCAGTCACGTGTTCCATCGGCGCAATCGCTCACCTTATGGTAGGCCACCTTGACAGCTTCTACCGCCTCCTCCTCCTATTCGAGGAAGCGGTGTGCAGGCAGAAGTTGTATTTCTCTTCCCTTTCTTGATGTACATAATGTAAAGTGCAGCTGCATACGGGTGTTTTCAGCTTTGTTCGTGCCAGGCATGTGTATGTATATGTGGGTGCGTGTGCGTGTGTGTGTGTGCGGCTGCCTTTTTCTCCTGTGTGTGCAACGTTGGAACTTCTTATCCTTTCTTTTTTTTTTCGTATTTACGCATTCAGCTTTCTCGAACAGATTTTTTCTTCTAAAGTGTTTCGGCGAAGGAGCGCAACGCGGCGCAGAGTATCGGCAAAGATACAAGAAGAGCAAAGGCCTTCCCGGCCCCCAAAATAAAGGGATTTGGTGCTTTGTTTTGACCGGTGCCTGCCTTGGAAGAGGATGTACTGGCAACGCCGTCGACAATGACCATGCGTGATCTCGAGCGTCATGGAGCTACCTGGTAGGACGTACGTCTACGTGTACAGGCAACACTTGTACGCTGAGGCAACACGAGTGCAGTTTGGCTGACCTTGGCTTCCCGTGTGTACTGATGTCTCTGGTAGCCGCGCTACGAAAGTGGGCAACGCGTAGTGGCGAGGGAACGAATTCAGCAGGAGCAGCGGGTGCAATGCTGACTGGGACTGCCGAAAAGTACACTAATTCTTTCTTTATTGTTTGGTTGTTGTTGTTGTTGTTGCGACAAGAGTTGCTGGAGTACAACGAACTCTCCCGCCTTTCATCTCTTCTTCTTTCGACCCCCGTCTTTTCACATTGCACACACGAGTACCGCTGTTTCTTTTTCTTAACTGTATCTTCTCCATTCTATGCGACGTTAGCTTACGTGGATTGCCCACTCGTCGTTGCAGAGTTACCTCTCACCTCTTCTTTCTTTCTGTGTTGCTGCTGTTTGTTTAGCTTGGCTACCCAACAAATCAGCGGCAGCTCTTCTCCCTGTTTGTCCAGCGCAGCCTATCCAATCCTTAGAGAAAAAAAGAAAGGAGAAGCCTTTTAACATGCGACGCTGAGCTCGGAACACTACAGTTACTATTTTTTCCCTCTTTTTGCGTAACTTTATCTATCGTTGTTTCTTTTGTACTCCTCGCTCTCTTCGGCAGCGTGTTATGCGACACAGAGGCACGAGATAGTACTAGTTGACAGCGGAAAGCAAAGCAAGTCAAACAGGAAAAGAAAAGGAGCGCGCAACATACGTTGTTAGAAGCGCTTTTCCTTTCTCCTTCTTTGTCGTACCGCACACTACTACATAGAATCAGCTGCGTTGTCTTCTTCTTTTTTTTTTGCTATCTGACGATCAGCTCTACAGGTCAGCAAACGAGGTGTGTGTGTGTGCGTGCGTGTGTGTATGGCTGAGACGCGTTGGCGTTCTGTTGACAGTTGCATCGCCCTTTCTCGGGGTTGTTGTTGTGTACGGCAATCGTTTGTGCTACCGCTTCGTTCCGCATTCCTCGTACTTAGTGAATCGTTTCTTTATTATTAACTCTTTCTTTTGAATTTGGGAGTCCAGGAAAACAAGTCATTTTCCACTTCCTTTCAGGCGTGGTCGCGCTTGTCTCCTGCTTGTGTTTTTTTTCTTCTGCCTGCAAGTGTTCCTCTTTTACATATACATCTCTTTTTTTCATAGACGTGCTTTGGGGGTTTCAATCTCCCTTCTTGTGCTGGCTACTGCGCAGTGTCGCACGTACGCCTTCTTCTTTTTCAAAGCTCTCTCTCACTCTCTCTCATACCACGCTCCCCCTGAAAGAAAAAGAAAAAGTATATATCGAAAGAGAGGAAACGCCACCACGGCACAAATCGATCGAACAGGCAGCGGCGTGCTGCCACGACGGGCGTAATGGACTATCTACTCGGCGTCTTGTACGCCACCAAAAAGTACGAGTTCCTCGATACCTCGAGGCTGCAGCAAGGCGCGGATGTGCACTGCAGATTAGCGGACAACATCAACGTTAACCCGACGGCAACAAGCGCGGGAGACGACGGCGACACCGTCTTGGCTGCCAAGCGAGCCCGTCGCTCCACGGCGCGACCGGCTCCCTCGCCTGCCACGATCCTCGTGAACATCGCAGACGGACTCCACAGGAACGGTGCTGACGCGGACGTTGCCGCTGCCGCTGGTGCAACAAATTCAGCGGAGACTGCAGCAGCAGCGCCAGCGGGTGCAGAGACTTCCTTTCATGGCGAAGGCGACGAAGCCGCCGGCACAGCGTGGCGTTCGCCCGCGATGTCGGCCAACGTGCAGAGCGCACGTCTGCTGTCGTCCTCGCTGAAGGACGGCGGTGCGGTTGCCTCCTTTTCTCTCTTTTCGCAGCCGCGTGAGAGCGGGGCGCTCAGTCCCCTCCTCCCTGGTCTGTCGGTGCCGGCCGCCGCCATCGCCGCTGCCGCCGCGGACGGTGCTGCCAACATCGCTGCGGCGATCCCTTGCCCGCAACGCCTCGAGTACAACGTGCCGACCAGAGTCCTTGCCGGCAAGTATGTGCTGGTCTACTTAGTTTCCCCCCACCGGCCTATCACGGTAGGGCATATTGCACAGCTCTGGGGCGGCTCCCCTGGTGGCGCGGTGGCGGGTGCAAACCAGCCCAGTGGCGTTGGTGGTGGTGGTGGTGGCGGCAATCGCAGTGTAGGGCCGCCGTCGGGACCGACGCTGTTGAACAGCCCGCAGATGGAGCCGCTGAAGGGGCGCTTTGGTGGCGCCGCCTCCGCCTCCTCGCTGCTGCCCGGCTTCAGTCCACACGTGTCGCCGCAAGCCAGCGCTGCTCGACCGAGCTTCACCGCCGCGCTGGCCAAGTCCTCAGACCCCTTCAGCTCCGGCGGTAACCCCGCCAGCGGTCACCCACACGGTCTGAGTGCCACCGCCGCTGCGGTGCAGCCCAGCAACGGCCAGCCGCTTCCACTGTCGGCGGTGCGCGCGACGGCAGCGGCGGTGACCACGCATCAGAAGCTCCTTCTTTTTTACTGCCTCCTCCTCCGCCGGCTCGCGAGTCGCCCAGTCAGTGAGAAGGCACCGCCGTCAAAGCTGATCGATGATGAGGAGGGCGTGACGGTGGCGACGACGCAGGTGCCGGTGGCGGTGTTAGAGTTGCACTACACCACCGAGGGTCCACTGCGCAACAACAGCGTCGGGCCCACCACAGCAAGCGGCGGAAATCAAGGCGCCTCTGATGCACACGGCGGGGCGACGCCCTCCGGCTCGCTGGCAGGTGTCAGCGCTGGTGGTGTCGGCGGCGGTGGTGGTAGTGGGTTGGCGGGCCCCAGCGGGTCTGGGCAGCACAGCTACAGTCTTCCGCCTGGGTCGCCCCTGACGGCGCCGAGCCACCCCACGCAGTTCAGCAGCGGTGCCAGTGGTGCCAGTGGTGGCCGCAGCATCTCCGTGCACCCGGTGTCGTCGTCATCCACGAACAGTGGCGGCAATGCCAACGTGGGCGGCTTCTCTTCCACCATGGCGTCGGCGATGGTCTCGCCGCATCTGATGTCACCAGGTCTCGGCTCCTTCAGCGCCGTGGATGACGCGGCCGCAGAGCCGACTGCAAGCCGCCTCCTCAGCTCAATCCTCCGCCACTTACAGGAGGGGAAGCCGGACGCGTGGCTTTCGCCGGACAAGGTTGTCTTCGACAGCGACATCACACAGAACCCGTACTACGGCGGCTGGTACGCAGTGAAGAGCAACGACGGCTACCGGCGGGTCATGCAGCTGAGCGGGGTGCAGTCGTGGCCAGCGGTCATATTGGTGGACCCCGCAGGCAACATCGTCACGGTCTCCGCCTTGCAGCACGTCGAGGAGGAACTTGCCCAGTTCACCGCGGAGGTCGAGGCGAATCTTGCGAAATCGGCCGCCGCTGTTGCCGCTGCTGCTGCTGCTGCTGCGGCGGAGCGTCCCACACCCGCCGACTCCCCTTCGTCGCTTCCTCCCAGCACCACTGTCACAGGGCCGCTCGTGCTGAATTCAACAGCGGAGGAGCGAGTGGCCAGCGACGGTGCGAAGCGTCAGCCATCCCAGGCAATCAGCGCCGCCGACGACGGCAGCGAAGCCGTCCCCTCTCCCCTTCCGTCGCACCCACTCGACGCCGCCACGCTCGGCCCCGGTGCGGCCGCCTCCGAGGGCAAAGCAGATACCAACACTTCACCCCTCACAGCGTCGTCCAGCCCCGTCGCGCCCGGCGCGGCCGACGGCGGCAGAGTCGAGTTCATGTTCTGCCGCTCCAGCACCAGCCCCCTCGCCAGGACCGCCGAAGGAGCGGCGATGAACATGAAGGCGGAGAGAACGATGGTCTACTCGCCAAGCCGCCTCGACGACTCCAAGTCGACCACCACCACGTCGGCGCATCTGCGCGAGCCGTCTATTCCGTGCGACGACCCGCAAATCCCGACGGCGGATCCGACGCCGATACGGCAGATGCCGACGACGGCCCGCTACCGCGACGACGGCGCCATTCGCGCCATTCCGCTCGCAGAGGAGATGACGCCCGTGCGCCACGACGGCGGAGGCGACGAGCGCGGATCCAGCGCGACGCAGGGCTTCTCGCTTCCCAGCTCCATTCCCCAGCTTACCTCTATCACGAGCACCGTCAAAGGGACGTCGACGAGCGACGAGCAGAGGCTGACGGAGGTGAAGTCGGGCAGCACGGAGGCCTTCCACGACATCAAGAAGCAGAGCGGCAGCTGGACCGGCGAGAAGGAGGGCGAGGACACTCACGAGAAGTCAACGAGCCTCGCCCTGCTACCCCCAGCGCAGCCGCCGATGCTGCATATGCTGGAAAGCCGCGCCGCGAACAACGTCTCGGCCAGCAACTACTCCCTCAACAACTCCTCCTTCACAGAAGGCTACGTCTCGTTGCCGAGCTGGAATCCAAAGGCGTACGGCGGGGACGTGGCGGGCGTGATCGCCGTGCACGGGATGGAGTCAGAGTCCAACACACCGATCCACACAGGCTCTAAATCGCTGTTTGTACCGGGCGGACAAAAGCCGCTGCCGCCGATGCCGCCGTCAAAATCACAGCAGCAGCAACAGCATCCGGCTGGCCAAGACCTCTCCTCGCACGATGCCGTTGTCGTCGCTGGTGGTGGTGGCGGCGGCAAGGAAGCTGCGGTCACCTCGCCGGAGCAACCCAGTTCCTCGGCGCCACACGCTGCGTTGAGTGAGGGCAGTCAGAAGGTTGCCCTGAACACGTCCTCCTCGAAGGTCCCGCGCGATCTCATGGCAGCCGCCTCTGGTGTGTCGGCGATTCCACGACTGCCGGCATCGCTGGTGCAGCTACCCCTCTTCACGTCGCACTTTCCGTGGAACTTGATGATGCCGGAGCCGATTATGGTGTACACGACGCCCTCGAACGTAAAGCATGTCAAGGGAAAGGGCAGCGAGGAGGGAGGAAAGGCGGAGAGCGCGCAGAAGGCGTTTCAGCGGCACGTGCAGGAGAGAGTGGAGGAGCGCAAGCGGAATGAGTCCCCGGCGGCGCGTGCAGCCAGCCATAAGCCACGTCCGCCTGCCATGGCGAGCAAGGACGAACCAGAAACAGCAGCAGGAACAGCAGCGACAACTGTAAATGCAGCAGATCACGGCATTGATGGGTCGAGCGGCACCCTCAGCGCCACCGCGAGCACACGTTCGGCGGCGGTGGTGATGCCAGCGGCGATGGTGCTCCGTCAGAGCATCCCAAGCGGATTGGGCCGCATCGCAGCCGGGAGCACCGGCGCCTCTACGCCGGACGGCGGTGGGTTGCCGCTGGTGGTGGAGGCCGGCAACGGCGCTGCGACGCCGCAGCTGCTGGTGCGGGTGCCGACGGCTCAGCTGGAGTTGACGACGTTTGCGGAGACGTCTCCGCTGGTCGTGTCGGAGCGTAACTGGCCGGTTCATCCTCTGCGCCGTATTGTGCTCTGCTCCATCCCCGTCGCGGAGGTGGCGGAGCGCGCACGCAACGCAGCGAACAACGGCAATACTGATAATAATAATAATTTTCTCTTCGCTGGTGAGGAGACGCGGACGATACCGAGCGGCAGCCCGCCTTCTGCAGTGGCGGTCAACACCACCGCTGCCCTCAACACCACACCGAGCAGTCTTGTGATGCTGCCGCTGTCGATTGGTGACAGCACCGACGACGGTACCCACCCTTCGCGCAGCTCCTCTCCCCTGTCGCATAGCGTGCGTCCCGACGTGTCACAGCCACCTCCGTCACTCGACCGCCCGCAGCAGCAACAGCAGCAGCAAAGAGCGTCGTTGACGATGTTGGAAGATTGGCTGCAAGACACCCCTACCAAGTTCGACGCCTCCACCAATGTCCTGTTGTTGTTTGGAGCTGGGTGGCATCCGGGGATGTCGAAGTGCGTGCGGGCACTGCGTCGCCTGCAGGACTCTATTAACGGCCGCTCCCCCAACGACGCAAAACGTGCAGATGGTGACACCGCGATGAGCAGCGGAGGGCGTGGGGTGGCTGACAGACAGGGCTTCGACGGCGGTCGCGATGAGAACGCAGATGTCGATGATGGACTCTTCCCTGCGTTGAACGGGTTTAACAACAACTCGGTCGAGTGGCCCGCCGGGGGTTTTGGCGGTCTCGATGGCGGCGGCGGACGGCTCGATATGCGCGGCTTCAGCAATTTCAACATGAGCGATGGAGAGCCGACGGAGGACGAGGGTCAGTCCCCGTTGCGCGGCCGGACGTCCTACCAGCGCGGCCGCATTCAGAGCACCTCTCCCTCTGGCGTGCTGGCCGTGGAGCCGCCACCGCCGCCACCCGCCGACGGCGTAAACGTCCCTCGCTATCGCATGCAGGTGATCTACATTAGTGCCGATGAATCGTCAGAGGAGGTGCGCCACGCCGTGAGCGCGATGCCGCCGCAGTGGCTCTGCCTCTCCCCGTACGTGGCGCAGAGTACGGCGGAGCGGCAGCTGCAGCAGCTCGCCTGCGACGGCGCGCGCAAAATCTTCCGAGTCACCTCGTTTCCTCGAGTGGTGGTGGTGGAGTTGCCAGCGGCGCAGCAGGCGCCGGGCAAGCACACTCAGGACACTACGTCGCAGGTGCCGGCCGCCGGTGCTGGGGAGCGTGGGGATGCCGGCACGCCAGGCGGAGGTGAGGAGGCGACAGACGACGGGGAAGCCTTCGGTGGTACTAACCCCACCACCACGACGGCGGCCGCGGCGCTTCAGCGCCAGCAAACGGAGGAGCTGTTTGAAGACCTGTGGACGGTGGTGCAGCTGCACGGCGAGACGCAGCTCAACGCCGATCCGGAGGGCAAGAAGTTCCCGTGGTCGAACAGCAGCAGTGACGTGTTGCGCATCTCCCGTGATGCGATGTCCGCCTTGCCGCGCGAGGAGCAGCGGGCGTGGACGTGCCTGCTCAGCAGCTTCCAGCAGCAGCAGCAGCGGCAACAGGGCGACACGCCCTCTACCACCTCGTTGCATCAATCCCCTGTGCTGGGCTGCAGCAACCCGGACGACGTCGACGTCGCGCTGTCGCGCCTTCGCACGGCCCCCACGCGGCTGGTGACGGTAGACCAGGAGGACGACACGGCTGCTCCCCGCGACGCCGCCTCCATCACGCGTGCGCCGTCTCCGCCCCCCGTGTCGCTCGCCCGTCTCTTCCCTCCCCTGAAGCCGTTTGCGGTCGGTGACGGTGAGCTGCTCACGCTGTTAGAGCGGGGTGGTTATTTCGTGGTGCTCGGCGCCTTTGGCTCTATCGACGCGCAGCTGCATCAGCAGTGCGTCAGTGCGTTGGAGGAGGTCCGGACGTGGTTCTACGCCGAGGTCGAGGAGCGCAAGGAGCAGGCGTGGCGTGAGCCGACGCGACTGCAGGTGATGGCGCCGCACGGTACCTACTCCACCTCCTTCACCGTCGGCGGTGATCGCGTCGTGCTGCCGCCCGCGGTGCACGTCAACTCCAGTGAGGAGTACGGCACCCCGACCCGGTACTCGCCAGGCATTCCCGCCGCAGCGCTGTTGCCGGAGCAGGGCGGCGGTGGGGTCGCGGGTACCGCCGTTGCATCTAGCCTGTCGCACGGCGGCGGCACGGCGCGTGTTGGGACGCCCTTCCTGCTGGACGAGGGCTGGCCGGAGGGCCGCACCTTCCTCAACTCCTCGCCCAACTTCTCATCGATGACCCCGCCCATGAGCGGTGGGCCCGGCGCTATTCCGCTTGACGGAAGCACGAGCCTTCACAACCAGCAACTCTCGTACGGGTCCATTGGCGGACCCGGGGTTGGCGGTTCAAACAAGGCCCCCGCAGTGCGTCCGTTGCCGTCCGTCTTCTTCTACGACTCCATCCTGACGAACCCGCACCACCCACACCGGCAGAGCGTCAACATAACGGCCGCCTCGCCCGCGGCCGCCGCACCCGTGACAGGTGTGGGCAGCAGCGAGGGCCTGACGCAGGTGGCGGCCGCGCCGTGGGTCAACGCCTCGCCGACGTCAGCGCGTGCCGCCTCCCCATCTCCCGTGCCCGTTCCGCACGTCATGGACAACACCGCCTCTCTCCGGCGGCACCACGCAAAGGATCTGGCGGTGCTGCAGGAGTACGTCATCGCCCCCATATTTGAAAACAACGAGAAGATGCTACCGGTACGGGAGGGGGAGGTGTATTTGGCGTTGGTGCGGTGGCCCCAGCGGACGGCAGCGGTGTTGCGGCGTCGTCTCGCTTCTGAAGTCAAGGCGCCCACCACCACCACCACAGCAGCAACATCAGGAGGGGGGAGCGTGTCTGCGTCAGTAGCGGCGACGTCGACCGCAGCCGGCGGCGGAGCAGCGCTGAGCAACGCAGCCTCCACGGGCGGCGGTGCGTCGACATCGCCCTCCCTTACGGTGAGCAGCAACAGCAGCAGCAGCAGCCCTGCGAACGCGCGCGGTGTCAGTGGGCCGCCTTCTCCGGGGCAGACGCTGCTGCTGCCCGAGGCGTCGCTGCGTCGTCAGCCCGGGTCGCCCTCTCCTCTATCCCCCACTATCAACATCACAACGGGGGCAGGGGCGGGAGCGACGTTGAGCCACCCAGGGACGCCGGCGCTCTCTGCCGCCTCTGCTTCACCGGGAGCCGCCGCCGTCTCCTCGATGAGCGCCACAGCAGCGGAGAGCAACTCGACGTCCTTGGCGGCAGTCAACAATTACACGTCCGCCGCTACGTCGCTGAACGCCACGGTGCGCACGGAGGGGTCGGGGAAGGAGGGCTCGCCGGACCCTGATGTAACACCGCTGACCTCCGCGGAGTCCATTAAGCTCTTCCTCTACGAGCATGTTTTGCGGCCGATGACGGCGTAGGTCGCGCTGCGATGTGTGTGTGTGTGTGTGTGTGTGTTACATGTGCGGCGGATTCAGTGGATCTAGGAAAAGAAAGGTGCATGCGGCTGAGAAAGCTGTCGCGTAGAGTAGTTTGATATTTTCCCTTTGAAGTTGTATTTGGTTACTGCTGTGCAGTAGTAAGGTGCGTTTTTTTTTTGTTTGTGGCCGGTCATGGTGTGTGCGCGGAAGTCGAGAAGTCCTGTTTATCCTGGAGGAGTGGCTCTGCAAGCATCCTTTTTCGATTGTTTGCTTATGCTGATTTCGTTGTTTACTCAAACCGCGACCTATCTATCAAAAAGACGTCACGTGTGGGCGCCTTCTTTGGAGATGTCAACGCAGTGCCTTCTGTTTGAGACGGCGTACTGCATCTGAAGCACAGCGCCTGGAACTGGCGAATACAAACGTCTCATGCCACATTTCGTCTTCCCACTGCGGCCTCTGCTGCTTGCAACGTCACTACCCGAACTGTTTTATCCTTGTCTTCTCTTTTTTTTGTTTTCTTCTTCGTTCTCGCTTGTGCTGTTGGGCTCCTTTCACGGAAAGCTGCTGCATCTTTTTGAATGATTCTGTGCTTCTTTGTATTTACAAGTGCGCACCCCGTATAAAAACAATCTTTCCCTCCTATTCACGCAAACGCACCTCGACACGCAATGCGCGCAAAGACAGCATGTCAGGTGCGGGTGCAAGACGAGTGCCGGCTCTTTTGGCACGGCGTCGTGGAAAGCTTCGGTGTAGAGTGGAAAATGACAAAGGAAGGTGGCGGAGGCCCCAACGCATCTGCTGTGCAAGACTCCACGAAAGATGAGGCGGCTTCTGCGGCATCTGTGCTGCCGTCACCTCCCCTCGTCGCACCCTCCTTCCCGGACACGGACAACGAACGCGTTCGCAGTCCTCCGCTTGCCGACACCACGGCGCGCCCTTCCCCTGTTGTCTCACCCGGCGCGTCTGCTCTCGGCGAGGTGGGGGTCCATCGCACCGTTTCGCTTCCCCCCTCGCCTGTGCGCTTCGCGTTGATGCCGCCGTGGAGCTTGGTGGAGTATGACCCGAAGATGTGGATGCTGCTGCGCAAGAACCTCGTGGCGAACCTGGCGCTCATGGCGCTCACGGTGACGTACATGGCACTTTCCCACAGCCTTGCCGCGACGTCGAGATTCTCTTCTACTGTCCAAAGTGATGCCTCCTCGGCGCTCTCTCCGCATGTGCACAGCACCGGAGACACCTCGCCATCACGCTCTCTTACAGGCTGGATCGCGTTCTGCTGGTTGCGCCTCTTTCTCTGGATGCTTAAGTACATGGGTCAGTGGCCCTTCTACACCGTTCTGCAGATTATCGGATTGGTGTGGTACAACCAACTCTACCGTGAGACGTGGCTGGTGCGGAAGGGGTGGGTGCTGCGCGGCACACGGCTGCGGGAGGCGTCGCCGCTGACAACAACAACAAAGAAGAGCCCCACCGCGGCGACCACGACGACGACGACGGCCTTTCTTTCACCGCTGGTGGAAGGCGTGACGCGGCCGTGGCTGGCACCCATTTCGCTGAACGTCGCCGTCCTTCAGGACCGAGGAGGGGCGCCTGCGTCAACCACCACCACCACTACTACAGAGGTATGCCACCTGATGCGGCAGCAGTCGTCACTGGTCCTTCACGCTTCCATTGCCTACGGCAAGCACGTCGCGCATCTCTTGTGGCGCATGCTGCGTCACAAAGGCCCCACTGCCCCTCTGCAGGAGTGGGTGTTGGGCGACGCCGCAGCCTGCCAGGCAGTCGCCGGCGCTTCGTCGTCGTCGTCGTCGTCTCCGCCGTCCCAACGGACAAACCCGGACATCTTCGAAGCGGTCACCCACCTCCTCGAGTCCACCAGCGAGATCATCTTCAAGGCGTTGGCCACCATGTCCTTTGCCCTTTTTGCCTCCTGTGTGGAAGGGGTTCCCTTCCTTGGCACGCCGCTGTGCCTGCTCCTCAACGCCCAGCTGTATGCCTTTTACGTCTTCGATTACCGCTACGCCATGCAGCAGCAGCCGGGCAGTGCCCACCACCGTGGCTCTGCGCTGGCCTACCAGCTGCGCCACTTTGAGCAGTGTTGGGTGTACTACGCGGGCTACGGCATTGGGTCTGCTATCCTGTCGCTGTGGCTGACCCATCGTGCGGGTGTCATTGTGTCGGTGTGCACCATGTCTGTGTTGTACTCGTGGCAGGTGGTGTGGAGCGGCTTTGCGGTCCCGCTGCCCTCGTCGCGGCCGCTGCCGTTGTTCTCTCTCTGGTTTTGTGCGGTGGACATGACCCAGAAGCAGTACGCGGTGCTGTGGCGCTCCGTCGTCATTGTTGCCTTGCTTTACATCCCTTACCAGTGTTTCTGCTACATTTAACGGTCTTCTGTGGTCTTTTATTTATTGTCGTTTCCCTTCAATTTCTGTATTGTAACGCATTCGAAGTTTTGTAGGCTTATATGCCTCGTCCTTCTTTTTTTTTTTTATCTTCACCTTTGGAAGCAAGACGCTGGTCTTGTGATCTTTCCCTCCTGCGTTGCTCGCGTTCTACTCTGCTACGCTGACCATTCCATCTCAGCGCTTTTTGTCTTTGCGTTCTACTATTGCTATTTGTGTGAAGTGAGATGTATCCTCTCTTTCTCTCTGTATTAATTGCTGCTTTTTTCCTCCCCTTTTTTTTTGCTATGCTGCTGATTACAAGCTTTGTTTGCTGTCATTATCGTTGTGCTCCAGGCGTGTGTTATGCTTTCGTTTCCTTCCAACCGGACGCTTCACGCACGGTTTATCTGCACACTGATAGCTGAAGAGTCGACGTACTCCTTAAAAAAAGTAGGCGCTGCCGCGTTTCGACCAAGGCGTGAAAGGAAGGAAAGAAACCCAAGAGCTTATTGACCTGCAACTGAGCATCTGTGCGTGTCTCCTTGAAGGGAGAGGGGAGGGGAGGAGAGGGGAATGTATCGGATGTCTTTTTTTTCTTTCAGACACGAGTCGGAGTGAAACTTCTCGTTTTTCTTTGTCTCCCAATCCGCAAAGTCAGCTGCGATGTCGCGTTCTCCCTGCTACGCATCGCCGCTTTTCTTTCCTTGCTTTTTTTTTTGCATTTTCGTGTCAACCACTACATTACTTCTCAAAAGAGGGGGTGATGGGCAGCGACTTCATTTCAGCCGCACCTCTGACAATTAATGAAGTAAGGTTAGAAGTTTTAGATTTCGTATCGCAATGCGGGAGGTGAAACTGCCGAGTTCACCTGCGCCAAGTCGGCGTGCGCTCTTCGGTGCGGTGCCGATTGTTTTGCTCGCTACGCTTTGCCTCATCGTTGCGCCAACGAAGCTGGGTCAGGCGCGCCTCACTCCTGCTTCTCCAACTTCTGCGGCACGCGACAGCCGCGTCGCAGCGCTGCGGGATGCGCTGCGTGCCGAACACCGAGTGGAAACGATACCGGACCCTCCCCCGGAGCTGGGGATTCACACCGCCTGCAAAAAGTTTGGCCGCGGCTGCCCCGATGCGTACGTCGCATTTTTAGAAGATGTGGTGGCGTCTCTGCGGCCTGTTTTGGACACGGAAGAGCACAATGCGTCGTCTGGTTCAACAGGAAGCACCGCGGAGCAGGTGAAGGAAACGGAGAATGAGGCCGAGGCTTCCTCTGCCAGTTCTTCGAGGGAATCCGCTGCCCCGCCTTCCACGTCACCGTCTCGCTTGTCTCTCCCTGTGCAGACCTCCTGGTCCTACGCGGAGTTCAAGCGTCTGGAGAGCATTTTGGTTCGCATTAAGGTAGCCGAGACGCAGCTGGACAGGCACGGCATCGCCTCACGCGAGCTGCAGCGGAAGCACTGTGTTCCTCGCGGCGAAGATCTGACTTTTCAGGACGACTTTAATGGCGAGGTGACCGCGCAGTTATCGCTGGCGTGCGCGTCTTTGCATAGAGGTCAGTCGGCCACATCCGCCGCGTGGAAGATGACCGAAGACGAGGCAGCGATGTACGCAACGTGGTGCCGCTACATGGAACACCGTCGCAAGACAAACGAAGAAGATGTGCAGGCTGGGACATCGTTGCCATTTGTTTTCCACCTCGCCCGTCTTCCCTACACTCCATTTGGGTGTTACGTGATGGACGGGCGCCGGTGGTATGCACGTCTGCTCCTGTGGCTCGACTCGCGCCTGGCTTTTTTTGTGTCGTGGACGTGGAGTGTGGCCCTTCCCGGTTCCTGCTGCACGTTTGTTCTGCTGTGGATCTACATCGGTGAAGGTTGGGGTGCGGGGGCGGAAGCGATCGTCTTTGGCGTAGGCGAGGCAACAAACGCGCAAGAAGAAGATCAACGCGAGGCTCGAGACGCACCCGACTCTCAGGAGCTGGTGGCAGCGAGCCAATTTCGCCAGAGCCGATTGGCTGGGCTGCGCTATGCTTTTATCGAATGCGTGCAGCACCGGTCATGGCCCATGTCCTTTCTCAAACTTCGCCTCGTGCTCTGCTTGATTGTTGCGGTGGATCTCTTGTGGAGTCTTGGGCAGATTCTTTACATTACTCTATGGTCTCTGTCCAGCCCGAAAGCGGCATCCGGCCACCAATTGCTGCCCGCCTCGATCGGCTTCGTGCTGCGACTGCTTCCGGCGTGGGTTCAAGTTGTGACGAACGTGTACGTCGTTGTGGTGCTCCAGGGGGTGGTGCTGCGTATGGCACTGAGCGGGGCTGCGAGTGCGTACGCGGATTGGCAGGATTTCATCGCGAAGTGTGCGACGGAGCAGGAGTACCTGCTAAAGGCCGCCGCTGATGTCTCTCTATGAGTTTTCTCCTTTGGTCTGCATGCATTCTTGTACAGTACAAACAAAAAAAGACCACCAACGACAACAGCAAAGCGCACTTCCTGCTGTTATTTGACTGTAAAGGATCGACCCACATTCCGTTGCGTAGTGGTAGCGCTTGTGGGGGGGGGGGGAAGCAGAAGAAATGCCGCCTGTGGAGCTGATGCATACGGGACTTGCAATGTCACCTGGGCAGCGGTCTTACGCAACGAACTCCGTTGCGCACGCGGTGCGTGATCACCTCTTCGCGTCAGCTGTTTTGTTTTTGTGGTTCGTTGCTCATTTTCGCTTTCTTTTCTTTTCTTTTTCTGTCTCCGCAAATCCGACAGCTATCCCGGCAGAAGAGAGCTCATCTCATCACTTTAGACTCGTGCGCGAGAACGCGCCCTTTCATTGCAAGCTCCGTCTGCCCTCCTCCCGCAACCGTTGCAGTCTGCACTAACGTGGCTGACGAGCTCGTCGTACATAGAACACACACCCAAACTGCGTTGACGATCCGTTGCTCTCACATATTCTACGATTGCTTTCTCTTCTGTCTTGCTTTTGCGAGGTGCGTAGCGCACTGCTTCCATTCATCGAACCTTTTGTTTTTGCGATTCACGATCTCTTGCGTGATGGCGGCGGAGGTCCTCACAGGCGCCACGCGCTTGGAGCGTGTCACCGTGTACGTCGATCTCGCCCGCGAGGCGGAATTCCTGCCCGCCATCACCGACTGCGCCGCTCGTCTCGCCCCCCAGTGCGTTGTTGTCACATCAAAGGACATCCTGGCAGCGCCACCCTTGTCAGCTGCGGGTGTGGCCACACAGAACCAAGACGACGCCTGCACACCTTCGCGCACGGCAACTACAATCGGTCTCATCCGTCTGTGGCAGGCCGAGGAGGCGGACGTGCACACACGCGATGTGAATAATACAGTTCTCTTTATGAACGCGGCGGAGCTCTTGATTACCGACAAGACCGCGGCGGACGGCGCGGTGACGTACGCACTTTACCGTCGGCAGATGCCGGTCTTGTCCTTTGCCTCAGCCCATCTACCCGCCTGCTCCTCCCTTCAGCAGCTCCTCTACACCGGTGCGAAGGGCACGACAGCAGAGGAGTGGAAGGATACAATACGGCAGTTCCTGACCTTCCCGGCGGAGCGGGGAGTGTACACGGTGGCCTCCACTGTCGCCGCGGATGCTGCTGCAGTACACGTTGTAGTGAACGCAGAGGGCTATCCAATACAGCTGCCACACCTGTCGCACGGTGCTCACACCAACAGCAGCGATGACAACGGCGCCGCGATGCTTCTTCCGCCGCCGCCGACGCTCTTTGCGGGAGCTCTGGCGGAGCTGCGATGCTCGAGCAGCGAGCACCTCGACGTGCTGCGCCGCCGCAATCCGATCTTACCTGGCGTCTTGGAGGCTTTTCATCGGTATCAGAACCGCGGGGTGATGCGTGCGATGCTGCAGCGCGGCTATCGTGTGGAAGTGGCCCCGCAGACGGAGGCGGCGGGGTTGACGTGGGTGCAGAAGTTTGTGGCGCTCGGAGAGCCGGACGAGACGATGCAGTTGGCCAAAGTGGTGACCGCGGCGTCGTCGCTGGCGAAGTTTGAGTCGCACTGGTTGGAGCTTCCGCTTCCCGAGAAGAGTGCATGAGAACATCAGACTGCTAATAGTGTTGTGCAGCCGCAGGCGGGAAAGCGTAGGATTGCAATGAACCCAATGCATGCATACAAATATATAGAGAAGGGAAAAAATGGCAGCGAATAAGAGAACAGCTACTTAGGCATCATGAATACCGGAAAAGGACGAATTAGCAAGGCTGAGCTGCTCTTCGTTCTCTGATCTCACGCTAAAGCTGGAAAAAAAAGATCCGTAGATTCTATTTTCTTGATTCGTCATGAGACGCGGGTGCTGCGATTCTCGTTTGCGGTTGTGGATGCGTAACGCAATCAGCTTTGCGCCTACATACTCTTCTCTCCTCTTCTCTCCCACTTCTTGTCTCACATCTATCTCCTCTATCATGTCGTTTGCCGATGTCCCCACGCTAACCGCACCGCAACAACCCCGGACCATTTTTTTTTTCCTCTTTCACGCACACAAGCGACACAGTGGCGTGCTACTGCTACTGCTACTGCTACTGCTACTGTTACTATCATTATTAGTGGACGATCATTCCAGCGCCACACAACGAGCAGAGCTCATCTTTGTTTTTCTTCCTCCTCGCATCCGCCTCCAGCGGCTCAAACGCTTCATAAGAAGAATCTGATTGCGCTACTCTGTTGTTGGTCGTTACGGCGGTCCTGGACGTATTCGGACACACGGACGCATAGTACTCAGTACGACTGCCTTTTTTCTCTCTTGTTCTTTTATTGGTTTGTTTGCCAGCACACATGTCCAAAATCAATGCCACGTACAGCTCCGGCTACTACATCGCCCCTGATGTCGACTTCCGTAAGCTGGAGGAGCAGCAGCGCCAGGAGAGGCGAGGGAAGCGGCGACAGCCCGGTGCCGACGACGCCGCCGACGACGACAATGTGAAGCGGCAAACCTTTGCCATGCCTTTCGACCTCATCTGCTTGCACTGCAACCGTCGCATCGCACGCGGCAGCCACGTCTACACCAACCGCCGCGCGACGAATGAGCGCTACCTCGACAGCATCCGCATCTGGGAGCTGGAGATGCTGTGCCGGTTTTGCAAGGAGAAGTACTACCTGCGCACCGATCCGGAGACGCCCAAGGACACGGGCGGGTACATTTGCCTTAAGGGGTGCAAGCGTGTGGAGGGCGACTTCTACGATCTGAACAAGCAGAACCAAGAAGCCCGGGAGGAGTGGAAAAAGGCGAAGGCGGAGGCGGAGCTGGACCCGCTCGCGGCGCTGGAGAAGGAGAACGAGGCCGCCCGTCAGCTGGAGGAGCGCAATCGCCAGATTGAGGAGGAAGTCGAGCAGCAGGCAGAGCACGACGACAGGGACCTTCTGACGATGCTGCGCAGCCGACCACGGCGGCACGCGACGCTGGGCGATGCGAACAGCAGTCACCACAGTGATGATGTGAGTGATGGCGATGGTGACCCAGACACTCCCTCGGCACCAGCAAAACCTCCGATCTCGTCGACCGGCCTACCACCAGCACCGACCTCAAACTTGATCAACGCAGATAAGGACGGCACCGGTGAGTTCGGCGGTGCGGAGGACGTCGACAACGACGACGCTGGCGAAGACGCAGACGAGCGGAGCTACCGCGAATTTGAGGAAGACATGGACCGGCGCTGGCGAGCTCTGGAGCGGGATCAGCGTGCGCAGCGCCGCAGGGAGCAGGAAAGCGTGAGTGCGAAGTCGACCGTGCAGGAAAGCGAGGTGGATCGTGTGCTGGCCCGCTACGGCGGTGTGCGTCATGCGCCGCCTTCGACAGCAGAGAACGGCACTCTGGCGGGGACGGCGCCGGCTCTCTCCACAGAAATCAGCGGTCTGACGGTGAAGGACGACTCTAGAGTGGCAGAGGGGTCAGCTTTCACGGCATCCGCAGTGCCGTCGGTGCGCCGCAATAAATTTCTCGTTGCGGTTGAAGAGGGGGACGATGGCCCCGATGCGGCGTGGAGGGCGCCGATGACACGGCCCGCTACCGCGGTGGTGGCGCCGGTCTCGACGGTCGCCACGGCGGCCACTCATGGAGTGTCTTCCCAATCACGGGTTGGAGGCAGCGCTCTCCTGCGCAACCTTGTTGACAGCGACAGCGACGACGACGACGGCGATGCTGATGCCAGCACATGATGGTTAAAAAGAAGAGGGGAATGATTTAATTCCGCAGGTTGCGAAATCGACGTCCTCAGGATCGGTCGCACGCGAGCAACGTGGTATTACTTTTTTCTCTCTTTGGCTGCTCTTATGGTGTGTGATGATGCTCAACAATCGAAAGAATACATATTCTCTGGTTAAGGAAGGGAGCGGCAAAAACGCCAAAAGGACACTTTTTTGTTGCTGGTTTCGTCAAAGCGAAAAGCAAGAAACGAAAGCAATGGCTTTCTGTGGTCTTATCGCGTAAGCAGCTTCAAGTTTGTGGTGGTTTGCTTTGAAGCTGCGCATGGCTTCACAATCAAACCCTCACTCCTTCCAAGTATTTCCTTCCTTTCCTTCTACTTCTTTTGATGCGAAAATGCTCGCAACCGATCATTCGAGCATATTAAAACCTACTTGTTTTTGTGCATCGTACTACTACAACCTGCTTCTCTCGACGTAGAGCTCGGCACGTCAGTGCGGATGTGCAGTAGAGAAAAGTCTTAACTATATATATATCAATTCCCCGTTTCGGCTCGTTGAGCTGCCGTCTTTGTCGCGTGAGGCGGTCATATCAGCACAAACGTCTGTGCGCTTGTCAGTGAAGTGGCAGGAACAAATATAGTACTTCTTTTTTTGTGAGCCTGCGAGGGGAATGGAAGGGACGGAAAAAATGAGTTGAATGTGATTGGCAGCGGAGAGATTGGCGGATCTCGGTCATTTAGGGTAATGCTCTAAACTATCTTCTCCTTTTCTATTACCTCCTGAATCCTGGTTCTTCCGTATTCTGGTTTGCCTGGCACAGTTGTTTTCAGCATCGAGAGAAACTCCGGTTTTTCGCTGAAATCCACCCGCCCACCCCCGGTCCCTCCCACGACAGGGACCCATGGGATCCTTAAAAAGATCCATGATTTTTGTTTTCCTTGCACTTCGTAAAGCGATACTCTCTGAGAAAAAGTCCGACGACAAACACGACAGATAAAGAAGAACGGAATTGGGGCAGATACTAGATAGTGAAGAAACAATGAGTAGCCTTGATGGGGACATTGATGCCAGGTACTCGCTAGTTATGTATTTCCCTAAATGCCGTGCAATCACTTCGACTCTTGACTTCCTATCCTTCTTATTCTTTTGTTAATCGGAAGAGCATCGTTGGAGCAGCAAAGCTGAGCAGTATCACACGTAGCCATTTCGTTGCACATTTCAGGCAGTGTGCCTGGACGTCTTCGCGAAGCAGCTACACAAAAGCTTAATCATAAAGAAAAAAAAGGCTTGCTCATTTTCTTTTTTGAAGAAAGAAAAGGCTGTGCGCATTGCGTAGGAGGTCAACGAGCACCCACATCAGGAGCTGCTCCATACAACCGAGAAGCGTCTGCCTCGTTGAGCTACGCTTGTGTGTCCATCGTTTCCGGACGATATTTAGACGTACGCCCTCCTTTTTTTATTTAGTGCCAGCCGGTGAAAAGACAAAAACAGAAAATACCTGTGGGCTCAGACATGTCGAGTGGACCTCCACCACCTCCGCCGCGTCCTGCGGCCGCAGGTGGACGTGCTGGCGCACCGCACCCCACGTCCATGTTCGCAAAGCGTCCCCCAGGCGGCGTAGGGGCACCAATCCCCTTTGCTGCGGCGAACACCGACCCGGCCGCGCGACGAACCGATGGGCGGAGTGTGTATAGTCAATACACGAATCCGATGAGCAATGCAGGACCGGCTGCGGCGTTGTCCTCATCGCCATTACCACCGCCACCACCACCTTCTGGTAAGGCAGTGGGCAAACCTATCCCCGCTGCTGGCCCTCGCTACGCCGTTCCAGACTTCGCTTTTGGAGAGGCCCCCGACACCGCCCAAGCGAGGAATCAACAACCCCGGCCTCAGCCTCAGCCTCAGCAGCAGGAGCAACAGCAGCTATCACAACGTGAGAACGAGGGTAAGGCGTTGTCACTGCCGCCGTGGTCAACGGTCACGGAGCCCCCGTCGACAGCGCGGGTTCCACTCGACCCACGAACGCCGCCCACCACGCATTCCAGTCCCGTCTTTCACTCCACCATCCAACACGTCGGTGGAAATCAGAGGGTCCACGGAGATGCGCCGCCGCCACCGCCACCAGCTTCAGCTCCCCCCCTTCCCACCCCACCTCTGCCAGGGGCTGCCTCGACGAACACATCGGCCTTTCCTCCCTCGCAGCCTCCTGCACCGACCGCGGCACCTTCTCTGTCCAACACGAGTTCTGCCCCGCCGCTCACGACGCGGTTAAACCGATCGTCCCTGCGTGGCGCGGCTGGCTCGCGTGCCGCCAGCACCGGCGCTGGCTCGCGCACCTCCTCCGTTCACAGCCAGCGTGATCCGCATGGCTCGTTCGGCGACGCAGAAGAGCCACAGCAGACCACCTCCTCTTTGTTTGCGTACCCACCCCAGCAGATGAACAAGACGCCCACCACGACCACCGCGCCGGCAGCCCCGGGGTACAGCAGCATTCCCACCGCGAACGGAAGCCGCCCCCCATCACGCCACAGCGGCACGCGTCCCGTCGCCCCGGCTACCTCGGCGGCGACTATCGCAGCGGGCAGTCGCCGGGCACTGTCGTCGACGGTGGTACCGTCGCCCAACACAGCAGCCGCCTCACTCCATCGCGATATTCCCTCCTTCCTGCAGCCGTCCGGGAGCGCTGGCGGGCTCCTGCTCTCGCGGCGTGGTGGGGCTGCCGCGGCCACCGCCGGGACAGGCGCACACGGCACCTCCACCTCTTCGCGTGGACGAGAGCTGCTTGAGGCGGCGCTGAAGTCGCGCGGGAGCCGCGGCTCGCAGCTGCGCAGCAGCGATGCGGTCCAACCCGCGACTCCCGCGGAGCGCAGTCTGACCTCGCTGCACAGCAAAGAGAAGATGGAAAGGGATTCGGCAGATGGGGCGCCCGCGCTGGAGATGCGGAAGCCAGCAGCCCCTGTGACAGACGGCGTAGCCAGCGCTGCCTCACAAGAGGGGGTGAGAAAGGAAGACGGTGTGTTCAGCGGGCACCGACGGACCTCGACCGGGGACTACTCCATCGCGTCGCGGAGTTACCGCGCGGCCGACGCGAGCGGGTGCACCTCGCCGGTGCTGTGCGTGCCAGCGCTGCAGCCCGGTCAACCGCCAGCGCACGACGGGCCGACGAACCACAAGGACGGACACACCTTCTCCTCCTCCGCGCGAGCGGAGAGAACTTCAAACGAGTTGATCGCAGGTGAGGTGGACGCGTCGACGAATGAGGTGTGCGACATTGCTCACAGCCACACGCCGCGCTCCGGCGCGATGGAGCCGTTGCCGACGCCGACGGAGGAGACCTCCCAACGCAACACCAGCGCGTCGCCCGGTTTGCTCCCGCAAAGCGCCACGCTGTTGCCTCAACCAGCGGAGGAGGAGGAGCGGGAGAAAGATGACGGAAAGCAAGCAACGACGTCAGCCGCCGCACGCGGTTGCAACCCCTTTCTTGACTCCGGTGCGGACGAGGCGGACGCTGTCTTTGGGCTGGACGCTCCGCTGGTGGATGCGTCGCCGCTGCCGGAGCAGCCGCCGCCGCTGACGCTGACGGGAGACGCCGCTCGGACCCAACCTTTTAACCCTTTCGCAGACGCGCCGCGGACGGGCGGCGGCCGTGCCGAGGTTCCCTTGGCTCCCCCACCCTTGCCAAAGCCACAACTGTCACAGCAACATCCACGGCAGCAGACTTCTCAAAGGGGTCCCCCAACCAGCGTCGCTGCGCCGCCGCTGCAGCCGCCTCCACTCCCGCCTCTGCCACCGCCGCGTCTGGCGACACCAAACGGTGCTGCGTCGCTCTACCCAAACAACGACTACAAAACTCCGCGTGGCGGCGCTGCAGGTGGATCGGTGCCGCAGGCGCAACAACAGCAGCCTTCAACAGGGCTGCCACTGCCCTCAACTTCATTCGGCAGTGCCGTGCGTGGCTCCTACGCGGCCTCGCCGTACGTCCGCGAAGGGGAGGGCGCGCGGGCCGTTTATGAGGACTCCCCGCTGCCGCTGCGTCCGCCGTCGTTCAACAGCATGCCGCAGCTGGAGGGGGAAGAGGCGCAGGCGCAGGCACACGAGCAAGAGCAAGAACAAGAGCAAGAGCAGGTGGTACCGAGTCTGGAAGGGAAAGACGATGACCTTGGTGGCCACTTGTTACAGCAAGAGCAGCAGCAGCAGCCGGTAAATTACGAAGGCGATGGCGGGTCAAACAGCGTTGAGCACCCATTCGAGTGGGATACGACGGAGCCTGGAATGGGTAACGCGGCAGCGAATGCCGACGTCGATGACGGAAGCTACCTCAGCAGTAGCGAAGAGCAAAGCGCGCGTGCGCGTCGTCTGACACAGCTGCCGAGTGACACTATTGCTCAAGTCACGCTGGCTGCACACCATGATCCGCATCCGCACGCGGCTTCCCCTTCATTTCCAGAGAACAGAGCTGCAGCAGCTGCTGCCGTCCTTACTGAACTATCCGCTGTCGAGCAGACATACCCACAAGCTGAAGCACCGCCGCCGCCGCCACCGCCGCTATTGCCGCACTCCGTCCCTGCAGACCACAACCGTGGAGCTCCAAATCCGTTTGCGTCGCGCCGGCCCGACTCCAGTGTGGGGCGTGTGGACGATGCTCGTCTGCAGCATCAGGGGCTTCTGCCGTCGCGTGTGCAGGTGGCCCAGCAACTCGCTCCAGGGGACGCAGCCGCCGCGATGACGCGCGAACATCCACAGAACTCACCCAACGGAGAAGGGGAGGCACCCGCAAGGCATCAGTGCGAGGGTCTCTCGCAGATCAGCGCTGCCTTTTTGGATACTCACTTTGACAGCGGCAACAACACTGCACAGGCGTACCTGCGATCTGCCTCACCGCCTGCGCCGCCGCCGCCGCTACAGCCGCAGCAACCACCGGGTAGTTCGTCTCCCCACGACGTGAAGGAACACGACGATTACTCGCACGCGAGTTTCGCCTCCGCCTCCAATCCATTCCTCGACACCAATGAGGAGGCGCTCCCTCCGCCCGGAAACCAGACCGCCGCCGCCACAGCCGCGACGACGACGTCAAAGCTGCACGTGAAACCGGTGCTGAAGCCCCCCAATGCCCTCAACATTTCCTTGAACTCCCTGACGCCGCAGCAAATGTCTCCAAACGTCTTCTCCGCTTCGCTGGAGCCGTTGGGCGGCAACGCGAACCCCCCGCCGGGGCAGCCAATCTCCAACCCGAGCTCCGTCAACGGCGGCCCTCCGCTCAGCCTCAACGAGGACGACCTGAACGCCGCCGTCAACAGCAACAACGCCATCCCAACGAACGGCGTGTCTGTTGGTGCGGCAAGCCAGACGCCTAGTGGGTTGGCGCTCGTGAACCCCTTCTCGAAGGCGGCGCGCAACAGCGCGGGGACCGCAGTGGCGGACGTGGGGAGCACCGCTGGACAGTCACCCGCTACCTCCCTCACGAGCTCCTTTGCAGGGCGGCGCAAGTCACGCCGGCTCAGTGCCCCGAGCTTCGCCATCTTTGTCGGTGGGGCCGCCACGGGGGTGCCAGACACGGAAGTGAGGAGGGGCGTCTCATGCATCGCGGCGTGCTTCAACCACCCACGTACGCCGTCGCCGCCCGGAAATGTCGGTGTTCACGGCAACGGCGCAACGGCGGGACGCACCTGCTCCCCCCCCGCACAGGCCTCCCCCGGCAGCGGCGCGGTGTCGCACGCGAGTTCCTTCCGAACTCCCCCGGCGAACGCATCGAACCGCCCCAGCGGCGCTGCAACCGCCACGCCGCGTTCTGCCGGTGCGACGAACGAAAGATCAAGCAGCAACAATGGTGGTAGGAATACGCTCTCTTCCGGCAGTGGCATCTACCTCAGCTTCTGCAGCATGACGGAGGCGCTGACCGCGAAGGGCTCGGTGATTGACCGCAAGGGAATTCGCGGCACCGAGTCGGGACGGCGCTACCTACGCGTGCTGCGGGACGCAGTGCTGCCGTGTGCTCTAGCGGCAAACGAGTGGGCCGCCAACGGGCCGAGGTGGTGCGATATGGAGGCGGCGATGCAGTCTCTCGAGAACTGCGTGTCTTCCCCGCTCGCCAGCGTGTTGACGATCATCTTGAAGGACGCCATGAAGGAGGAGACGCAGGAGGGCTTTGTGTGGAAGGACAACGGCGGACGACGATTGGGAGAGTTACTGTTGGTGTCCGCTCAGGCAGAGGCTCGCAAGCACGCCATCACCGCCTCGGATGGGAGGGGCAACGCGGCTCTGGCTTCTGCGTTAAATGCATCTCCGCTGAATTCTTCGATAGCCGGCGGCGGCTCCAGCGTGGTGATGGACGCAAAGGAGAAATCGGCAGCGTTGCTGAAGGTCGAGGATCTCCTTTGCACTGGACAGCGCGTGGAGGCGGTCGGGGTAGCGCTGGAGGCGCGGTTGTACGTGCACGCCCTCCTCATTTCCATGATGTGCCCCACGAAAGACGAGTATCTCCGCACGGTGCAGGCGGTCACGCAGAAGGAGCTGCTCTCATACTCCCCGCTGGCCCAAGCGTACAGCATGTTTAACGAGCTGCCACTGCCCCCGCTGCTGCCGCCATCACTTCCACAGGCTTCCGCAAAGCACGAGGAAGAGGACGGTGCGGCTGGCCAGGATGCGCGGCGCACGCGTGAGCTCCTGTTGCGAGACCAGGCCATCTTAAACGGTACGTGGCGTCGTCAAGCGGCAATGTTGGTGGCGAACTTCACGCGCCACAGCGGCGAGGGATTGCTGAGGCTTGCCGGCAACCTGCACCAACTCCACCTTGTCGTAGAGGCGCACACCTGTCTCTTGTTGCTGCACCTCACTCCACTAGGGATGGCAGGCCCCGTCCGTGCCGGAGCACCGCCGCTGCCGCCTGTGTCCACCATGTCCGCAGAGGAAATCGAGGACGTGCTGCCGCGGCCCGATCAACGGCAGGTGATGGACGAGATTCGCCGTCGCATCGGCGTGGTGGGCGGCTGGTACCACCCCACGCAGGGCTGCCGTGCGAGCTTCCTGACTCCAGTGACTACACTGTTGACGCAGCTGCTGCAGCTTGCGCGGGAGCAGCTGAACGCACGTGCCCCGCCGCTGGAGGTGCCAGGGCTGGCTGGCCCACCGGTGCCTTTCCACGGCCTACCGGGCTGCCCGCCGCGCACCGACGTCGGCTACCGCATGATGCAGGTGCTGTGGCTGCGTGAGGTGGGGCTTGTGCGGGAGTCAAAGCAGGCCCTCGCGGCGCTGCGACAGCGCATGCCCACGCCGGCTGCCTTCTCCCTCTGCGCCCCGCCCCGCACGTTGAATGAACTGGTGTACTTGTTTGGTGGACTGCCTCCGCCACCACCACCGGAGTCCTTCGGCGCAGAGTCGCCGACGCTGCCACGTGACGTGTCCACACCAGGGAGCACGTCCGGCTCACGGCATCCCTTTTCCAACACCGCCTCTATCGCCTTGGAGACCCACTCGGCGGAGGAGAGACGGTTGGACTCGGGTGAGTTTGTAGGGCGTGGCGGACGTGATGGGTCGGGACAGATTCCGAGTTCTCCAGACGACCGGCAGGCGGATCAGCAGCTACTTCCACAGCCACCGCAGCAGCAGCAGCAAGGGAAGCCGCCTGCTGTGACAGGTCTCACGCCGACACAGCGCGCCACCGCTCTCCAACCACCCACGCGGCCACAGCAGCAGCCGCCACCGCCGCCGCCGTCAAACACGCGAAGTCCACCGGCTCCACCGCCACCGCAGACCGCAGCTGCGCGCCCAGAGGAAAGAACGGACGGGAACCGCAATAAGCCGGCAGCAAAGCCGGCCGCCAAGCCGGCAAGTCGTCGCTCCCGCTCCATGGATGCACTGCGCAACTTTTTCTTCCGCCGTGGCAAGAGCGAGGCGGAGGGCGGGGAGAAGACGGAGGAGGCAAAGCCGATGCACCTCGACACGGAGAAGGCGCCTGCCTTTGACCCGGTCACAGGGCGGTGGATGTTCCCCGAGACGGACGAGGAAAAGAAACTGCGTGAGCTGACGAAGCAAGGACCGCCCAAGATGGCGCCGAAGGCAGCTGCTGCTGCGGAGCCTGCTGGGGTGGCTGGCGGTGGGCCACTGGCACCGCGCGCGAGGAGCCCTCCTGGTCTTCCGCCGTCGTCAGCGCCTGCGGCTGCTGGCGGTGGCGGTGCGACGCGACCTGCACCCACGCACGGTGCTCCGGCTCCAAAGTTTGCGCCGGGTCGTGGGGCGCCGCCGCCGATGATGGCAGGCCGCGGTGGGGTGCGTCGCCCCGGTGGGCGGCAGCAGTACGTCGATGCGTTCAACAACGCAAATTGAGGCGACGTTTCGAGAGGGGTTCTACCTTTCACTGTGTGTGTGTGTGCGTGTGTGTGTGGATGAGGCTGGGGGTTGCAACAGTCGCTGCCGTGCGATCTGAACTCATGTCACCCCGTCCGCGTTTTGCTTCGTAGGTTGTTGGGCTCTTTCTTTTCGCCCGTTCGTACTCCTCGGACACAAAGTACGTTGTTGTGCCGTGGCGTAGTGGTGGTGGCTGTAAAAAAAAGGGGGTTTTTGTGTTCTGTGTTTGAGCTTGATTAGGTGAAAGGACGGGTGTGCGTTACGTGTCGTGGGCCGCAGCGTGAAGGAAACTCTGCATTTTTTTTTTTGATTTCTCGTGAGGCGGACACGACAGAGCTGCACAGCGAATTACTGTTATTATTATTATTAGTAGCTTTGTTAAGTAACGACTCTTTTGCACTCTCGCGTCGGTTGGATAGGTCAGAGTTAGCGCGGGATTATGTTGCCTGCTCATCGTGCTCAGTACTACTCCCACAGGTGTGGAGAGAGACGAGTGCGAAGAGACATTTCGCTGGGGTTTTGCCAGGAGTGTACGTCGATGGTCGAGCGTGGCTCTCTTCTCTCCTGTTCATGTTTTTATTGTTTTCTGGAGAGTCAACACCAGCATCGCGCAACGTGTGCACGCACCAGTGGTGGCGTGGCCGCCTACAAAAAGTTACTCCACGCATACATCCATGCAAAAGCCAAGCAAAGAGCGAGACAAGAATGGTACATCGTGAAAATGGAAGCACCAACCCCCTTTTTTTTCCTGTTTCCGTTCCGTTGAGATACATTGGCTTTTCGTTGCTGCTCTGACAAGTTAACGACACGCATGGAAGAGCGCAATCTGCATGGTTCTGGCGAATCCCGTTGCTACCGCGGAGACAGCATAATATATGTGTTATGTTGTTGACGATGACCATCGAAGGTGGCGGTGATGCCCTGTCAGCCGAATTTCAGCGCCGGGAAAGGAACACCTAGACCCCTTCTTTTTGCCTTCAACTTTTCTCTCTTTCTCTTTTTTCCCTCTGTCTGACGTTTTGAATGATAATAATAATAATAAAAAAAAAATATTAACCCGTTCGTGCGCAGGTTTATGATCCCAAAAGTCACGAAGAAAATCAAAAACAAAGCGGATAGCAGATCTGTTTTCTTGTGTGGTGTGAAGGTTCTTTTTTTTCCCCTTCGTTTCGATATTTTAGCTGGCAAACTACAAACACAGACATATGCATATATACTCTGATTTCAAAATAAGCGCCTTTTCTTTCCTGCGCCTTTTGTATCTCTATACTTACATTTACTTTCCTTCGTCGTTGTCTTTTTTCCTTTGCAATTTGTGAAGTCGAAAAGGAAGAGAAGAAAGAGATAAGATACAACTGCGATGAGCTCGCCAGAGAAGACTGTGCCGCCGCAGGAGGGGGGACCCGTCTCGCCCCACACCCCCGAGTACCCCCCGTCTCCCCCCGCGTCGCCGGTGCTGTCCGCTGAGACACCCACCATCGGCATCGATATAGGATCAGTCACCACCCGCATCGCGGTGCTCTACCCTGCAAAGCCGATGCCAACGATTATCCGCAACTCCCTCGGCAACGAGGCGACCAGCACCGTCGTGTCCTTCGCCGCCAATGAGGCGCGCTCCTTCGGCGAGAACGCCGCCGCACGGCAGGTGACGAAGGCGAGCGAGACGGTGGTGGACTTGGCGCCGTGGATTTTTGGCAACACCGCCGGCGAGGAGCAGATGACGGACCGGCAGGCATCGCTGGAGGTGATGTCACCGACGCTGGCCATGTCCGAGGCGATCACGCTCGCCGTGCGTCAGCTGGGCTCACAGCCACACCCGGTGCACCCCGCGCAGGTGGCCGCCTACTACATCAAGTGCCTGCTGGGTTTTCTGCACGATAAGGGCATGGTGCACAGCTCCCCTCTCTGCCTTGCCACGCCGTCCGCCGCGACGCGCGCCTCGTTTGAAGCGCTTCGTCAGGCCGCCCTCCTCGCCGGTGCCCCGCAGGAGCTGACGCTCATCGCGCCGTCGGATGAGGCCAACGCGGTGTACTTCCACCACATGCAGTACGCCCACCTCCCCGCGGCGCGCGAGGCGTCGGTGCCGGTGGTCCTGATCGACATTGGCCAGAGCTGCTCCACTGCCTCTCTCATCCTCGCCTCTCAGCAGTGCGTGGAGAAGATCACGTGCCAGACGCTGCGGGTGGGCAGCGCGTACATCGACACCCTCCTATGCAGCCACGTGTACAACGAACTGGATAAGAAGTTCGGCGCTGCGGCCGCTCCCCTGCGCGGGGACATTAAATCGTTCCGTAAGATCTTGCGGGAGTGCCGCAAGGCGAAGGAGGTGCTGTCGACGGCGGATGAGACGCGGGTGATGCTGGAGGGCCTGCGCGGCGACATCGACATCGTCATCCCCATCACGCGCTTCCTGCTGGAGAAGGCCGCCTCTCCGCTGCTGCGCTCCATTCGGATTATGCTGTCGTCCGTGAAGGACAACATCCCAGCCACCAACGGCGCCGGCGAACCGGTCGTACCGCGTGTGGAGGTGATCGGCGGTGGCTGGCGCACCGTCTGCGTGATGGAGGTGATTAAAGAGGTCTTTGCGATTGACCGGGTGGGCCTGTCGCTCGATGCGAATCTGGCCGTGGCGGAGGGCAGCGCCATCCTGGCGGAGGTGTTCCGCCTCTACGTCCACAAAGACAAAGCGGTGAAGCGGGCGGAGGAGGACGCCGGGGAGACGGTGGCACCGCAGCATCGAGTGGAACTGGTCGGCTTCGAGGTGCTCAACGAGCAGTCGCCTATCTCCGCTCCTCTTTCGGCGGACGCCGTGTCGGCGGTGTCGGGGTGGACCTGCACCGAGCAGCAGTTGGAGGCGCTCGATAACCGCATTCACGAGCGTCTGGCCGCGCTCAACCAGCTTGATTCCTACATCCTGCAGACGATGAACGACCTAGACAGCTGCGAGGCGGCGAAGGAGAAGAAGGCGGAGATGCGGAACTATTTGGAGGGGGCGGAGGCGTACGTGCGCAGCGAGGGCGACGAGGCCAGTACGGAGCAACTGAAAGAGAAACTGACGGAGGTGCAGGGCCACGTGAAGGAGCACTTTCCCGAGTTAGCGGAATACCACGCCAAGGTGCGCGCCGAGCAGAAACGCAAGGAGGAGGAGCTCGTAAAGCTGAACCAGGAGCGGCAGGAGGATGAGTCCGATCTCAAGAGTGATCCGCAGCGTCTGCGCGTGGCACAGAAGCGTCGTGAGCAGGGACAGAGTCTTTTCAAGGAGGAATGCTGGGCCGAGGCGCAGACGCGCTTTGTACAGGCGCTATCCATTCTTCGCCAACTTTACGACTCCAATAGTGAGGAGAACAAGGCGAAGAAACTCGAGATTTCGCTCTCGTGCTACCTCAACATTGCCTCCTGCAGCGTCAAGCAGGGGATGTGGAAGAATGCAGTGAACAACTGCAGCAGTGCCCTGGAGCTCGCGCCGGACCACCCCAAAGCGCTTTTCCGCCGCGGCCAGGCGTATAGCGCGCTGAAAGATTACAAGGAGGCGGTGGTGGATTTGGAGAAGGCGAAGGATCTGTCGAAGGACGACCCGGCGGTGCTGGCGGAGCTGACCAAGGCGAAGGCCGCGCTTGAGGCACAGAAGGCGAAGGAGAAGAAGATGTTCTCCAAAATGTTCTCGTGAGCGCGTTGCCTGCAATTACAACGTGCCGATGGCGTGCGTGTATGTGTGTGCGTGCGCGGAAATGAGAAGAACAAAAAAAAACATCAGCAACAACACAGAAACGTAGCTGTTTATGTGTGGATAGCGCTGACATCGAGATGCAGAGGTGAGTTCCTTCCCTTTCAAGGATGGCTGACCTCCTGCGACTCGCTCTTGTCTACCTATTTTTTTGAATTTTTTTTTTTAGGTTATGCCTGCCCTCTCAAATTTGAGTTTCGCTGAGCCGTTTTGATTTTGGTTTTTGTTTGTTTAACGCTTGTTGACACATCATTCATCTCTTGTATGTTTCCCCGATGTACTGGGTGGCACATGGAGGGCAGTGCACGCGGACCTGCATGCATCGTGGTCCGCTTTTTACTGCTCTTCTTCTTCAAAAAACAAGAGTGTTGACTGCGTGGAGGGTGAATAAGGGCACGGTGAAAAATAAACAAAAAACGCTTCGTTTATTTACTCATTTAGGACGCATTTTTTCTTTTTTATTTGCCTTTTTATTTGCCATTTCTTCGTGTATGTGTGTGTGTGTCTTGCAAGACAGAGACCCACATGTTCGCTGTTGCGTGATTGCGTTGACTGGCAAAGACGACCAAAAGAAGTGGAGACCTTGAAGCGTCAACACTGTAAAGAGGGGGGAGGGGGAGAGGTCGTGCTTCGTGCTTCAAGCCTTACTATTGGAAAGAGAAAACACGAGCGGTTGAAAAGGCTTTGCAGGACCCCATTTTGAAGTTGCTTTTCGAGATATCGAACGGAGCTATGAAGGTTTTCCTTCATGATAATCTGTGTTTGGAACCGATAAGACATGTAAGTAGCCTCCTCTATGCCGTTGGCCACGCCAAAAAAAAACCCCCGGCCAATGCAGTGGAAACCCCTCCTTCTTTTGGTTGTCACATTCTCTATCCCTCCTCCTCTTCCTCCTCTTCCTCCCCTTTATTTCCTTTCTTTTTCTTTCTGCGTTTTTCATACACACCTCGGATTGCTACGGCCGGCACATGTTGAGGACTTTGATTTTGTACTATTCCTTTTACCAGCCGTGAGGAGGCACCTGCGCGGACATCCTTCTTCTTTCGCACAAGACGATTGGTGCGCTTCTGCGCAAAACGTTGTCGCATGAAGGCATTCGCACCAGAGCCACATATTCATCACACCTGCGCTTGTCTACGCGGCAGCGAACACGACATCGCTTTTTTTTTGGTTTCTTCTCTGCATTCGCAAATAGATATTTCACCCTTCTCATATTTTGTGCACGCACGCACGCATCTTTCTTCCCTGTCGTTGTGGCGCAAACCTATTCCCCCTTTTTTTGGCTCTCGTTTCTTAACGACTCCCAGCTGCTCCTCCACCCCCTCCCCGTCTTCGCGTTTTTCGCCGCTGAGCTATCTGCTCTTCGGCTGTGATAATACGTCGTTTTACACATTCATTGTTGTTTTGTAGATGCGTAGAGACATCCGCTGACCCTTTTTGTTTTAACAACGAGGTTTTATTCGAGGAGTTTTTTTTTAAAGCCCCTTCAAAGATTTGCTTTTAACAACAGCCAACACAACAGTAGTGAAGTGCTGGTGCAATGACATCGTCCATCCAGGAGCCTGACGTGCGCACCATCGTGGCAATCGCGGAGTGCGTGCATGCGTTGCGACAGATCGAGGTGAAGTCCTGCGCTGGGCTTCACGTTCCCATAGACAACGGCAAGGCACCTCCGCCTTCCTCCGGCACAAGGCGCGTCGACGTCTCGCAGAAGAAACACGCGCCTCACAGACAAGGCGACCCGCTGTCCACTTCTAGGCACGAGGCCGACCGCCCATCTCACGGTGCTTTACCGTCTACCTCCCCAGCACCCGCGTCGACGTGTTCCTCGTGGCAAACGGTTGAAAAGGATACGTACCGTTCTCCTCCGCAGCGACAGGGAAAAGAGTTAGCTGGGCACACGGGACCGCTTCCCCATCCACGAGTGGTGCAGCATCAAAAGGGGGTAGCGGAAAAAGAGGAAGGGAGGGAGGACGATGATCTGTTTAGTATCGAAGTAAGTAGTCTGCGCTATTCGTGGCTGCACGACAACCCTCGCCATGCAGCGCGGAGAGATCGCTGCGACAGCAACAATGACGCGTCTCGGCTGAAGCAAGAGCCCTCGCTGAAGAGTGGAGATGATTCCAAGATGCGCGGAGAGCGATACAGCGAAGTGTGGACCCGGCAGCTGAATAGTGCGCCCCTTTCCACCCCCGTAGCACCGTCAGACCACGTTCTTACTCTTCGCCATTATAGTCGGGACAGTGATGGCAGTGGAGATCGCGAAAGCGCACGGAACAACCGTGGCGCTCATCACCCCTCTTCCGCCTGCGCATCGATTAACCTCTCCGCGGTACAGCCACCGAGCGTCACCACATCCGCTCGCACAGAGTCGCACCACATAGGTCATTCATTACGTGCAAACGATCCAGCTGCGTCGTCATCGCGAGTTTCTTCTTCCTCATTACGTCCTGTTGGCCCGCCGCAGCGTTTCCAGCGTGAGGGGCACGTAAATCTACGATTATTGCGCGAACCTGGGCCAGCCGACACGGCGACGGCAGAGGCTGGAGCGGGTATTCTTCCTCGTTCGCAACTGGCACCGCAAGAGCAGGGAAGCATCTCGAGTGCGCGCAGCATGAGCGGCGACAGCGATTTCTCAGAGGTCGGCGCACGGCAGCGCAGCGCAGCAGCAGCATCAATCGCGTCTGTTCGGTCGACGTCCCCAATTACGGTTACGGCTGCGGCTGCGGCACGCGGAGAGGGTAGTGTGGCTTCCCATGGCACGGGCGTTTCTCGCGTTTCCATTCGATCGGCAGCGGATTCTCTGTCGAATCAAAACTCACCGGCTCCCTCTGCTCCATCAATGCCGCACGCTACTTCTCGCCTTCTCACTCACGCGGTTCACAGCGATAGCCAAAAAAGCAGTCGATGTAGCAGCAGGAGCAGCAGGAACGGGAACAGCATGCGCCGCGATCATCATGAACACCAAAGCGGTCAGCGAGCGCTGACTCTTCCGGCTCATGCGCTTTTTTCCACCGCGGCCACACGCGCTTCGCAGGCAGCGGTGCAGTACGTCTTGGACATCCAACGCCGCCTCTCGCCGGACACGTACGAGCATGACTGGCAAGTGCAAGCGCCCCGTCGCACCTTCACGACGTCGGACAGTCGCCAGCGTCAGAAAGGCCAACGTGTTCATGATACGAGCGACAACTCGGCTGCCGCTCCTCCCCTCTCTCCGGATGCTGCCGAGGAAAGAAGTACGTATGCCTGTGTCCCTCTATCGCACTTGAACCGCACGCCGCACCTCGAACGTTACACGACTGCTGCAGGGGCTAGGTGTGGCACGGCTGACCCCACACATCGCGATCCCTATCGTTCTTCTCGTTCTTCTCCACTCACCAGCCGTCCTCCGCCACGTCTCGCCTCGCCTCCCAAATGGCCGCGTCTGACACTTGACCTTTCTCATTCTCTTGCTCCGCCTCTGCCGGCGCCGCCACCAGGACAGAACAACGAGGAGCCTGATGCGTCGACGGAGATTCTACGTGCGGCGGTGCATCGGATGCAGCAGGCCAGCAGCAGCGCCGCCGTGGACCACAGCGCCGTGTCCACTCCCGGCTCATCTTCCGCTGGAGATCGCTACGCGCTGCTGGTGGAGTCGGCGCGTCTCTTGAGCTCGTCGGTGCTCGTCTTCACTGCCTTTGCGCCGGGAGACCGGCAGCTCGCCCATTCTGCGGCCCGGTCAGCGAGTGCGGCGGATGCGGGCACCCCACCTCAGTCTCGGAGCCAGCCGCGCCGTGCACTACCGCTGTCTCGTGATGAAGCACTTTCGTACTGGTCGGTGAGAGACCGCTACACCGCCTCAGCCGAGCAAGCAACGCTTCTTTCTTCGCAGACGGAGTCGTCTGCACGGCGGCGGGGTGATCGTGAGGTGAGCGCGTCGCAGGGTCGCCCGCGGCGCAGCTTGGAGGGCGGAGCAGGGGACGCCGAGCGAGAAATGTCACTGCGGGAGCCATCTCCTGTTAGCGACGGCCATCGAAGTGCATCGTGTCAGAGTCACTGCAGTGGTGTTGCGCGGGAGGCCGCCCCTATCCAATTCGCGCCCTTGTCCGCCACCCAGCTGTTGTATCGCGACAACGTCCGACCGGAGAGGAGAGAAACGGTCGACGCGCACGAGGATCCACCCGCCTCGCGTGCACCTCGGCGCTACTACAAGTACATGTCTCCGGTCAGGCCGACACAGCAGACAAACGGCCAAAGGGATCTGCTGCGCGCAGGGCTAGAAAGTCCGTGTCTTACCTCGCTTCTGCTTTCCCCACTGTCGCCTCCGTCGTTGGCGAGCCCCCAGAATCGCAGTCCAAGAGCGCGTGAGGCCACTTCACAAGAACGTCACTGTGGTGAGCCACAAACTGCAGAAAGCGACGTGGATTCAATCCTTCAGCATTCAAAGGTTATGAGGTCGAAGCAGCCAAACACACCCGGGCTCTCCCCTTGTTTCGGTACAGCGGAGTGCGTTGCGGAGCCGAGGAGGCTGAAAGAGGCAAGGATGGCGCTTGAGAGATCCTCCAGCGGCGACGCCACGACCACAACACTTCCTCTCTTTGATAAAGATGTGAAGCAAGAAGGCGCAGCAGCGTTGACGTCTTCCGAAGAGGGTCAACACTCGGGCAGTAACCACAGCAAGTCGGCTTTGCGCTCCCGTGACGGGGTGAGAGAGGAAGAAGGGGAGGAGTACGACGAGCAACAAGCTGATGCACACAGCAGGAGTCCAAGCGATGCGTTCAGCGAGCAGACCGACGAGGCGGAGCGAAGTCCACCGCGAGCGAGAGGACTCAACGGGCAACGCCGCAGCCGCAGCAACGGCGACACTAACAACATCGCCAACACATCAACGACTTCCGCGAGTTTCTCCCCCGCGCAGCTCACCCCGTATCAGTCAACGGAGGGTGTAGGTTGGGGGTTTGAATGGGTCGCCGAGGACTTCGCCGCAGCGCATCAACGGTACTGCGACGGCAGCAGCGTACGGTTCGAAGACGGAGCCGGCAGCCCCGTCAGCGCTCCTTCTGCCTCAGAGAGCCGCGCGAGCGCTGGACACTATGCCAACGGAAGCCCACTGCTGTCGCGATGCCGCAACACATCCCTTTCTGCGGAGAGACTCTCGAACGACGAGTTCAGCGCTTCCGCTGCCGCGCCTCCGCGAGCGCGGCGCTCCATCAGTGCCAGCAGCTCCGGCATGCCCGTGCCATCTTTTCTTATCCCGCCTTCCTCGTTCTCGAACACGACCTCGTCAGATCCGCGGCACCCTCACAACCCCGGCGGCGCCCCTCTAGCCTTCCCAACGGCTCCTTCCGTTTCCTTTTCGAGCAGTCTCACTGGCATGCGAACGCAGTCCACCCTTTCCGCGGAGCGCACCCCAACCATGCCATCGTCGATGGACGCCGCGGCGCTTGAAATGTCTACCAGCGGGGTGCACACCCCGCACGCCGCGGCGCTGTTTGCGGACCTCCTGGCCGCCAGTACCACCTCCGTCGCCACCGTTGGGTCGCCGCCGCCGCCGGAAATGGAGGCGGGGAAAGAAGGACAGGACGTTAAGCGGTCCGACTCCTCGGGACACTCCTTTACGCAGTCAAATGGGGTTCAGCGAAGCGAAGATGGACCAGTAACTGCGGCATCGTCACAGGAGCGAAGGACGATCGGTGCGTCGAGCACAGACGATACACGTTTGGTGGCCTCGATGCCTCACGGGGGCAGTTCCGCTGTCGAAGACGGAGACGGAGATGTCAGGGAGCCGCCTTTGCAGCCGCCACGGCAGTCCACGCAGCTTCATGGCAACGCGCCGTATGACCACCGCTGTGAAAGGTGCGATGATCGCAATGGCAGCGATGGCAGATCGGATGCGGACAAGCAGTGCCGAAAAGCGATAGCGCTCTCGAGTGCACGTGACGGGGCAGAATCTGAAGCAATGGAGGACGACGCTTTCGATGACACGCCCCCGCGGCGTAGTGGTCGTACCTTTTCTCCCGCCCCGGTCATCTGTACTCACGGGGGCAGACGAGGGGAGGCGTTCAGCAACGACGGCAGCAGTATCGAGTGCTCAACGACGTTGCCGGCACAGGCGGAGTGGAGTGAGGCCAGCAGCGGCGGGGAGCCGGGGCTGCGCCGCTCGGCGCTCTCTGCGACCTCCTCTTCTTCGCCGCCGCCGACTCGCGAGACGACCGGAGTGCAACACAGAAGTGGGACTCCGACGCCGCTGGAGGACACGGAGAAGGGTGGGACGCGTCCTCGCCCCCGTCACCATCACCCTTCGAACGACGACGAACCGGGCGAGCCGCGCTGCTCTTCGCCTCCGCTGCCCAAAGATGATCGAATGCGTACTTGCAACTCCTACGGCAACGTTGTGCATTTTGACAAGCGATCTGGGGACCAAGAAAGCGCCGCAGCAACAACGACAGTAGAGGAGAAGGCAACACGGAGAAAACATCCTATGACTTCAGATGCGAGCACCGCTGCTGTTGCCAAGGATGCGTCGCCCGGACAAACGGAGCCAGAAGCTTCTCCACGCACCCACCACGACGTGCAGGACACCGTCGCACTGCTGCCCTGTTTGGCGCATCTTCCTCCTCCGCTGCCTCCCGCGAAAGCAGCGGCGTCACGCACGCGGCTCTCCGTACCAGGCGCGTTATCGAAGCCACCGATGGCCCCCACCTCGCATCGTCCGCGGCTGGCGACGTCCACACGCCCCCACCCTATTCTTTTTTTCCCCGCCCCAACAGCGGCGACGTCTGCCTCGAAAGAGGAAAGAAGGCGAGACGTTCCGGCAGCGGCGGGTGATGCAGAGCGCGGTCACGCCTCTTCGAAAGAAGCAGACTATTTTGATGCGGAGGATGACGGCTGTTGCGGCTACGAATATGATGTGGCGTACATGGAAGTGTAGAGGAGAATTCGGATATATGTTGTCTTATTGCGTTTCAATCAAACACCTATCAGTAGACTAGACTCTTTGTTTTCGAATGCCAAAAAGCATATATCGAAAGTGAAACCTGCAAACCTTTTTTTGCCTGCACTTCATTACAAATGCAAGTTTGAGAAAGCAGCAAGCGGAAGAGAACGAAAAAGTGCTTTCAACACCGCCGTTGCCCTTTCTTCTGTCTCTTTTCTTTTCTCTCCGGTTACGAGGGGAGCGGTCAATTGTGTGAAGGCTTAAGTGAAGCACACAAAATGCGGTTGATGTCGACATCTAGCTTTCCTTTTTCCTCACGCCGCTCCTCCTTCTGTTTTCTTTTCCATGCGTAAATGATAATAAAAACCAAAAAAAGTGCAAACGTCTTTCAATTCAGGAACTCCGAAACAACTGAAGGAATAGCTTCTTGGTTCGCTGCCCGCGGGCAGACCACCTTGTGTGTAAGTAAGATTTTTTTTTCTGTGTTGCTTCAACAACCTTGCCTCCTCCTTTTTTCTTGTTACGACTACCTCAGTCCTCGCTTCTGGTGCTGTATCGTGTATATATCCATATATTCAGGCACGCGTGCAGGCTCCGTCTCGGCGAGTTTTATTTTTGTTGCAGTTGCCCTCCACGGTTTCTCTTCTTCTTTTTTCGCGATTAACCTCGCCCGATTCTCTCTTATATTTTTTCTTTCCCCATTTCTGCGTTTGTTGTAGATCTGCTGCCGTCGGGTGCCCTCCTCCCAAAGTGTTTGATGCACGCACGTGCGTCCCCCTCCCCCCAACACTGTCATCTTGCCTATTGTTTCTTTCTCTCTTCTCATTTAAAGCCCCTTAACTCTGCCGCACCTTCGCTATTCCTTGAACGTATCTCCCAATTCCCAATTCCCGTTTCTCGGTGCCTTAGTTGTCTCCTCCTTTTTTTTTTTTCTCTCTCTCGTTGCAGGAAGCGGTTCGAAGAGAATTCGCTGTCTTTCTTCACGCACGGACCACCGAATACGCAACGCCCATGTCCGCACCAGGAGACCAGATATCAACACACGCGGCGGGGGCCTCGGGGCCTGTTGGCCGTCCCAGCAGCTGGACCGCGCACCGCCGTCCCTCCCGGCGCGCCTCCATCTCTGCCGTCGCCCGCGCCGCCCACCCCGTCGAACTGCAGGTGGAGACGATGTCATCCGTCTCCACGCGCGCCTTTCTGTACACGTGGTATGCGGTGCTCATCATCGCACTGGTGGTGGAGTCGAACGTGGGCCTACAGTGGGTGAGTCGTAACTTCTGCGGGGATGCGACGGTGTCCGCCTATCACCTGGAGGATTGGAACAGCACTGCATGTCTGAGCTGGGAGGCGTACTGGATACGACCTCGCGACGGACAGCGCAGATACTGTACTGTTGGCGATGCGAGGGATTGTGAAGCTGGTGATGCGGATGCCGTGCTGCAGTGGAGGAGCGACCATGTTGTGGGCGGGAGCGCGGATGCGCTGGTTGTGCCGCTTCCTGTCAGGGGCGTAATAGCCGAAGACGAGGCTGACGGGTTAGCATTACGTACAGGTGGCAGCGATGAGGGTAGAAATCGCGGATGTCCACCGTCAACGGGGCTGCCCATTACCACCACTGGTTCAACGGAGTCGCTGCGAAGTAGAAGGAGTGCGCCACGAGGTCTCCACAGCGAGAGGAAAGCACCAACGGCGACAATGACCACCACAGCATCCTTCTCCACGCCAGCGCCTCGACCGACCATGCCCCCGCTGCACCGCGTTTATAAGCTTCGCTGGACAGCCGAGGCGCTCAGCGGTGTTATGGACCGCGAGCTGAATCGCTTTCTACACGTCTTCATCAGCCTCGCCTCTCCCCTTTTCCATCCACCAGCACCATCGGCACGGAGGGGCACATCCGGCGGCGCAAGCGATCCCCCTCCTCCCCTCTGGAAGACGTACGAGGTTCTGGTGGCGCTCGAGGAAACATCCGTCGCACCGCTAAACATGAGCGGCGCACGCATCGACGTGAGGGACGGTAACAGTGCGACGACTTCGGGAATGCCGCGTGCTCCGCTCTTCTCCTTTTTTTTCGCTTCCTCTTCCTCCAGCAGTGCGTCGTCGTCACTGCCGCCCACCTCCTCTTCTTCGTCCGACGGCAACGGCTCCAAGTACATCTACACCTACCGGGAAAGCGTGACGTGTTGGCGCACAGCACTGCGTTGCAGCAACATCGTTCTGCCGTCGAGCGTCGTCATCCCAACAAATCGCAGCCGGCTGACGATCACGCTGATCGACGTGGATGCTGAACTTGCAGAGGCGACTGTGCGGGCCTCGGCGGCAGCCTTCACCGCCGCGACAAACAGAGGCGGCTTCGGCGCCTTCGCAGCGTGCGGCAACACGGACCTCTCTGGGGCTTCTCTCATCGCCAGAGTGCGCCGTGCGGTGCAGAGTGTGTTGCGCGCGCCTTCTACGCCCACCACCGGCGTCGGTGTGATGTACCAGCGCGCGAAGTACACCATCGGCATCATCGTCGTCCGCTACCTCTCTCTCTTCATCGTCCTTGTCGGCGCGCTGCGCTTTCTGCATCGCAGCCGGCAGGCCGATCAGATGCTCTATGAACAGAAGTGGACGCTCGCCTTGCAACTCGGGCTAATCCTCTACTTGAATCCGCTGTACTGGTGGTGCATCTACGCCGCAGAAAAGGCGCGGGGCGGCAGTAAGCATATGATGGAAGGTGTGGACAATGCCGGCATGACCTCTGATGCCTTTTCGCAGGAGCGCGGCTTTACTCCCATGTCGCTGTGGCACCTAGCTCTCTACTACGTCGAGTTCCACGTCCCAACATACTTTGTCGCCTTGACGGTGTGCTACGTTTGGGGGGTCATTGCCGGCTCGTTTCGATGGAGCTTGGCGGCGACGGAGGCGTCCTCGCAGCGCGCAGCTGCTACAGCGGCATCGGCTTCTCCGGCTTGTCCATCCTCCGCAGCGCCATCAGCCGACGTGCACGCCCCGCTCCGAGACACGAGCACCGACGAGCACTCTGCCCAGGTGACGGTGCCGCTTACCGTGACCGTGTCCGGATCGCAGCCGGCGCGCCGTCGTGTGCACGTGCTGATGGTACTGTACGTGCTCGCCGTCGCATCGCTGGACACCATAAAGTGCTGCCTCGAGGAAGATGGTCCGACGGGTGGGTGGAGTGAGGTGAGCTGCCGCACGACCCGTTGCTTGGCGGTTCAGAGAGCTACCTTGTATGTACTGGTGGGGGGTATCCTCTCCAGTGGCGTCGGCCTGTACTGGCTGCGCCGCAACCTGGCCCGCCACCCCTACCTCTCCACACGCCCTCAGCAGCTTGCCTGCCGCATCATGATCTTTGTCTATTTCACCGGTGGCTTGTACTGCGCGGTGCAGGCGCTGCTGCTGGAAACGCTGTACGCTCATCTTATCGCAATCATCTACTACCAACCCCTCGTGCAGCTGTCCCATCTGCTGGTGCTAACCAGCTTCGTCGCCCACATGACCTACGTGTACACCACGACGCAGTCCTCGCTGCAGATCCCGTTGCGGCCGAGCGACCCGCGCTGGAAGACGGTGGGGTGGTCGTCGCGGTGGTATCGCTGGCTGGATTGGCACGGCGGTAGCCTCTACGTCTTCTTCAACGAGGAGGAGGAGCGGCGGTTTTTCGAGGTGCAGGTGGCCTACCAACTTGCAAAGCGCGAACGCAAGGAGCAGCGCAAGCGAAGCAACAAAGAGAGGAAAGCAACGCGTGACGAGGCGCAGCAGCAGCCGGACCAGGATCGAGTATCGCTTCTCCGCGGTAGCGGCGGCGCGTTGGAAGACGAATTCGATCCGACCAACACGGCTGATGAGCATGGGCGTTGTGCGGCGTGCCAAAGCCACGGCTGCTTTCTTTCGCGTTTCAGCGACGCACAAGGCGGGGCCGAACGAGGCGCTCCAACCCCACGTTGCTTTCCAGACGACTCGTGTACGACGGCGTCCGCACGCGGCAACGCTACACCGTCCGCGCCACCGCTTTTCTCCATTCCCACCAACACCCCCTCTGCGCTTCCCGAGCCGGCGGAGACGGACTGGCTGCAGTGGCCGCAGGGCCGCTTGCCGGAGCGACGCCGCTCGCTGTCGACAGCCACGCAGCCGTCCAGCAACTCGACCGAGAGCAACGGGCTCCACGATCATCCCAATCATGGGAAGGAGGAGGAGGAGGAGTGGAAGAGCGAGGAAGACGACAGAGTCGCGCCGTCAGAGGAGGGCAGGGTAGGCAGCGTGCACGAAGGTGTAGGTGCGGGAAGGCAACCGCCGTCGTCGGCACCTGCAGAGGCGTCTCCGTTTTCTCTGGGCGTCACCCCCGGTACAACGAGGAGGGACGCAAACAGCGGTGGCGGCGGCGTTGACCACCACAGCAGCAACAGGGAGACGTCTGCGAAGGAGCGCGTGCCATCTCACCGCGTGCTCAGCCGCGTCTCCAGTCGCGTGTTGGATGCGTTGCACAGTGCAGAAAGCCGCCTCGTCGACGGCACCGCAACCTTCGTCGATCTGCTCGCCGAGAAGTGCGTGGACCGCCCACTGCAGGTGCTGCTGCGCCAGCGCGCACGTCAGCGCTTTGTCTTCTTCAATCTCGAGACCGCCATCGACTGCTTGAATCTGTCACGTGAGGCGTACGCCGTGCAGGAGAGCCGCGGCGACGATCTCATTCGCACCGGTATCCAGGTGGACGCCGGTGAGGTGCCGCGGGCTGCGCTGACACTGATGGAACGGGCGGCGGTGGCGCTGTTCGGTTTGTGCTTTAACAAGTCGCCGTTGGAGCCGCCTGCTGTGCAAGAGGCGGTCGTGGTGGTAGATGACGATGACGGGGGAGCTGGTGGGGTGGCCAGTGCTGAGCGTGCGCCGCTCTTGAACCGTCAGCCGGCCGCTTTGTCGGAGACGGCGTGCACACCGAATACTGACCGAAGCTGGCTGCCCTCGCTCGCTTCTTTAAAAAAGGGCGGAGACACGGATACCGCCTCCCCGACGAGATCAGTTGAGGCGGCCGAGCGTTACGCAACACCCACTGGCCGGCAACCGCGCGGCTCGCCCCGAGCAGCGGCCACTCGTGCCTCCACCTCCGTCCCTCGGTCAGCCCAGCCACCTCAGCCACCGCTGCTGTTGATGCCGCCCATGGACATCGAGAAGTACGGCTACCGCCCCGTCGCCGTCTTCGACACGCGGGGAGTTCAAGTGGTGGTGGCGCGCATGGACGTCTCCGGAGCTTGCCCCGTACACACCGGCAAGTACCCCCGTCTCACCATCGCCTTTCGCGGGACGGATAACGTGGCGAATGTGCTGGTTGACATTCGGTTTCGCCAGCGGACATGGAAGGAGATGGAGACGCCGACGCTGCTGCCGCGGGCGACGGTGCACAGCGGGTTTCTCGAGTTGTGGATGTCGTTGAAGGAGGCGGTGATGGACGTGGTGCTGAGGGAGCTGCGCAGTCAACCCGCAGGATCCCGCGAGGATGAGCAGGGGAATGAGCCGATGGCGGACGCCGCGGAGGCAGGTGCACCCCCTGCGGGCGCCGACGCAGGTCGCAGCGACACTCTTCGCGGCGCGGCTCCCTTTTCGCCGCACTGGTCCGTCCCGGCAAGCCGCCGTGACCAAGAGCGCGGTCGCTCAGGCTTTTTGCGCATCTACGTCACGGGTCACAGCCTCGGTGGCGCTCTCGCCTGCCTGTGCGCCTACAGCCTGCGCCGGATGCTGTTGCTGATTCAATACCCAGAGCCGGACGTCGCCGTCTACACCTTTGGGCAGCCGCGAATTGGTAACTCGGTGTTCAAGCAGCACTACAACCATGCCGTCCCCCGCACCTTTCGTGTAGTCAACGAGAGCGACGTCGTGTCGGGCTTTAACGTGCTCGGCGGGCACCACGTGGGGGTGCAAGTGAATGTGGACCGGCACGGCAACTACATTTGCAAGCCGATGTACATCGAGCGGCTGCTGCGACCAACGCGCGGGCGTGGGCTGGCCCTGCTGAACCACAAGTTAGCGGCGTATGCAAACTCGCTGAACGCGGTGGCGGACGTGTACGCCGGCGGCGCCTGCCCGGTGCGGTGCTTAGAGTCGTACATGGAGGACATCGTGTCGGTCAGCAGCTCCGAGGTGGACGAGGGTGACGCGGAGGAGACACTCCAAGCGGCACGGCTGCCCCAGCGGGAAGAGGTGGAGGAAGAGGAGGATCGTGCCGCTGCCTAAGAGAGAAGCTGGTACTTCTCCCCTTCTTTCTCTTTCTCGACGCCATGATGCGTGTGTGTATATAGGTAAGTGTGTGCCGTGAATAACGGCATTGACGGCGCATCGCCCACGCTTTGCGCCGTACATAACTGGGAGGCAGCAGCACAACTATGCTAGGGAGGTTAACAATATATATATATATATGCATTGCTCCTGCTTTTTCTCCCCTCCTGCTTCCTTGCGCAGCGTTGCCAACACACGTTACGTACGGTGCCGCAACACAGTAACACTTCTGCTTTTTAACAGTAATACTACTACTAATAATGAAACAGAGCTTTGCGTACTTGTGTAGGTGACGGTTCTTCTCACTATTCGAACACACTGATGACGAGAATGCGCCGATCATCTAGGGGGCGAGTTACGCATGCGGGGCACCACCACTTCGTTTCGTCGCACTACGAGCTTATACGTACGCGGAAGCTCGACGCCGCAGCGCCTGCCTTTTCCTTTCTTCCTTTCTTTCACCTTCATTTCTCTCCCTCCCTCTCCCTCTCTTTCATTCCTTCCTTTTTTTTTTGTATTTCTACGCTCTGCGCGTGTCGCCTTGCCGACAATACGTGCGAAAGGATTTCACTTTCTAATAACACCCTTTTCATTACGCACGAGAATTTATTATTCCCCCAATCTTATCAACTGAAGTTGCTGCGTCGCTCTATCTCCCGACAAGCACGCTTATTCATCGCCTCTTGCGAATCACCGTTTACTTCTTCTTCTTTGCTCACGGTGAAAACAAACACACGTGAATTGGCACAGCTTTTGGAAAAAACAAAATCTATCTCTCTTCTTCTTTCCCGTTTCCTCTGTGCATCTCTCCAAACATTATTATCACTACGACTGTTTTTATTCTTTCTCTCCCGCTTTCCTTCTTTGTCAACAACACCAAAAAGCTGCAATATTATTTTTCTTTTTATCACGTTAAACTCCATACCCAGAAATTATTATCTCCTCCTATACAATTGTCTTTCTTCCTTTATATATTTGTACACCGCGCGAATCAACGAATCACTCTACTTTTGTTTTCCGGAACATCAAAACCCAACAACACCACTATTCGTTGTTCTCCGCGGAACAAAAGAGGCGTGACAAGACAAAACATCATCAACAGCAAGAAGCGCCATCGCCATGGCGGAGCAGCAGGCTGAATGGACGCAAGCGGCGTCCGACTTGATGGCCCGCACCGTTGCCCTCGCTCGCAAGAAGTCCAGCGGCTACCTCGACCCTGCCCACCTCGCCTACTCGATGTTTGAAGACGACAACAGCCTCGCCTCACGCGTGCTGCGCAAGCTGAAGGCCGCGGACGTCAAGGAGGCACTCGAGGCCCGTGTGGACGCGATTCCCACGCAGACGCCCGCGCCGACGCAGCCGCGACCGAACTCGGACATGATGCGCGTGCTGAACACCGCCGAGCAGGAACGCGTGGCCCTCGGTGATACCCTAATGGCGGCCGACCACTTCTTACTCTCCCTGCATGAGTCGAAGGAGGTGGGCAAAATCCTCGACGCCGCCGGCGCGGATAAGAAGGCGATTCGCAAGATGCTGCTGGAGATGCGCAAGGGTAAGAAGATCACCGCGGACTTCCAGGACGACAACTACGAGTCGCTGAACAAGTACGCCGTGGATATGTGCAAGCAGGCTGAAGAAGGCAAGCTGGACCCGGTGATTGGCCGGGCTGAAGAGATTCTGCGCACGATTCGTGTGCTGTCGCGCCGGACGAAGAACAACCCTGTGTTGATTGGTGAGCCGGGCGTGGGCAAGACGGCCATTGTGGAGGGCATTGCGCAGCAGGTGGTGCGCGGCGACGTGCCCGACACCCTCGCCGGCATTCGCATCTTCTCTCTCGACATGGGTGCGCTGATCGCCGGGGCGAAGTACCGGGGCGAGTTTGAGGAGCGCCTAAAGGCCGTCCTGAACGAGGTGAAGGAGAGCGACAGCAAGATCATCCTCTTCATCGACGAGATACATCTCGTGCTCGGCGCGGGCAAAGGTGACGGCGCGATGGATGCGGCAAACTTGCTGAAGCCGCTGTTGGCGCGGGGGGAGCTCCGCACCATCGGCGCGACGACGCTCGAGGAGTACCGCCAGTACGTCGAGAAGGACGCCGCCTTTGAGCGCCGCTTCATGCCAGTCTACGTCAACGAGCCGACCGTGGAGGAGTGCACGAGCATTCTGCGGGGGCTGAAGGATCGCTACGAGCAGCACCACGGTGTGCAGATCACGGACAAGGCCGTCGTCGTCGCGGCGCAGCTGGCCAACCGGTACATCACCAGCCGCTTCTTACCAGATAAGGCGATCGATTTGATTGACGAGGCGTGCGCAAACGTGCGTGTGACGTTGTCGTCGCGCCCGGCCGAGATCGACGCGCTCGAGCGCCGTCGGCAGCAGCTCGAGATTGAGGAGAAGGCGCTGCAGCGGGACAAGGACGCGGCGGCGAAGTCGCGGTTGAAGGAGGTGAAGGCGGAGATTCAGAAAATAACTGAGGACCTCGGCCCGCTCGTCGACAAGTACGACCAGGAGCGTGGCCGCCTCGAAGAGCTGCAGACCACTCAGGCGAAGCTGGACGAGAAGAAGGTGAAGTTGGAACGGGCGGAACGGATGCGAGACATGGAAACCGCCGCGGACTTGAAGTACAACGTCATCCCGATCATCCAAGACCGCATCCGCTCGCTAAAGGAGGAGATCGAGAAGCAGAAGGCAACAATGCTGCAGGCGACGGTGACGGAGCTGGACATCGCCGCCGTCGTCTCGCGCTGGACCGGCATTCCGGTGACGAAGCTGAGTCAAACCGACCGTGAGCGTCTTCTGCACCTCGCGGACCACCTGCACCTACGCGTGAAGGGGCAAGACGAGGCTGTGAACCGTGTGGCGGAGGCGATCTTGCGCTCGCGTGCGGGTCTCTCCCGGCCTGACCGGCCCACCGGCTCCTTCCTCTTCCTCGGCCCCACCGGTGTGGGGAAGACGGAGCTGGCGAAGGCGGTTGCCTCGGAGCTCTTCGACGACCACAAGTACATGGTGCGGCTTGACATGAGTGAGTACATGGAGCAGCACTCGGTGGCTCGTCTCATTGGTGCCCCGCCGGGCTACATCGGCCACGACGAAGGCGGCCAGCTGACGGAGCCGGTGCGCCGTCGCCCGCACACCGTCGTGCTGCTGGACGAGGTGGAGAAGGCGCACCCGAACGTGTTCAACGTCCTCCTGCAGGTGCTGGACGACGGCCGCCTGACGGACTCGCACGGCCGCACGGTGGACTTCTGCAACACGATCATCATCATGACCTCCAACCTGGGGGCGCAGTTCCTGCACAACATGGGCGCCTCTCCAAAGGCGTACGATGCGGCGCAGCAGCAGGTGATGGGCGAGGTGCGCAAGTTTTTCCGCCCCGAGTTCATCAACCGACTCGACGACATCATCCTCTTCCGCTCGCTGACGCAAGAGGAGATGGCCGGCATCATTGAGCTGATCATCGAGGAGCTCAACGGACGCCTGAAGGACCAGCTCATCAGCGTTACCTTGACGGACGAGGCGAAGTATTTCATTCTGCAAGCAGCCTTCGACGCGGAGATGGGCGCGCGCCCGCTGCGGCGCTGGGTGGAGAAGAACATCACGACGGAGCTGAGCCGTATGATTATCGCGCAGGAGCTGCCGCAGAACAGCACGGTGAAGCTGACGTTGAACAGCACGCAGACAAAGTTGGTCTTTTCAGTGAAGCGGGCTGCCTCGGGGCCGTGAACCGCGGCGGGCGGAGGTGAAGACAGCGAGGACAACGCCGATGGCGAAGACGCCATGACGACGATCGGCAATAACGGGCACCACTTGAATGGAGGTCGAAATAGCAAAAAACAGAGAGGAGAGCGCTAAAGGAAGAGGAAAAAAATGGCTCGTGGACGCGTGCGTACTTGAGCTTATATATATTTTTCTAGCGCTTTGTGTAAGTGGCGCCTCCTGCAGTGTAACGCTTAGGTTTGAGTATTGGCATGATGAGTGGTGTGAACCATGAACTTGTGGGGGTGTGGGAGAGTCTTTCCATCTGCCTTTGAAAATACGAATACCTTCAGCGTTTCTTTGTTGGCGTAGCGCAGCTGCATGTTTCTTTCCCTCTCAGTTTCTTTCCACTTCGTACGTTCATGTTTGTCCTGTTTTTTTTTTTTCATTGTGTCATCCACCGGTGCTGCCCCTTCCACAAGTGTTCTTCTACCCCCTCCCATACCTTTTAATCTGCGCATCTTCAAAATGTAGTTCATCCGTCGCTCCTGAGAAGCTTCCCATGCACGCGATGGTACCCGGAAATGAAAAGAATGTGGAACTCGTGTTTCGTTTCCGCGTTCATGTGTGTATGCGTTGATATTACCGTCTTTTTTCCTCTTACTTTTTTGCTCCTCTACACACACGAACGATTGGCAGCTTAGCAAGACAACTGTGCGAAGCCGCATACACGCACACTCTATATCTATTTACTTTGTTATTATTATTATTAGTTTTTTTTTTTGCTTTACAGTTTCCTCGCTTGCTGCGCGTTCTCGTGCGAGAAGCCTCTTTGAAGCTTGTGTTTTTCCTTTTTTCTTTTCTTACTCTGTGATCAGCCAAAACTGTGCGGCTTTTTAAGGAATCCCCCTCCCTCTATTTCCCTTTCTTGTCGATCGTATGGATCTTGAACGACGGCGTCTGTTGTGGGTGCTTTTCTCCCTTATTAGTGTTTCTTTTCATCGCTGCGTAGCATTCGAGTGGAATTCGTAAACAGCGTCGAGTCATCTCGTTTATGTGTGAGAAAGAAAAAGAAAATACATCCGGTGACGACGTACATGATGTACCACCAACCACAGCGAAAAGGAAGCATGCGTTTTTTCTTCAAACTTGCGAAGCGTCGTCAAGGTGTTCTGCGTCTCGGTGTCAGCCGAAGCGCTATGGAAAAGTACGCATTCGGCCTAGTGTAACGAAGGTAAGGGCCTTCTTGCACTTCAACAGGAAATAGAACAATTGAAGGAGTGGAGTGTTTACGATGATTTAGCTTCACCATTTCACTCGCTTCGGGGACGCGCTTCCTGTTGTATTATTCAGATGCATCAATTCGTGAGCTGGCTCTCTGCAATGACGGTTTTAGCACTCCTTGACGTACATTCACGCATGCAGTGCTGCACGCACACCGGAGAAAAAGAAGATTATTAACAGCCTTTGAACCTCCATCTCCCTTCTCTTTCCTTGCCGGATTCGTAGTCGCAGGTTGACACACACACACACACACATATATATATATATATATATATATATAATATATATATATATATATATATATATATAAACATTGGCTTGGATGTGCATTTCCCTGCACACACGAGAAGCCAAAAAAAAAAGGATGAGATCCAGAAAAGAAAAGGTCTCAGCCAACTGGTTCGATATTAACAATGAGGCAGAGAGTACCTTATGAAGAAAAGAAAACCAAAACAGCGAAGTGTGCTAAGAAAAAAAAAAGGGAAAGAAACTCGAAGAGAGAGAGAGAGGCGCTACAAAGGACAAAAATAGTGAATGTCGGAGTCACACCGTGTCGGAAACGAAGTGCGTCATCAGCACACAAAACCAAAAGAAAATTGAAAAGATAAAAACTATCAGCTACAAGAAAGAGCGGTTAGGACAGAAAGATATGTGTTTATCGATAACATACAAAACGCTGAACAAAAAGGTGAGTTTTTTACGTGTGTGTGTGTGTGTCTGTGTGTGTGCCAACGTACCTCATCCGCTAACACTGAATCTTGTGTTGGTTCTCTGCTGCACGACGATAAGAAAAAACAGAAAAAGAGCACAAAGCATCCATGTAATATCCGCATCACTAACAGTGAACATAAAAGTGCGTTCGCTCGAGAGATGCGGGTCAGTGACGAGGAGCCTCGTCGCGTCAGCGAGGCGCGCAACACGGAAGCTGCTCCAACAAAGAAAGAGAGAGAGAGAGAGAGGTATTTTTTGTTTTTTCGAAAAGGAACAGAAAAGAAAGAACAACGCGCTTCACATACGTCACAAGAGAGGTGGGGAAAAGTCAAAATTCATACGCACACACGATCGCAAGAAAACAGAGGTACATTAAAGCTCTGCTACACTAAAAACAGAACAAAGACAGAAGAATGAGACGCACCAACAGACAAACAGAGAAACAGAAGGGGGAGAAAAGAAATGAAGAACGCGAGCGCACGCTGAGGAGAATGGGAAAACTTCTATACAAAAAGTAAGGTTGAGGCGTGCATGGGATGCACAGTACAGCATAATAATAATACGACCAACAATAATAATAATAATAATATTGAGAAACAGAAAATGGGGTACTCTTCTGGAGGTTAAGGTAATTTGGATACTTGCGATTGAACTTTTTTTATGCTTTCATAGGACAACTGTGAGCGCCTAAATTGTCGGGCCAACTCTTAGTAGATTATTACGCTTTTTTTCATTTTTCGGCGGCTATTTGTCCAACGCCCTCACAAACGCACACGGCCACCGCCTGTACGACGAGTGTGTTTCGCCGTTGCCTAGCAGGCGGAAACGGAGGATGACATGCTATACGGGTTGTGGCGGTACTTGAGCGGCGAGAGCAGAGACGGCAGCGAGCGAATCTCGTCTGCGGCGACCGCCGGCGACACCGGCGCGGAGCCGGAGTCCAAACTCAGGCACGCTGACAGCGCCGAGCGCGCTGTCGTCTGCGCCGCGCCAGCGCAGGCGGTGTCGTTGATGCGTCGACGACGGGCCGCCGCGAGGGCCACAGAGCGCGGGTTGGGGATGGCCACGCCGCCATGCGAGACGCCGCTGCCGTCCCCGCTGTTCTCCGAGGAAGACCGCATGGAGTTCGGCTCAGCGGGGGTGGCGATCTGCAGAAGCGCATGACTCCCACCACGCTGCAGCAGCGGCTGAGACGTGGCTACGGCCCTTGCGTAGCCCAGGTCCATCGCTGGTCGCTGCTGCTGCTGCTGACCATCCACCCGCGAGCCGGCAACGCAGCCGTTGCACAGGCTCGTGGCGCCAAAAGGGTGGGCCGCGTGAACCGCCAGCGGCGGCGTCAGCGGCGAGCAGAGTGGGACGACGGCCCTGCGCACTGACGCATTGGAGTCGGGCAGCGTGCATTGACGGCCGCTGCGCACCATCACAGCGTTGTTGCCGGGCCACAGCAGCACGGAAGGCGGGAGGTACGTGGCGGCGGTAGTCGTGGTGTTGGCGACGGCGCGGCCGGGCTGGAAGTCGAATAGCTCCGTCGAGGCAACACCGCCGGTCACGACGAAAGTGGCACTGCGGCTGCTGGTGGTGTTGTAGTCGCTGCCGCTCGACGTCGACTTCGGCGAGCGCCGCATTGCGTCGAAGGCGGCGGCCGCCTCCTCGGAGCCGTCCGCCGTCTCGTGGAAGCACCGACGCGGCGGGTACTGTTGGGGAGAGACGGGCTGCGTGTAGCGCTGCGGACGTGCACGGTCGTGCCGTGCCTGGTCCTCTGCCAGCTTGATCATAATCGGGATGCCGTTGCAGGAGGGGAAGGGCCGCGTGTTGTGCATCGCCGTCGCCGCCCGCTCCGCCGCACCCTCCTCCGTGTAGATCACAAACGCGATCAGCCGCTCCAGCGCGGCGTCCTCCACGAGGGCCGTGTCCTTGTGCAGCGTCACCTGGCGCACGCAGCCGAACTGCCCAAAGAGCGCCTCGAGCGCCTCGACGCTGCAGTCCAGCGGGATGTTGCGCACAAAGAGCTTCATGATCTTCTTGCGGGCTTCGCCGACGGGCGCGCCATCGTGCCGCTTCGCCCACTGCACCAAGATAGCCTTGGACCGGACCGGGTGGTTGTGCAGCGCCTGCATCGCCACTCGCGCCTCCTCGTGGGTGCTCATGCGGACGAACGCCGTGCCGAGGCTCTGGCCCGTGTGGATGTCCCGCATCACCGCAGACGAGAGGATCGTGCCGTACGCGCGGAAGAGCTTGTCCAGCTCCGCCTGGTCCACATCCGCGTCGAGGTTGCGAATGAATAGATTGCTGTTCAGCCGGTTGTGCTCGTCCACGTCGCGCTGCCGGCCTGCGGCGGTACTTGTCGGCGTGGACGACGGCGGCGTAGTCGGCGACACGCGCAGGGCGCGGCGGGCGTTGCGCGAGGTCTTTTTATCTGCCTCGATGAAACAGGACGTGGCCTCGCCGATGGTCGCGCTGTCGGCAACGTCGATCTTTTTCGTGATGGCAGTTAGCTCCGAAACCGTGATGGGCCTGTTCACGCTTTGAGGGGTGGCGGTCACGTTTGCCTCGGCTGGGGTGGTGGCTTCCATAATCACGTCCGGCTGCAGGGCAGCAGGCCGCATGAATGTGCTGCGCAACATCGTGTGCACCTTCTCGGCGGCGTTAACGGCGTTGCGCGCGCTCATCATTTGCTCTTATATCTATATATCGGCCTGTACTGTCGATGTCGTTATATAAAGCTTTTGCTGTATCGTACCCGTACAAGCGCACCAATCGAAAAAAAACCAGCTCTCTGAAATTCAGAAAACTAAAAACCGGTATTTTTTTCTTCAACAGAGAGAGAGAGAAGAAAAAAAAAGGTTTGCTCGCAAAAACAAGTGTGTGTAGTTCCGCTTCAAAGACAAACGTACACCTTAAAAAGAGAGGGAAAGACGGTCCGCCGAGCAACCGTAACAACAGCGTTATTCTTCTTCTTTGGTAGGGGAAGGGAGAGGTAAGAGAGAGCGAGAGAGTATTCGTCGTGGACGGTGGAACCGCTGAACACGGGAGAGCCGCGACAGATCGAAAAAAAAAGGAAATAAAACAACGGATGGAAAACGGCGGAATGAAGAATCAAAAAAAAATCGCGTGTGTGTATATAAACATATAACTATATATATATATATATGTTATTCAGCGTAGGAGGAAAAAAAGAAAATGGGAAAATGGGAGAAGTTTGGAGAGGTCGGGAAAGGAGGGGGAGGGAGGGAGAGAGGGAGGGCGCAGACGTCGACACACGAAATGCGTTGATCCAGCAATAAAAAAAAAACCACAAAGAGCAAGGGGAAAACGCTGTTCACAAACAAACGAAAAAGAAAGGAACGTGGGAGAGATGAGTTATGGTCGCCAGTAAATACCTGAATGATGAACAAAAGAGACAGAGGAAACGAAAGGGGAAAATCAAATCCAATTCCACGCGGGGGAAGAGAAGAGAAATAGAAACTCGAAAAAAAAAACAGAAAGTGGAAACAAAAAAAAATTGGCCAAAGTCAACGAACAGGAAAGGGCGGAAAATCTTGTCGTGAAAGCTATTCAGAAAAGAAGAGCACAAACCACGAAAGAAAAGTTGCACGTACACAGGACGGGGACAAAAGCAATGAGTGGTTATTAGCGCCGCCCGCTGGAGCAGAGAGGCACGGGAACAGAAACCTATTTTTGTTGAAAGAAGAAGAAGAAAAAAAAATCAAAGAGTGCCTTTTGAAAAGGATTAAGCAACACAGAAAAAAAAAGGCGACGATTTAATCTCTTCCAATGCTTGAGGGTCTAACTTGTCGATCTTCGGTTTTTGATCTGTTCTCGCCCAATCGCAGTACGGAGCGGCGCGGCTGCGAAGCGGGGTCTCAGGGAAGATGAGAATCAGCGGATGGAGAATAAAGCAAAAAGGGAAAGGTGAGCACAAGATGAGAAACAGAGGAAAAAAAGCACTGATTTCTCGTACTGTTTCTTGCAATTGTAGACGTTATCGCAACCAGAAAGGCAAGAAAAAGAGAAACAAGAGAGAGAACAACAATAACTTTGTTGTGGGGTTGCAAAGAATAGAAAAAAGAAAACGAGCTCCTTTGTCGATGCAATCGTTTTAATCCTTGTCAGTTAAGCAAATAAATACTCATATATATATGTGCGCTAAGGATGAAAGAATCAGGTTTGGAGAATAGAAACGGAGACAGAGAAGAAAAATAAGAAGAAGAAAAAGTGAAAAAGCGCGATGGTTGCGTTATGCGAGGCAGTAGGCTGTGGATCGGACAGTAGAAACGGGGTTTTGCCGCTTTTTTTTTTTCTTTAAGAAACGCAACAGGCTCTGGGTAAAAGGAAAATGGGAAAGCAGAGGTGGCTTCGGCAACGTTTGCGAAATTATAGATCTCTTTGTGTGTATGTGTGTGTGTGTGTATGGGCGTGCAGGTGAAGTCAAGGTGGAAAATGGAGGAAAGAAATAATAATAAAGAGGAGGAAATAGAAGTTTCGTGCGCCGAGGAGAAACACGTAGCCTTATCGAGCGCGCATCCCACAGTGAAAGGTCTCGACGCACATTCAGCGTCGGGTGGGAAAGCCGTTCGGCTTTGTCATGTAGTATCAATAGTACAACACAGAAAAGAAGAAAAGGCTGTGCACCGCGGCTGGAAGCTGTGTCTACGCAGTCCTTCCAACCGTATCTCACCCTACGGACATCATTATATCGGCGTTGTCCTCCACATAAAAAAAAAGATGTTGGCCCGCATGCGAGCTAACAGCTACATATAGCTTGTCTTTCATTGGTGGTGGTGTTGCTGCTGTTTTTTTTTGTTTTTTGCTTTTTTAGGTGACGTCAAAACTGTGAGCAAGTCATCTAAAAGAAGATTGAGTACACGAATACATATGCCTTGCTCGTTGGAACGTAAACACATACACTCACATACAGAATAAATGTTCGAAGCGCAAACAAGATGAAAGGTCATGCGTCAGCTAAGTCGACTTTCAATCATCTACAGAAAGAAAGAAAAAGTAACAGGAATAGTAAAAACGAAATCCTCGCCGTACACACACACACACACACACAAACAGTTCACTCGCTGGTTTCTTTTCGACATGTACTCTCGCCTCGTTTTCTGTCGCCAACTTTGATTGCCATTTGTGGGCTTTTCTCTTTTCTTTCCCTCCTTGAAACGAAGTCGAAGAACGATTTCAATGGAGACGACAGCAGTGTTCAACAAGAACCAAAACAGAAAACAGAAAAAAAAGGTGTTAAAGAGAAACATCGAAAGAAACGAAAGGGAGCAGAGAGCGGGAAAAAAAAAGAAAACCCCCACCACTTAACTCCCGTTTCGCTCCGAGAAGAAAACAACTATATACGAGCTAATATGAAGGCAAATCGAGACACACCGAAGAGGAAAAGAAAAAAGGGAGATACCCAATAAGATAACACTTAACAGAAAGAAAACACGTCTTTATTAAAGACATCGAAGAGAGAGAGATAGAGATATAAGAATGAAACGACAGTTGCTGATGTTTGACAACACAGATACAAGCCCAGACTCGCGAAAGCCGTTAAAAAAAAACTTCTTTTCAAAACAATAACAGTAACCGAAGAAAGAGAAAACGAAAGAGGCCTACAAGCAATCGGACTTTGTTCGTGCGCAGTGCGTTACCCTTTGTGGGGGCTCTGTTCCGCTGGGAAGGAAGAAAAGGTGAGGCATCTTCATTTCGTCCGCTGGACGCGGCTCCGCCACCGTTCACTTCGTTGTTGTTTTTACCAAAAATACACAAAAAAAGGCCGAGTGGAACGCGAGCAGGCAACGGAACTACCAAAAAGGATGCGGCCGATATGCAGAGGTGAGAATGCACCTCTGCCGCAAGCAGTTAAACCGGAAGGACATGAGAGATATAAAAAAAAAGAAAAGGGGAAGCAACGGAGGGATAAAAAGCTTTCTTCTCCTATTATTCTTTTCTTTTTTTTTGGGGGGGGGGGGCATCTAAGAATTCGCTCCAGCGACGCCAAGGAAGAAAGAAATGTGGCGATGCTTGTCGTTGAGCTCGAATGAATAAATGGAGAAGGAAACGAACATGCTGAGCAGTGCATAAACAATTAAAACACCCAACTCCGTAAAACAGAAAAGGATGCAACAGAACCACTTCCCTCACACGATGGAGGTTTACCAAAAAGAAAAGAAAAAAACATTTGTTGTTCAAAAGCCACATTACCATAAGCGTACACAAATAAATACCAAAAAAAAAACGAATGGACACATTGGACTGTAAATGAGGAAATGAAGAAGAAGAAGAAAGGGAGAGAGAACAGGCAAAATGAATAAATAAATAAGAGAGAAGAAAGATAAGGACACAACGGTGACCGAATTCGTTAACCGGCAGCAACGGCAAGCGCATCGAAGCACTCGCCAGAAAAGCAAAGTAAGAAGAGAAAAAAAAAACAAGAGCAAACAAAAGTGACTGCATTCCCTGTCATAGAAAAACGGCAGATGAGACAAGCGAAGAAGGTTGAAAAAAGGGAAAAAAGGAATGAAGTGTGGTTGGCTTCCTTTACTTTTTAGGAAGAGGAGGAGGAGGAAAGTCAAATATACGAAAAGAACGTATTCTCTTTATGTAGCGCACAGTGCCGCAAGAAGTGTGATTTCACACTCTTCACTTCATTCATGACAGTTTTCTTTTTCTTTTTTTGGCTGTTGAAGACGCACATGCATAACGCGCATTTGTACAGCGGAGTACCGCGTCAACGGTGCATGTTCAGATGCTAGAGATACGTTGTTGTCCACATATGAGTTGAGGTGTCTGGGGAACGAAGAAAAGAAAACATTTGTAGAAAAAAAAGGCAGCAAAGCTGAAATGTGCGAGGAAGGGATTGCAGGTGGTAATGGAGAGCGACCTGTGATCACGGCGCGAGCAGCGCAGCCAACACACACAAGAACAAAAAGGCCAAAAAATTCCGAGAGTAGCCCATTGGCTCTCGCTCCGTTTGATAGCATATACGAGTTGAATTCCCAATGAAGCCAAATGCAACGCTGCACAGTAAAAGAAAAAAAAGGACGCTTTGAGGAAAAGAATAAGAAGGATAGGAAGTCAAGAGTCGAAGTGATTGCACAGCATTTAGGGAAATACATAACTAGCGAGTACCTGACATCAATGTCCCCATCAAGGCTACTCATTGTTTCTTCACTATCTAGTATCTGCCCCAATTCCGTTCTTCTTCACCTGTCGTGTTTGTCGTCGGACTTTTTCTCAGAAAGTATCGCATTATGAAGTGCAAGGAAAACAAAACTCATGGATCTTTTTAAGGATCCCATGGGTCCCTGTCGTGGGAGGGACCGGGGGTGGGCGGGTGGATTTCAGCGAAAAACCGGAGTTTCTCTCGATGCTGAAAACAACTGTGCCAGGCAAACCAGAATACGGAAGAACCAGGATTCAGGAGGTAATAGAAAAGGAGAAGATAGTTTAGAGCATTACCCTAAATGACCGAGATCCGCCAATCTCTCCGCTGCCAATCACATTCAACTCATTTTTTCCGTCCCTTCCATTCCCCTCGCAGGCTCACAAAAAAAGGTTTTGAAAGAGATCTTGCGGATGAAAAAGTAAAAACGAGAAATGGTACAAAGGCGGCTTATAATAATAATAATAAAAACAGTAAAAAAAAATGTTTACATTGGAGGACAGAATTTTCCTCGTTTGCGTTCGTGCTCAATGAAAAGTCCGGAGAAACAACAAAAGAAAAAAAAAGGTGCACGCAACGGCGCTTAGAGAAGCATGAGCATTTCATCCAAAGCACGTGAAGAAGGGAGGAGCTACGCCGAGGTTGAAGTCGCCCCACCCTCGGGGTCTTCTTTTCGCTGTTTGCTATTATGATGTGTGTGTGTGGAAAACGTAGTAGTACTCCTCTCCCTCTGATCCACTGAACAGAAACATATATAAATATAAATAGTAAAGAACGTCTGCGGCCTTTGTATGAAAGGTGTAACAGGAAAAAAAAGCATACACTCGGCTTCATACAACAACAAAACAGGAAGAAGAGAATAACGAAGGCGAGATGAAAGAAATATTGTTGCTGTTGTTTTAGTGTATTTCTTTTATATACTTCTCTCTTTTCCTCTCTCTCTCTCTCCCTTCACCTCACTCGATGAGATATACGTGAATGCGAGAGAAAACAAACCAAAAAAAAACTAACACGATAACGCTATAGAATCGACATTACCATAAAACGGAAACGCACGTCGATGAGCACACAGACTCGCGGATACTAGAAATGCAAACATATCCCTTTTTGACAACGGCGTCCACACATATACATATACATATCACATTCACACACGTATATGTTGTACCGCACTCGACGTATGAAAAAGAAAGAACGGGGGAAAGCGTGTTACTACAGAGAATGGAAAAAGAAAAGGAGAAGAGCGCAATTGCAGAATGAATGAAAAACATAACAAGGGGATGAAGAGAGAGGGCATCAAAAGCGGCCGTGTCAGAGGGCTCAACAGAGCGGGCTTTCGCCATCCCGCGCGAGCCGCAGACGTGACGCGCACACACACGCAGGGAAAAAAAAAACTGGAAGGAAAAGCTTCAGTAAAGTGCAGCGGTATGGAGAAGCCGAGGGCCGACGAGAGGAAAAAGAGCAAAGAAACCATCGAAAAGCCGCAAAGCTTCTACACAACAGATAGAAAGAGAAAGTGAAACAGGCGGTTTAGGAGGAATCAACAGTACAACTTGGGACTCTCTGCGCAGTACGGATTGTTGTAATAGCGCTTCCCCGTCGACCTCGACGGACTGCTCGCCGCGGTGCCGCTGCCGTTCGAACGCGGTGCCGTGTCAGGGGAGAAATAGTACTGCACGGTAGCTCCCCTCTCTCCGCTTGGATCGCTGTTGTTGCTGCTGCGGATGCCGCCGGTTGTGGCAGACGGCACAGTGGTAGACATCGGAGGCACGTTCGTGGTGCCGTTCCTCGCAGGCGGTGCGTTGTGGATGCTGTTGCTGTAATTCATGTAGTTGTAATAGCAGTTGCTGCTGGGGCCGGACGCGCTGTACTGCGGCTGGCTAAGCCCGTTTCCGGACGACACTCCGGACATCAGCGGCGTGCTGGTTTTGTACTCCCTACGACTGTGGCTGCTGTTGCTGCCGCTACCGCGAGTGCCCGGCGTGGAAAGCTGCTGCTCGCTCCCCGGCAGTGACCCGTGCACGCTCACGTTGGCACTGCCGTCGTTCGCGCTGCGCCGCGACTGCGCGGAGGCACCACGCCAACCCGCTGAGACGGACCGCACCGCACCGCCGCCGCCGCTGCCGCTGTCGTACCCGCTCTCCGCCGTGCTGATCGCTGTCGACTTGGAGGAGTGGGAGCCGCGATCGGTAACGAAGCCCGTCAGACTCGCATCGAACGAGTTGGCCGCCTGATGGAGCGAGTACGTGGAGCTGCCGTGGCCACTGCACCCGCCGGAGGGGAAGGCGTTCACACGGATTAGAGAGTCCACTCCGCCGACATCCTCGTAGTCGCACGGGCCGCCGCGCTGGGAGAGTTGGGCGCAGGAGGTCCCGCGCTGCGAAGCCACGTCAACGGCAGCAGAACTGCAACTCCAGTTCCGGTTATTGGGGTGAGTAGGAGTAGTGGCAGCAGTTGTAGGAACGCTGTTGCTGTTCACGTACGACTGAGGGCCGCACAGGCCGTAGTCGTCCGTGGTCAGCACCCCCGTAGCCCCACCGGGCTGCGCGTACGTCGACACGTACTCTACCGAGGGCACCTGATACGCCGAGGGATAGGCGGCTGACGGCATCGCTGCGTCACAGAGCTGCGACCGGGGTGCAGGAACGTACTTCACCTGCGGGCCCTGCGCGCCATACCCGAAGAAGCCATTTGTGCTGCTGTTGCCCTCATTTCCGGCTCCCCAAAAGACAGCAGGGGAGTTGGTGGGCGTCTGCGAGTTCATAGCAGCGCCCGACGTGCCGGCCATCGGGGAGTTGGCCACTGACGTCGTCGTGCCGTCCGAATTCCGGTAGAAGCGACGGCGTTGGCCGTTCTCTGCCAGCTTGATCATAATCGGGATGCCGTTGCAGGAGGGGAAGGGCCGCGTGTTGTGCATCGCCGTCGCCGCCCGCTCCGCCGCACCCTCCTCCGTGTAGATCACAAACGCGATCAGCCGCTCCAGCGCGGCGTCCTCCACGAGGGCCGTGTCCTTGTGCAGCGTCACCTGGCGCACGCAGCCGAACTGCCCAAAGAGCGCCTCGAGCGCCTCGACGCTGCAGTCCAGCGGGATGTTGCGCACAAAGAGCTTCATGATCTTCTTGCGGGCTTCGCCGATTGGGGTGTCGTCGTGCTGCTTGCGCGCCCACTGCACCACCAGCGGCTTCGACTCCGTAATGAAAAGCTGATTCGTGCGGTCGCTAAACGCGGTAAGGGCGCGTCGTGCCTCCGTGTGCGTCGCAAACCGGACGAACGCCGTGCCGAGGCTCTGGCCCGTGTGGATCTCCCGCATCACCGCACAGCTGACCACCGAGCCGTACCCGTCGAACAGCTCGTGCAGGTGGTCCTCGGTCATGTTATTGCCGATGTTGTACACAATCAGGTTGGTGCGGCTCGGCTCGACGGGGGTCATGGGGGCGCTCACCTGCGCCGACACCACCAACCCTGCAGCTCCGCCTGTGAGCGAGCTGGAGGGGCGGCCATTAAAAGGTGTTGACGGGGCATCTGGTGCGTCGTGCGCGAACAGATTTGGATTCATCATGGGCGGCTTCCCTGTCTGCCGGCTCTTCGTGGCCAAGGTGGGCGTGGGGGCCGAGAGCGGCAGGTGGGTGGCATCGACACTGCCGGTGGTGGCAGTGGTGTTCGTCGCCACCAAACCATCTGCAAAGCCACCGTCTTGTGCCGACACCCGCACCACTGCTGCTGCAGTTGCGGCCGCGGTGAAGTTGTCGGCAGTGGCACGGCCAGACGTCGACGTCGACGAAAGGGCCGTGTTGCCCATCACGTTGTTGGGAGAGTTTTCGCTGACGAGGAAGGTGCGGCGAACTCCGTTGGGTCGCTGCTGCTGTTGCCCGTAACTGTGGGGACTTCGGCATTCCGTCTGCTCTGGAATAGGAAGGATCGTCGGCAGAGAGAGGGCGTCGTCGATGGTCGGGCCAGTGTGCTGCGGTGCCGAGGTGGTGCTGGTGCTTTTGCTCTCCGTTGCAGGTCCATGCAACGCCGACGTCATCGCGCTCTTCTTTGGAGAGGCGGGTGGGAGCACCGGAGTTGCGGTGGTGCGGGCAGCGAGGTCATCCGCAGCCCCGACGGGCTTTGGGGCCTCGGAGGGTGAAGGCTTGGATGGCATTTGAATACTGCGGCCCAACGACGATGGGGTGTGTGCTGACACGCTTGCCGGGTTCACCTTTTCGGTGTTGGTGTTGCACGTGTTCGTGTTCGTGTACGTGCGTGTGTGTGTATGTGGTGGTGCACAGGAAACACGAAAAGCGAAAGAAATGTGTTCCGTTCGGTGATGCAGTGTGAGAAACGAATGCGGCTTTCGCAGAGCAGCGCCGCGGTTGTCGGCTTCACCGTCAGACAGTAGGACGCGCTGGATTGGAAGAGAGGAAGCGGGGGAGTGGGAAAACACGGGAGAGAAAGAGAAAAAAAAACGTAAAAGAAAAGAAAGGGAAAAGAAAAGCGACTGCGCTGCCGGCTAAGCAGCAGAGAAGACACACACACAAAACCAAACAAAGCAAAGAAGAAAAAGACGTTAGACGCGTAGAGCGAAGATGGTGGGAGATGGTGGAGACGCATGTTGTGTACCGCAGCAGATGACTTCAACGGCGGGCAAAAGCACGCGGAATGCCCTTACATAAACGACGAGACTCCGAAGAGAGCAGCGGTAGCTCAAGGTGAGAGACGTATGAGCCAGGAATCACTTTACTCGCGCACGTGTTCTCACAGCGGCTATGTGCTTCAGCTTCCTTTACTCTTCCTTTGAGCGTTTGCTCATAGAAGGGAAAGGGCGCTTGCTGCATGTTTCGAAGACGACGCCTGCACAACAAGGGGGAGGGGGAGCGGGGCTGGGCCATGCAGCTCAGCAGCTTTCTTTGGTGTTTGTATTCGATTACTTTTGTTTCGGCATTTAAAAGGAAAACTAGTCGTTAAGCGCTCACATAGCAAAGAAAAAAAAAAAGAAACACAAACACAAAGAACAGAAAGATGGAAAATGGAAATCACTTGAAATTTAAAGGAGGTCGCAGAGCGCATTCCTGGCAAGAACAGAAAGGAATCGAAAAACGGAAAGAGACAGACGTATGAAAGAAAGCGAGCGCTTGATGAGGTGGGGGCACGCCACGCGACAACGAAGCGTGCTCCGTATGTGCTTGAGGAGATTCTTAAAGCATCCAATACAAGGGGGAAAAAAAACGCCAATTTCTCCCCGTAAGGATGAAGATGGGTTCATCAAGAGCTTGCGAAAACAAACTACATGTATTTGCTTACAGCGAAAGAAGAAAACAGACAAATGAGCTCACAGCAATTTTGTTATTGCCATGCAAGCGAGTCAGAATTTAAAAAGAAAAAGAGCGGCCGATGACGTTCAACGAGAAGCGCGGTTGGGGCTCCTATGAACAAGCACTGGCAAGCACACACACACACACACAACGTAGCAACGAGGAATGTCGCGCGAACAAGTTAAATGAACAGAAGATTTCCAGCAAGTGATTGACTCCGCTGGTTTCTTTTTGGGGTGTTTTTTTTGTTTTTTGAGAGGAAAAAAAAAGCTAACACCTGTTTTTTCTTCTTTTTTGAAGATGCTCTTCCCTTCGGAAACAATGAGAAGAGAGAGAAGCCAATTGAGCCCGGTGCTGTACGCCCGATAGAACGGAAACAGACTAACAGCAAAAGAAGAAAGAAAACAAGGAGCGGTGTATTTGCGTAGAAAAACGAAAAAGGCAAAGACAAAAAAAAAAGGAGAGAACAAATGACGACCAACAGGGCTGAAAGAAGGCAGCAAAGGTGGATTTCTCTTCTTCTTTTTCTCTCGACTGCCTCCAGTTTCTCGTACGCGATGAATGAAAGGAGGAAGAAACGGGAATAGCAACCGTAGCACGTTCGCACAAGGCAAGTCGACCTTGTTCTTATTGAAGGAATGAAACAGAATGAATGAAGGGAAGATCCCACATGTTACCAAAGCGAAAAGAAAGAAAGAAGAAAAGTATTTATAAAAAGAGCGATAGCGCAACGGCACGCTTTGAACGCGTTCAGACGCGCGTACCGAGAAAGAAAGTGGTCAACAAAAAAATGAAGACAGCCGTGATTCAACTAAATCACCGCGCACAGATACTTCAGTGGAGAAAGACCAGAGAGACGGTATATATTATCGGGATAATGTGGACTCTACCTGGTTTGAGTCTCAACCCGGTTTTGTGGTTGTTTTTGGGTGTGCTATCGTGCTCTTTATCCCTTTTTTTTGTTCAGTTACGTCATCCTTCATGCTCAGGAAAAAGTGGGGGAGGAGGAGAGATGGGGGACCGATACAGAAAAAAAAAAGCAGAAAAGGTGATGGCTGGTTTTGGGGAGCGCTGCAATGCTCCTCAACACCGCAAATGTCCGTCTTCGGGGATGTCAGCAACAACGACACACATAGATATATATATTCGTTTATAGGAAGAGACAAATTCGAAGTGAAGTAGGCTCAAAAGTATGCTATACAAAAATGTGACATACAAATAAAAAGGACTTAAGAACACAATAGAGAAAAAAAAATTAGTAATAATAATAACATGGTGAGCTCCAAATTTTCCACCAAGCATCGACATCCAAACGTGGTCAACGAGCAACCTCTGAAAGCATTTATCGTAATGTTTATAAAACCGGGAAAAGGGGAAAAAACAAAAAAAAGAGCAAAAAAAATGTGGCGCTTTTTTTCTTCCTCTTTTCCTCGCTTACATTAGAATGAGAGATCACGAATGGAGATGTGCCTTGCCGATGTTGGGGTTATTCTTTTTTTATCGTTTTACATGGTGGGCAGAAGAAAGAAACAAAAAGAAAAAAATTCGCGTTGAGTTACTTCGTTTTATCTCCTTCGAATGTTTTCTTTTTTTCCTTTCCTTTCATTTTAATTCGTAGTCAGAATGGGCGTTCCACGTTAGCAAATAACTTTGTTTTTGTTCTTCCGGGCAAATGGAAAAACAGAGGAAACGACGAAGTACAGAAATGTGGAAAAGACGGAAGGAAGAGACGAGACGTGGCTTCTTATTCTTTTTTTATGATCCGGAAGAAGAAGGAAAAGAAAAAGGGAGTCGCTTTCTCTTTATGTTTTTTGATTGTTTGAATAATTGGAGAACGAAAAAGAAAATGGAAAAGAAGAGAAAAGAGAAAATCGGTGGTGAGCCTTACGGTGGCATACAGAAGTCAGAAGAGGGAGAATGATACCAAACAAGCACAGAAGAAGAAAAAAAAGGGTTTATTCAGTTACGACAGAAAGAACAAAAATAATTTAAAAAGGAACAGGAAGAGCGTTTAAAGCAGCAAAACATAAAAAGAAAAGTACTTCGTTCGCATACACTTATTCCTAATCGGTTTTAGATGTGTTTTTTCTTTAAGGAATGTGATTTTAACGGAACAGAAGGGAGGAGGGAGAAACCAAAAAATAATAATATGTATCGCCGAAAGCGGCACCGGCACACAGCGAAAACGTCAACATCGTCGGATGTTATGGATTACGCGAAGTTATTGGTTTGGAGTTTTTTCTTTAGAAAAGGAAAAGGGAAAACAAAATGAGCGGTATTCTGCAGGATGCCCACAGAGTCCTGTATAAAGAATACAAAAACATGAGAAATGGAAGAAGAGGTCCAAAAAAAGGGGAAAAAAGAGAAACGGTCAGCACCGAATAAGGATTTCTTTCCTCCTCACCGGATATAGTCACATTTGATCGCCATTTCTTTTTTTATCAAAGGCGCTCGAGAGAAATGTGTGGTGAGGGACACGAAGGTGAAGCAGACAGAAAAAAAAAGACTTCGGCGGGAAACAAACACGTATGAAGCCCAAAAAAAAAAAAACAAGAAAAAGAATGTTGTTATAGCGCCTTTAAGAACATAAGCTTATAAGAGAGAGAGAAGATTTCGTTAGTTCCGTCGGTCGCCAAATTCTCTGCTCCATGCTTGAGGCAATAAAGAGCAGGCTGGCAATCACAGAAATCAGGAGAGACGAGCGCATTAACTGAATAGTTAGCGATGTGTATGTGCTTGTGAACTTGGATCGATTGAGCAGCTTTTGCGGGTCAGCTTACGAGCTCGAGAACTTCTCGCTTCACTTCATACGACAATGACTTGCACGAGACAATAAACAGTTATATATCAAAAACGCCGCACCTCCGCACCTTTTTTGGTTGTGTTGGATGCTTTTTCAAATAATACAAAAAAAATGTTCTATAGAGAAAAAAGGGAGTGAAACATCCAGATACATTAGCGACAAACACACGAACAATAATAATAAAACACTTGAATTGTCTCTCTCTCTCCCCAAAAGTTAAAAATAGAAACCTCACCTCTGTGTGATGAGGTATGTTCATGAACACCTCAAGGCCACTGAGCACGCATCTGTCGTTTTTATATATTTCGTGTGGGTCAATGATTTCTTTTTTTATATACAGTTACAATTACGTATCGCTTGCATGCTGAGTCCTCCTCCCCATCCCCACACACACACACTCCTCCAAATCACCGTTTCGCTTCGAAAGTCACCTCTGGATGGAGTCAGCAACGCGCACAGACGCTTCAATGCATATGGGCGCAAAGACCTAAGCTATTGTTTATACTGGCACCATCATGAATTTCTTATTATTAGCATCATTTTTCTCCTTCCTTCATTACGGTTGACACGCATTAGAGAAAGAAAAAAAAATAATGGAAGCAACGAAGAAAAAAAGCGCAAATCATAGAAATGAAAATGTCCTATAGAACTAAAAAAAAAATGAGAAAAGCCTGTTGTATTGCATGTATGATCGTCATGGAATGCGCCTCAAACACGCAATACAACATGTTTGTTTTTCTTTTCTTTTTCTGTTTTCCTTTTCTTGTTGAGATGAAAGCAGGTATAGTTATAACGCACGACACGATTACAATAAGAATGAGAAAGGTGTGCAGTGACCGCACAGACAGAGACACACAGAGAAAAACGCATATGTATATATATGCAGAGAAAACAGAAACAAAACATCAGAGCGACGGTTCTTTCCTTCTCTCTTTTTACATTTTTCCCCCCTTTACGAACGCCAAGGACACTTTTCTTCCTTTTTTGCTGATGTTGATGTAAGCATTAAAGCTAAAAAGAAATAGAAATCGAATACGCTGTTTACGTGTTGATGTCCAACACAACGTGGAGTGCGTTTTTTTTTTCCTTCCTCAACGTACGTCCCCACACACACTCACACACACACACACACACATTCACGGACACACGCACACGTTCAAAACATGAAAGCAAACCAAGGGAAAGGGGGGAGGGAAGGGCGATGCATGACGAAGCCACTGCCCACCCTCCCACAGAGGCAAACAACAAATGGGAAAAGCAATAATAATAATAACAATAATAATAATAATAGAGAAGGAAGAGCCTTTTTTTGTTTTTGCCTTTGCTGCTGTGCCCCTCCGCGCCGATACACGAGAGCACTGCTGGACGGCATCTGCGCATCTCCATTAAAAAAAAAAAATGAAAATGAGCAATGAAAACAGCGACAATAATTTAGCAGAAAAGAAATAAAAAATATATTACGATTGTGTGGGAAAAGAAACATAACAAAAAAATGGAATGAGAAGACAAGAAATGAAAACAGAAACGAGATTGAGAGGCATTCGTCTGCCGTAAACAACGTCATATATTTTTATTTCGGTTGTTCTTGTAGTTAGAAGGAGAGAGGGAGAGAGAGCTTTCTCGCAGAGGGACGCCTCGCTGCGTTGAACTCTCTCGTAGCGTACATGCACGACGGGTTAGTGCTTCCCGGCCTGAAACCGCGAGATAGCAGCGGCCTCCGAGCCCGTCTCGGATACCTCGTCCTCCTCAATGCCCAAATGCACCGCCGTCACCGGCATGTCGTTCGTTGCCGTCATGGACGACGCCGACGTTAGCGAGTTGTTGCCGTCATTCATGCCCAGCGAGTCGTAGTTAAACAGCGGGTGCTCCTCCTCGCCGTCCTCAACCACCACACCACTGGCGCCGGTCGACACACCCAACGACACCGCCGCTAGCGGCACCACCGTGCGGGGCGGGTCATAGGCCGGTCGCAGCGTGTTGGTCGGCACGGCCATGCCCCCGTCCATCGGCGTCACAATCGCCGACGACCCGGCTGTCGCCACGAAGTTCGTGTTGCTGGCCGTGCTGCTGAGCTGCGGCGACACGAAGTGGGTGGATGTGATGTCGGGGTGCGAGGGCTGCGGCAGCTGCTGCGTGGCGGGCGAGCGCTCGCTGGCGTTCGAGATGGGTGCGCTGCTCATCCTCGCAAAGGGGGCATTCGTGGGTGTCACCATCATCGGGAGGGATGCCGCGGCACCCGACGCCTCCGCGAAGCTCGGCAGTGACGAGCGCCTTTGCATAGGCGCCTGCTGCGGCTGTTGCGGCTGCTGCGGCTGCACCATGAACTGCTGCGGATACTGTGGCTGTTGCGGTGGCTGCTGCGACGCGAGAAGCTGCTGCGGCGTGAAAGACGGGTAGTAGTTGGGCATGATGATGTTCTGCTGCATGGGTGTCACGGGGTTGCCCTGCGCGTCCACAAACATCGGCGGCACCGTCATGGATGGGAAGTACGGCTGGCCTTGCGGCTGCAAGCTGGCCGCCCCCGGAGTTGCGTTGGCGGTCGTAGTGGCCTGCTTCGGAGCGTAGTACGTGGGCATCTGCGCCGCCTGCACGGGGGCCGAGAAGGCCTGAATACCGGACGGCGTCTGCACAAAGTAGGTGCCGGCGGCCGGCGGTGTGAGCATGCGAGGCCCAGTCGGCGCTGAGTTCGTTATGGGCGCGTTTACGTACACGTAGGTGGTGTTGCCATTCGCATCGGTGGTGGCCTGCAGCATCGGCGTGGTCGCAGCGGCGGCGGTGGCGGTGCTGGCGTTGGAGGGGCCGTTCTGCACGACCGAGAAAGACATCCCTGGCGCGAGATTCGCCGGCATCATGGACGCCCCAAGCAGCTGCGCCGTGCCGGGGTCGAGCGACATCTGCGCGGGCGAGATGTTCGCCGAGACCGGTGTGGACATCGACAGCGCCGCCGGCTGCCCATTGGCCGCGATCATAATCGGCTGCCCCGGTGCAATAGAGCTGAGGACGCCACCGTCCGTCTTCTGCTTGCGGCCGAGGCGATCGCGGTTGTCCTCCGCCAGCTTCACCATGAGCGGGATGCCCTCGCAGCTGGGAAAGGGGCACGTGTTGTGCAGCGCACTCACCGCCCGCTCCGCCGCACCGTCTTCCTGGAAGAGGATAAAGGCAATGTTGCGCATCTGCCCTGCCTGCGCGTCGGCTGGCGCGTCACGCGGCACGGCAGGTGCGGTGTCGCTGTGCAGCGTCACGTTGTTGATGGATCCGAACTGGGAGAATACCTGGCGCAGGTGGCGCGCCGTGACCGTTAAAGGGATGTTGCGCACAAACAGTTTGTGGATCTTGCGCCGCGCGTCGCCGCAGGGGGTGCCGTCGTGCTCCTTCTTGGCCCACTGAATGGAGATGGGCCGGCCGTAGAGCTCTGTTCCGTCCAGGCCGGCCATCGCCGCGCGGGCCTCGTCGTGGGTGCGGTAGCGCACAAAGGCGGTGCCCAAGCTCTCCCCGGTGTGGATGTCGCGCATCAAGGCGAAGGACATGATCGTGCCGTAGCGCTCGAACATCGTCTTCAGATCCTTCTCCTTCACGGCGGAGGCCAGCTTGCGCACAAAAAGATTGGTCTGGCTGCGCGGACCGTTCGGGTCGAGCACGATGGCCTCGTAGGACGGTGGGGCCGCAGAGGCGGTTGTCGTGGCCGGCGCCATTCCCGGGGCGGCCCGCAAGCCAGCCGCGGTGGAGCCGTCCGCCATCATCTGCATGCCCTCAAAGGTCATGCCAGGCGGCAGCGTCGGTGCTGCGGCGCCCGTGAGGGACACTTGTGTAGGGGACGAGGTGACGAAGAACATGTTGGTTGCCGTCGGTGTTCTCTCGAGCTGCGCACGTGCCAGAGTGCACGAGGAAATACGTCTATGATGAACTAATCGTTTTCTTCTTAATGACTCCGTTTATCGTTTAAAGTGAGCCGGCAATTGAAGTAAATAACAGCTGGGAAAAGAAAGAAAAAGAAGAGAGAAAGCGAGAAAGAGAGAACTCAAATTACAAAGGAATTCTTTTAAAAGAAAAAGAGGGAAAAAACGACAAGATAAAACAAAAGGCTTTAAAACAAAGAAAGGAAAGAAAAAAAAAGCACTCACGCACGTGAAAAGATAGTCGCTGAAGGAGATCAAAAAAAGAAAAATATAGATAACGCGAGTCTCCCTTTTTCTCTCTCAGTGGGTAGGTGTGTGTCTCAGGGGTGACTTCGAGTTATGCGTAAGATGAAGTTATCAACAGCACGAATGTTTATTGCTTACCTTCTCCGAATTCTCATTTGCCCTTTCAGTTTCCTAACGGCGATAACGTTAGAGTAGTTCCTCAACGACTGGAGAGCGTGTCAACGATTCCGGTGCCTCCACCTTTTGATGGTACTACACGTAACAGCAGATGTGATGAACAGCAAGTAGTCCAACGCGGCCAGATGAGCAGGAGAGAAAAACAAAAAGGGGGCGGAAGATATCAAAAAGAGCGCGTGGAGATTTTTGGTTTGTTATCTGGAAAACGGGGAGGAGAAAGAGCACTCAGTAGAAGACGGTGGCAGAGAAAATGAAGAAAGCGTTGTTGCTTTCCTTTTTCCAAACAGACTTTTTGGGGGTTCTTTTTCGTTTCCTTCGTTATGTAGTGGTGCGGAGAAGCACACAGGCACACACACACACACGCACTCAGGGGAGGAAGAGAAAAGGACCTCCGCGTCTTTACTTGACGAAGTTCGTGGCCACGCACGAAGTGAGACAACGACAGAAGTAGAAAGAAAGAAAGAAAAAGAAAAGACAATAATGAAGTTCAAAAAAACAAAAATAGGAAGAAGAAAAAGGAAAATCACACGAGAGAAGAGAACCAAAAAAACACAAAAATGAGAGGTAGTGGCGGTTGCGTACAGAAACGTTCTGTTCTTTGTATTCAAACCACCGAAGCGTACGTAAAGATCAGTCCCTGGAAAAAATCACAGGTTTTTCTTCTCTTTAATCCAGAAAAACAGAAAAAGGAGAGAGAGAGTCGTGGAAACTGCTTAGGCAAGGTTTGGAGTTGAGCGTAACGAGGGAAAAAGAGTATTTCTTCTGATGAAACGAAAAGAATGGAGAAAGAAAAGAATGGAAATAAAAACAAGTATAAAGACTCTTTCGCTGCTTTGAGTGAACAAAAATTTAGAAAAAGAAATCAAAATGAGTTAACTCCTGTGAGATAGATGAGGTTTGCTTCGATTATCTAGCTCGCCCGCACAGACAGGTGTGGGTGTGTGAGTGTATGTATGTGGAACGAATGATCCGGCTCAATTTGATAGTGATGAGCTTGCCTTCTTTACGCAAAAAAGGGCAAAAGAAAATAGAGCCTTTCTTCTCGGAATTTTTGATGCCTCTTGCTTATGTGGGTGTGGGTACGCACAGCCTCAATGTGCCTTAATTTAATATTTAGTCTTCCCTCGTTTGGGGGTTAGATAGAGGCAAAGAGACTTCGGCGGTGTTCGTGAACTCGCAGTAGCTTGCAAAAAACACACGCACACAGCAACAAGAGATCGGAAAAGAAAAATGATATGGAGGACGACAATAATACGAGAATCACCAGTCCTGGACGAGACGCGCGGGAAAAAAGAAGTAGTTTGCTCGGCGTTTGTGTGTGCGTGCCTTTCTCTTTTCTTGGGGGGAGGGGGCTTGTTTGTTTCCTTTTTTCTTCTTCTTTGTGGGGATGTGAAAAAGCGCACGTGGCCTTCGCCCGGATGTGGCCTTAGAGAAAATCAGGGAAAGAGAGAGAGAAATAAAAAAAAAGGGTGCTGCACACTCACGACAACAAAGAAACAAAGAAAAAGAGAGGAGGCGTCGGTTTCCGAAAGAGACGAATTTATAGTAGTCTGCAGTCAGCTGTAGTTCTTCTTCTTCTCGGCCAAATCCGTGAACGGCGGCCTCACGACTCAAGACGCGTGCACAGCCACACACACACACGCACACGCACGCGTACACACAGCAAGAACGCACAATGCAGCGCAGATCAACAATGAGCGGGAGGAGGAAGACCGGAATCGCTTCGTTCGCGTTTTCTTTAGATATATAAAGAGGAAAAAAAAGGAAAGAAAACGAAGGAGAGGAATGAAGGTCCGAAGTCGACGATGGAGACCGGCAAAAACGCCGACACGCCTCAACAGTAATAACAATAAAGGTAAATGGAAGCAAGACGTGGTAGAGAGACAAGAGAGAGGGTTTTTTGGGGGTGTGTGTGTCGAGCTGAAAATGGAAAAATATAGGAGCCCACAATGTGAAGGCTCGTGTATTATAGTGGGAAAAAAAAAGTGACTGTTTAAAGAAAAAAAAGACAAAGAGAAAGAGAAAGGTATGAATAGTGGTGTAAATGATGACTTATTTGCAGAGCAATGGCGAGTAAACAATCAGGTGAGTTAAATTGTTCAATCTACGTTTCGCAGACGAAATCAACAAACAGCGACGATGTGCGTTTCGCGACGCCGGTTGAACAGCAGAGGAAATAATGGACGAGTGAGGGGGAGAAAAGGAGTGAGAAAGAGAACGATAGAAGTAACCAACAGGAACAACGAGAAAAGCTTTAAAATAATAATAAAAGAATGATCATTGCGCGAGAGGTGTCTATGTCCCCTCAACTCGTGTGCATGTCGCGTACACCGCTGTTGTGCGCCTGAACGGGCAAGCGCCCTTCGCACATCAGCGAGCGGTCTCATTTCTTTTTTTTTAATCCTTTTTCGATGAAGGCAACCCTTGCGTGGACGGTGGTCCTCGCTGGACGGAAAAAGAGAGAAGTCGACGACTTCATCTGCTGTGGTTCTTTTATATTTATCTCAATCTAACGAACGAGTAGCAGAAACCGGTGAAAAAAAGAGAGGAAAGAATAATAGCAGATCGAGACTGAAGTGCTCTCTCGCTTTTCAAATTCTTCCACCTGCTCAGAAAAAAAAAGACAAGAAGACGACTCTATACGCATGTAAATGAAACAAAGAAAGCAAACCACTTTGACGCGGCGACACATAACATCCCCTAAAATGTCTTCTACAAAAAAAAAGCGAAGATAAGCGAAAAGTGCGGGTGACGTCCTCAACGTGCCGACCACATCGTTTTCTGCAGCCACGGGTGCGCCAGAACCTCGCGCATCGTCGGCCGCCTCGCCGGATCTTTCTGCAGCATTGCCTCAATCAACGACAGCGCACCAGCTGACAGCACCAGTTGATCGTTCCTATCGCGCGAAGGCGACGCGCCACACAAGTTTGGCGACTCGCACCGAATCGCACGCAACGTCTGCTGTGTCGAATCCTTGTAGAACGGAGGAACTCCGGTCAGCATCTCCGCCAGCATCACACCGAGGGACCACACATCTGTTTTGTAGGAGTGCGTCTGGCCGGAAACCATTTCAGGAGAGAGGTAATCCAGTGTGCCGCACACGGTGCGCCGCCCCTCCACCTCGCCATCCTCTCGCGTATTCGCATCTCCGCTCTGCTGTACCCCCGAGATGCCACGTTGGGCGGCTTGCCTTTCATCCGTAGTCTGTTGCTTCGCCTCGTCCCTCTCCGCACTGTACAGCTCCTCGGTTACGCCTGCGCTGCCCTGATGTACAACGGAAGAACCCACCGGTCTGGACCAGCCGAAGTCCGCCAGCTTCGCTATTCCGTCCTCATCAACTAAGACGTTCTCTAACTTTAAATCACGATGGGCCACTCCAAGAGCGTGCAGGTGCGCCAGCGCCTTCGCCACGTGTCGGGTGTAGCGAGACGCCTGCCTCTCCGCCAGGCGACCGAGCGGCGCCGTCTTTACCCGATGCAGCAGCGTCCCTCCACGGCAGTATTCCAGCACAAGAATGATGCACGACGAGGTAATAAAGTAGCTGTAGAGACGCACAATGTTGGGGTGGCGCAGGGTGCGCTGCAGGTTTATCTCCCACCGCAGCTGTGGCTCGAGCTGCAAGCACCGCAGCCGTGCTCGATCGATCTCCTTCAACGCAAACAGTAGCCCCGACGCGCGGTGCGTGGCGAGAGAGACGAGGGAGTAGCTGCCCTCGCCGAGCACCTCTTCATGCTGGAAGTCTGCGGCGTGCAGTTCATGTTGTCGGATGCGCGGACGCGGGGACGACGGTGATGGTGGCGGGACGGTGTTCTCTCGCATGTTGGTGGACGTCGCGGCGAGAAGGGCTGACGTGGGCGAAGAGGGGCGATCGGTCGAGCTGCTCAGCGAAGAGACACCCCCTCCGTCGCGGTGCGATATATCTGTTGGAGATGCTTCAGCGTTGGGGCGTAAAGCTGTCAACTGTCGATTGATGGTGCCCACCGTTTTCGTATTATGATGAATGGGGAGGAAAGGCAGTGATGAGGCCGCCGACGTTGCCAAGGCGGGCAGGCTTCTCTGCGTATTCGGTGATTCTGTGTCGGTGCAGCTTTCCTCAAAGCGTGCTCGCTTCGCATCCGGCACGTGCATCGACTCGCCGCAAAGGCGTTCTTCATTGGACTTGCCAGATCTTGTTTTGATGGGTGCTGTGTAGGAGATGATCTCGTTGTTATCCGCCCGTAGCCGTAGCATGGGTCCCGTGCTGGTGTGCGGGTAATCAACGGCTGCGGCGGACGTGGATGGTGCCGATAACACAACAGCCTGGACCGCGTTGTAAGACGGAGGCGACGAAACACGCAGCGTGCGAGTCTCCCTCGTCGGCGCGGCGTCGGAGGGGGGTGTGAGCGGTGCACCGCATCTTCTGCGGCTGCCCAGCATCGTGAATTTCACAAGTCACAGGAAGAGAAGATCGTCTCTGAGAACGCGTAACATTGAAAATCGAAAAAAGAACAGCCGAAATGACGGGGAAAATAGTGTGGTTCTGCCAATGTACTCGTGCGCGTGTGCAACTGAGAAGCGTAGCGTACGAAATGGCAGGGAGAAGAAAACAGCGCGCTTGGAAACGCGGCGCATTCAACCTCACCTGGCGGAAAGATGAGGAGTGGACTTGGTTGGATGAAAGGGTCGTTAACAATGCAAAAAGAAAAGAAAAAGAAAACCCGACGGAGAAAGAAGAACGGAAATACGTCGTTGACCATCAAGAAAGCAAACGAGGTACCCGCCTGCTGATGTCAACGGCTGCTCTTGTGCCTGTGCATGTCTGTTAAACAAATCAGCGTAACTCCCCTTGCCCTGTCGCACCGTTTTCGCTCTCTGTCGTTGCTCGAGAACGCATTCCAGTAAGCGAAAGCTGTGGGGCAGCTGATCACACGCCAATATTTTTAAAAGGGCTGTCCTTCCGGCATAATGTCGTTCACCGTCCCAAGGATGCCCTGTCCTTTTACTGTATCCCTACCCTCTTCCTAAAATAAAAAAGATTATCGTAAGGGAGGTATTTTGGCCTGTTAGGCACTTTCATTGCCAAAGGAACTGCGCAGGTGTGTTTTGCGCGTATATAGGGAGGGGGAGGTACATTCGTCGAGACTTAAACAACGAAACCCACCAACCCCTGCTCTTCCTCCCTCTCTTCCCCACCTCATCACCCTAATAATGAGTCTCCGTGTGTTTGTGTGTGTTATACAGTTCGGTTGATCAATACCATCCACAGCACACCCGCCTCACCATCGCATTAACTCAGCCACTCCTTCAAATACGCGCAGCTCTTCGGGTTCACCACACCGTACCCCGACACGGAGCAGCGCTCCAGCTGCGGACAACCCAAGCACGGAAACCCCAGCGCCGGCATGTACGACCACCCGTCCACCGCCTCCTGCGCGGACGGCTGCGAGACCGGCGCCGGCTCCCACAGACTCGTCTGCCGAAGCGCGTCCATCGTGCTGACAACGCTGTCGCTTTCAATATCCAGTAAAAGATTTGCACAAGACGAAGAAGTACCGGCGGCCCCCGCGGCCGCCTCGCAGCTGTCACGGCGGAGACGCTGCCTTGGTGGGCTGCCGTCCACGCCGGAGGCTCCACGCTGCTGCTGCTGCTGCTGCTGCTGTCGTCGCCGCGCTTGCACCGTAAAGTGGCGCATCACGCCCTGGCCACACGCAATTTGGTACTGCGGAGCACTGACCTCCTCCTGTGAGTCCGGCACCCGCAGCTCCAGCACACCATCCAGCACCAGCGTCTGGACGAGGGTGCGCAGGTCGATCTCGGAGAGCTGCTTTGAGGCAAAGGCCGCGTTGGCGACCCCCGACACATCGCTCGTTGAGTTCGGATGCCCGACACCGCCCGCAGCACCCGCCGAAGGATGGATCGGGGCGGCGACAGGTCGAGTGTAGGCGGAGTCGATCATCGTGACCACGAGGGGGGTCATGGGCGACGTGCCGCCGCTGCCGCCACCCCCTCCACCTCCTCCTACCTGTGCGGAGGTGCTGGCGGAGCCGCCGCTACTGGCGCTCTGCACCGCCTCAACGTGGCGCTTTATCTGATCGAAGCCCACCATCCGCCGCGTCGAGATAAACCGCGTCAGCTCCCGCCGCCACTCGTCCACAAAGGCGGTGTCCAAATTCTCGCCGCAGTACATCGTCCCGCCCGTCACGTGGGCGGAGGGGTCAACGTGGAAGAGAGTGTAGATGCGCTTGGCGCGATTCGTGAAGGAGCGGTGCTCCTTAATGAGGCCTTTCGCCGCGAGTGCAGCGAGGGCCTTGCCGAGCTCCGTCTTGGGCATCCGCACTTTGTTCTGCAACTGGGTCTGATCGATACCGCTCTCCCCGCTCGCCCGTACCGCATCCATCACGAGCGACAGCGACCCGTTGATGTTGTTCACAATTGAGACGTAGATCTGGCTGTCGCCGCCGCCGCCGCGACGCAGGCGCAAACGATTCTGCTCCACCAACTGTCGAATCACACCCTCCCCGCCATTCGCGCCGAGGTTTAGCTCACGCTTTAAGCGCTCATACGGAACTGCCTCCTCAGCTGCGGTGGAAAGGCGGTGGAGAAGGCGCTGCTCCACCGCAGCGGCGGAAGATGAAGACGAAGACGCCATTCCTGAGCGGCTTTTGGATGAAAAAAAAAGCCTTGCGTTGCGGTTTTTATGAATGTACTTCGCAAGAGTCGTGTGTGCAGGCCGTTTCGGGAGAGGAAGAGTGCTTGTAATGAGGAGCTGACCTCGTTTGATGCCGCTCGTAGGAAGTTCGTACGAGAACACGGAAGAGACGCAAAGACAAAAAAGGGGGAGAGAAAACTAATAAGAAGTAAGGAATGTCAAATTATAATAAAAACTGTAATTATGGCTGCCTGCTGTTTGCTCCACTGCAGCGTAGCGCCCGCCGTGCGTGTGTGGGAGCGAGAAGACGAAAAATGAAAAGGGGAGGGATAATCCGCGCGCTTGAGTTTGGTGCCTCTCGCACACAGACGCACGAGCTGTTCCGGAGCACGTCAAAAAGCCGCAACAGTAGTTGCACCTCCAAAGAGAGAAAAGAAAAGAAAAAAGAAGTGTGAGGGGTTATACGAAGCGACGCGGAAGAATAGATTCAAAAGATGCGGGGAAACAAAAACGGTGGAGAGGGTTGCTCAGCATCGCATGGTGTGTGGGAGACGCCAAGTCGCGCCTCATCACACTTTGCGCATGAGGGGAAGGTGTGTCTCTAAACTGCGCTTTAAGAGTACTCTGCGCCTCCTACGGCTATTTCTCAGCGGTGGAGTTCGTGGTTAGCAAGTCACCGTGCAGCCTGCGAAGGATGCAGGGAGTGAATCGCCGAGAGAGGCGCGTCCCACTTGAGTGTTTCCCTCCTCCCGCCCACCTCTTTTTCTTTTTTTACAAAGGAGACCTCTACCGTAAGGCTCGGCGAACGCCGGAGTGCACGGGTGGGGTGTGCTCCACCCGTGAACGTCCCTCCTCCCCCTCCTCCTCCTCTCTGCCGTTCGCTTTCTTCTCTTCTCTGGTGTGGTTGCTGCCGTTTTATATATAAATATAAATATTTGATTTCTTTTCCAACATGAAGAAAACATAAAAAAAGCAATGATGAATAGCGTGGACGAAAGACAAAAGAAGAAAAGACCGAAAAGGGCGCCGCCACCAAACACGCTTCAAAAGGGTTGCATAAGAAGACGAATATCAAACAAAAAAAAAACAAGGGCGAAGACTCAGCTGAAGAGAAATTCTTTTTTCTCTTTTCTTTAAGGGGTCTCCGACGACGCGGTAACGACCTGCACACAGCGACCGTCACTTTTCCTCTTCCTCGTTTTTCACCCTTCGCTGTCGTTGTTCTTTCGCCCTCCCTCTCTGTTCTGCAAACGCAGGGAACTCAAACCTTCATTGGATGCCAACCACAGAAAAATGAAAAAAAAATCACAGAGAGAGAGAGAGAGACCACGCAGCCACAACCACCTCGTCACCTTCAACGATCCTTCGTATGTTCTCGCCTCGCAGGACCGGCAGCACATCACACCCGCGTGCAAGTGCGCTCGCTTCACACAAAAAAGAAAAAGAAAAAAAAGAAAGGACAATTATAGTAATAAAGAACGAAATAAAAGAATCACTCTATACGTTCGACATCACAAACTTCGCCATAATCAACGCGTTCTTCTTTTGCCCCCCCCCCCTTCCCCCCTCTGTTGCCTGGTAAACACGCACCAAACGCAAGCAAGACACGCAAGGAAGCGTGCTCCCTCGCTTCCATATCTTCATCAACGCGACTCGATGTATTTAAAAAACGAAAAGAAAGAAGAGAGGTATCTGTAACTATCCACGTTCGCTCACGTCAACTCACTCTTACGCCGCCGGCTTCGCTGCGGGGGGCGTGCCACCGAGGAGCCGGTACAGGGTGTCGCACGAAATCGCCAAAGCAGACTTCAGATCTGATACGTTCGTCGCCGGGCTGTTCGTAAACGCAGACAAGCACACACGCACTTCCTGGTCGTCTATCACGTAGCCCAGTCCGTAGCCGTTGTGGTTGATGGGACCAAAAGTGTAGTAGCGCAGCCACGGCTTGCTAAACTCGCTCGTCGCCAGGACAGCGTTGTTCGTCTTGGCAAACAAGTCATCCTCGAAGAAGGCGAGGGCGGCCTTGTCGCCGTTGATCTGAGCCACGTGCCGCAGCGCGGTCAGGTGCCGGTCAAAGCCCTCGCCTCGCTTCGCCGCTGCTGTCTGACGCACGTGGCGGATGCTCGTCGCACGGATCAGCTTCGCGAGGGTCTCCTTGCCGTTCGCGTCGAGCGCCGCAGCGGCCGCGGCGTCCTGCTGATGCTGCGCCAGCGTCGTCGCCAGCTCGAGCATTTCCTCGGTCGCCGTGTGCATCAGCTCGGTCGTGCCGTGGAAAAAGCGGGCCGTACTGCACACCTCCGTCGTGCTGCACAGTTTGCCGCGCAGTTGATGCATGGCTAGCTGCAGGCACATCTGCACAAAGGCGTCCGGCTCCACCGCCAGCGCGGACAGCTGCGCCCTGCCGTAGGGAATGTGGATGGAGTGCGCTTCCGTGTCCGTCACGATGGCCAGCGCCTCCTGGCGGGCGGCCCGGATGTGCGTGACAAAGGACTTTCCGTAGGTCACGCTGAGCGGCTTGACAACGGCGTTGATCTCCGCCCCGTCGACGCCGTTCGTGGAGAGCCCGCTACCTCCGCGCTCCTTCAGGATGCTCAGCACGTCGTCGATCCACTTCGCCCAGTGCACGCGGTCGCTGGCGGTCGTCTCGAAGTTGAAAGCGACCTGGCCATCCTCGGAGACGATCATCTGGTGCTTGTCGAACCAGCGGTTCTCTAGCTCGTCCTTGCCACCGTGCAGGGCGGATGACTCAGCGAGGCTTTCATTGCTGCCCCACTTCAAGCCGTCCAGGCAGACTACGATAATGCTCTCATGGAACAGGTGCAGGGACTCGGCGTTCTCGGGGGTTTTGATCAGCTCTTGATAGGCCTGTCCCCACACGGTGCGGCTGCCCGCCGTCAGCACCGCCACGGGGGCCGGGTTGTCCTGGTCGGGCGTGATAGACAGGATAAACTCAAATGCCTTCTGGATCAGTCGGCGGTCCACCACGAGCCCGTTCTCGTCGAAGACGCGCACCACGTAAGGGTGGCCATCGTGTAGCACGATAATGTGTTGCAGCTTCGACAGCGGCGTCGTGTGGATTGCATCTGTCTCCTTTGACGGAATCAAGCTACGGCCGAACTCGGTCAGCAGCGGCGACACGTCGAACTGCTTCGATGGGTCGTCGGCCACCTGTAAGCCCTGCGTCCTCACCTGCTGAATCCAGCTAGCAATCGCGTGTGTCATGGCGGAGGCCACGCCCGCCTGCGTCTGGTCGGCACCAAGAAGCTTGTCCTGCAATACGAAGCCGGCGTTCATGTTCACCTCCAGCGGGTAGCGGCTACTCAGGGCGGCCTGCGACATCATCGTCTCGAGGTAGGTAAAGGGGGCCGTGCCGGCTTCGGCGGCAGCCTTGTCCGTTTCGACTAAGTACTTCTGCAGCACCGGTGCTGATGAGGTGAGGAAGGCATCCAGCTTTTCCACGTGCCCGGCGGTGACCTCGTTCGACCAGAGAGCCTTAAGGGAGCAGCGGTAGCCGTCCATGGTAGAAGTCACCGCTGGGATCGGCAGGCGAGGAAGCTGGAGCACGTTGCTCTGCAGCTCCGAGGCGGCAATGCGTCTCATTTCTGTGGTTTAAATGTTATTGGTGTTATTCTTTCTTCTTCGTTGCCTTTTCCAGGCTCTTTGTGCTCTCTTTTTAAATCTGAGGGATGAATTCGTGGTACCGGCGGTACACAACGCTGATGCTGGGAACGACGGAGAGCCACGGTTGACTGTGCGTCTGCAGGAGAGGAACAACTACGGATATATATGGAGCAATTGGCAAACCAGACCGAGACAACTTCGCAGAAGAAGAAAAAAAGCCGCAGGAGTGAAAAACGTGGAAGAGAAAAACGACAGAGAATGTGATATGTGAATAAGAGCAATAACAGTAATTATGTCTGGAGAACGGGAAATGAAGAGAAGAGACGGTGTCAATAAAGTCGCACGCGCCAACGTGCCGGTGAAGTCGATAGATGACAGAACAACGGACGAAATAACCCGCGGCAAAGAACGCACGTGCGTAATACTCTTGAGTCTGTTAATGGAACTGCTTTTCTTCCGTATCGTCCGCAATCGTTGCTCCTTTAGTGTGTGTATGGGTGTAGGTGTGTGTGTGTATGGGCAATACAGACAGCAACGATGAGGTGAAGTGGTCGGAAAGCCTGGGGAAGAGGGCGGCAAGGGAAACAAAGAGCGAAAGCAAGAACTTGTCGAGGTGCAAGCCAAATATGTAATAAACTACGCAAAACACGTGGCAGCCTAAGATGGACAGACGGACAGACGGACAGAAGAAACAGGAGACACCAAAGAAAAGAAAAAATACTGATGCGTATAAAGGACAAACAGCAATGGAAGCTATCCGCGCCCTGATGACGAGATCGAGACGAGTAAAGCAGAGAGGAGATTATTCAAAACAATAATAATAATAAACACCTTAGTATCCGAAAAGCGGTCAAAGGGTCGAGTTTGCATAAACACGAACCTTTCCTGGTAGAGGTGGAGGAGAACAAACAGGGTAGTGGTGATGGTGTAGCACACATACAACGGATAATTAAGTGGGAGAAAACAAGATAGACGAGCAGCGACGAAAGATGAGGTGGAGAAGTGTCCGTGAACGAATTGAAAAGAGAAAGAAAGGCAGTTTAAGTTCCAACAATCTTTGAAGCTCGACGCTCCCCAACGTCGCGAGCAGCACGCATCACGTGAGATCGTTATTCAAGGAGAAAAAAACGAGCAGCTCTTTTTTATTCCCACAACACGACGCAACACGCAATGAAATTGGGCGTATGTATGTATGTGTGGGTGTGTGCATATGAGCCAACTTCACAGCACATCCAAGAGCGGAACTGGATGGTAGCGTGCCGACAAGTGTGGCCTCGGTGCGAAAGACAATGTCCTCTGAAGGACTTGCTTGCTATTTCTTGTCTTTTAGGGGGGGAGGCTTTTCCCTCCCATTCCTCCACAAGAAACTACTTAGATTTTTGCTATTGTGATGCAGACACCCTTTTTTTATTGTAATAGCTTAAGTTTGTAAGAAGAACATGTGTGCTTGCCCCGAGCTGCCAATAAGAACAAGATGAGAAAGAAAAAAAACTGTGCGGACTGAAGAGAGGCGGCAGCAAAAAAAAAAGGGCACTGGGATGTGTGTGTGACTGAGGGAGCAACAAAGCGCTGCGCAGGCCCGTTTCTGTACACCACCTCCTCCGCGTTGCCTGACCGCCAGTGCTTTCCACAACCACCTTTTCCTTCCCCCCTTCCCCCGTTTACCTCACCGTAAACCTCCATACTTCCTACTGCATGCGAGCAATTTCTGAACAAAAAAAAACGCACACAGACAACAAAACAAAAGAAAAAATGATGGCAAACGTAGGAATGATGGCGATCACCGCTGGAGCAGGCCAATCCCAATGCGATCACGCGACCAACAGGCCAGGCAACGCGAGTCCATACACGCAGATGCACACATGCGCCAACCCACACACATACACACACACACGTACGTGTGACCCCACGACAAAACATATAGTAATAATTAACAACAGATGAATATATGAGTTTTTTTCGCTTCGCACGATACACGCATCTACTTCTGACACACGCGCACCAACACAAAACACCCAGAAGCGCTTCCGTAGCAACTCAACCGCGCCGCTCTCTCCGCAACCTGCACGGAGCACACAAGAATATAAGAAAAAAACCCGCGCACGCAGCGCATCACATTCGCAACGAAACTCACAAACAGGAGCAAATCATCGACAGACGACAATTCGTTCGTTCAGTTTGTTTTCACGGAGTGCAGCCTCAACTCAGAAGCAAATCAACAACGGAAAGAAAAAAAAAGAAAGAAATGTGAGGAAACAGCCGCAACAAATTCAACCTAAAAAAAAAGGGGGCGTGGACACGCACCACAACAATCGTTTGTTTCTTTTTAGTTTTTCTGTGACCACTCGTACTTAGGATGACGCTGCTGCTTTGTCTTGCGTTGCGTCGGCCTCTTCGCGCTCGCTCTCCTCCACCGTCCAGCCCCGGATGACCTCATCGTACGCCACATCGCTATACTTGTCAAAGATCAGCGGGTCCGTCGGACTCAAGAAGTTAAAGTTGCCCTTCGCAAACTCTTCATCTGGAATGCGGTCGAAGAGGGCGGTGTGAAAGCGCACGTAGTGCACCAACGTGTAGTACGTGTACACAGGAACGTCCTCCGGCCGCGGCAGGGGGCAAAACTTCATGAGGAAGCCCATCAGCATCATATCCGCACCGGGGCCGTCGTGCAGCAGCGCCTCCTCGAAGTTCACCGCCGTCACGTAGTACATGTCTCGAATGTAGTACTTGATCTTGTTCAGCGGCGGGCGGCCCATGATGTCCTCCGAGGTGGCGGTCCAGCTATCAAACATGGTCACCAGCAGCTCCTCCAGCACCTCGCGACGGCGGTTGAACTTCTCAATTGGGATGCTCGTTGCCCGGCGGCTCACCAGGTGCACGTGGAGTACGTATAGCCAATACGTCAGGTCCATCTCCGCGTACTCCAAGTCGAACAAGTCCTTCCACTCGGGGAGGGAGATGTGGTGGCACAGGTGGCCGGAGATAAACTCTGACACAGCGCGCACCTGCCCGCCCATCGTCATCCAACGCGGACGCTCACCCTCGTAGACGGCCATCGAAGACGGGTCGCGCACGTCTATGCCTTTGTAGCGTTCCGCGTTCTCCTCCACCAACTTCGACAGCAGGGCCTCGACAGGCTGGATGTCCGTCGTGGCTCGCGGAGTGAGAAAGTGGTCCGGAACCAGCTTCAGGAACTTCTCCTCGGCGACGCCCTTGAACTCGTTGCCGAGGCTCGCCCACGCAGCGGCCGCCATCCACGACGTGGAGGCCGACACGGCGACGGGTGAGGCGGAGCCGCGGGTGCTGTCCTCCGCAGCTGCGGTGGAAGAAGACGCACCGGCTGCTGTCGCTGCTGCTCCGCCGGCAGCCACGCCGCCCTTCGCACAGAATCGCCACACACTACGAAGAAACATCCTAACAAATAAATCGACACCGCAATTTCGGTGCAGCGGGGCAAAGTACGAAAAAAAAAAGGAAGAGAAGAAAAGACGCGGAGTGGGTGTCCGTCAAATGAAATACCCCCCCCCCCCCACGACGAAGAGAGCAAAAACAAAAACAGCGTTTGGAAAACTGTGTGTGTGTCGTGCTGAAAGCGCAGACGCGGCTCTCCGCAAAAGGGGGAAAGCAACAAATAAACCTTAGAAGACCCAACGCAGCCGCCGAAAAATGTGACGAGAGAAACACAGAAAAACAACAAAGGGAGGAAAAAGAGGGGATTGGACAGAAGAGCGGAAGACAGTCGACGAAGCGCGGCCCATAACGGCTCACCTTAGCTGTACTAGCTAATGAAGAAACTCGCGAAGCAGTTTGTTCGCGACTCGACTGATGAATTACTGATGTGTGGGTGTGTGTATGTATGTGTTTGTGTATTTCTAAATGAGAAATGAAAAAAGGACTTGTGAAGGAATTCAACATGCAGAAGAGCGTAGAGAAAGACATGAAAAGGGGAGAAAAAATGCGGTAGAAGCCACGAGCACGAAGAAAAATACATGGGAGTACTTCACCTACGAGCGCGAGGGAGTTTCCACGTGTTAGCTGCTGCATACGGGTGCGTTGTACGCCCCCCTGCTGAGCAGCGAATTGAGTTGGTCGCTTAAGGAAATAACTTCATCAGCCGCTCCTACACTCTTTCCAGCCTCGCATGCCTTTCCTTTTAAGAAAAGGAAAGAAGCGAAGAGCCGCTAAACCCTTCACGCTTTGGGGGCGACCGGTTCACGCTATGCAAGCTGTCATCCTGTCAGAACAGCTGACGTGCCTCTACTCGATCCCCTATTTTCTAACACATATATTGGTTTCAATAAGTACCCACATGTATTCTCTCCTCTCTGCAAAAAACAGCAGGTTGAACAAAAACACGGAGGTTTGGGAGAAGGAAAAGAGGAAGTGCCACCGGCACAACTCGTTGCAGGAATCGACTGCGCAACAACCGCGACGCGATCATTTGCAATAAACCCCTCCTCCTGATAATAAAAGAGAAAAGGACAGATTGGAGAAGTCGTCCGTGCTTTCGTTCCTTTCCTCGCGCTTCAGTTTCTTGCTGTTGCTCGTTACTGCGTCGCCGCCTGCGTCGCGGCCAGCTGCGAGATCTCGCCCATGATGTGGTCAAACGTGTCCTCCACATCCTCGTCCTCCCAATCCTCCTCCCACGACTTCGCCACCTCTTCCTCAAATTGCCCACTGATCTGGCGCATCGACAGCGTGCGGACAGAGCCGGCGCGCGACAGACCTCCCGCCGCACCGCCCGCCGCCGGTGCCGGCTCAAAGCTCTTGAAGTCGGCGAAGGTGTCCTCCGACTCCTTGTACCAGGCGGACCAGACCGTCTCGGTGGACGGGATATCTAACAGCGCGTCCGTCGTCTGCAACACGGAAGGCATCTCGCTGGCGTTCGCGGAAGCCATTGTTTCCAGCCAATATATACCGCGGTTGAAGAAGGAGAGCAGGCGGAAAGAGAACGAGGGGGGTAGATGGACAATAAACAGTGTTGAGGGGGGGGGTGGCAAAGCAAAGACGATAGCCCTGCTTGAAAGCGCGGATAGAGGAGAGGAAAGAAGACACGCGCACTAGACAAAGGCAACAAAACGTCAGACGAACACACGCGCCGTACGACAAACAAAACAGGCAAACGTATATATATAATATGTCCGGTGAGGGGTCTTTTGTGAAAACTTTTTTAAAGCTTTGTGATTCTCTTCTGCTAACTTCTACGTCGACGTTTTTCTTTTTTAACCTCCGTTGCTGTTTGAGAATTGGATGTGGTTTGCTTTTAGCAGAATGAAGCAGAGTGAGGAGACAGAAAAAGAGAGGAATACATATCGTGCAGTTGCGTTGGGGGAGGTAGAACAGCAAAGGAAAAAAGAGTACATCCTTCGCTCACCGGTGAGGCGAACAGTCACGCAGGCGTCGCCCCAGCTGCAACGCTAAACATGGTGATCCTCTGCAAACCCACAGCAACAAAAAAAAAAACACCAGAGAGGAAAAGCTTCAGGCGAGGACCACTTTGGTTTAGGAAAAAAAAAATAAGCGGCTTTCTTCATTACCTTCGCGGAGCATCTGAACGGTCCGCAACGTGAGGTCACATAACCATCCGTGTTTTTGTTCCTCAGAGAAATCAAAAAAAAACGATGCTTTTTTTGGCATTCCTTTCTTTTGAATATCCTTTTTTAAGTTCGTCAGTTTCGTTTCCACGAGCTCGTCTGGTAAAGCCATCCCGTTTGGGGGGTCACCGCCGCAGCATCGTATATATACGGAATCAGTCACGCACACACAAACACACGTACAACACAACGCATGACCTCCAAAAGGAAAAAGAAAACTCCACGTAGTTTCCGTCAAAAACAGTGTACTTCGTTGTGAAAGCACCCTGTGGCGTGCGCGGAGCTACTGCCCACGTGGGCCCGCATCCCCCTGCTTCTTCGCATCCTGCAACTGCCTCACCGCGTCCTCCTTCGCCTTCTCCCGGGCGATCTTCTCCGGATCGGCCGTCGAGTAACAGGCCAGGCCGCGCGCCGGACACGTCGTGCGCGAGGCAATCGCGTTCAGCGAGACGCCGTAGTTCGCCATGAGGTGGTTTATCACCGTCATCCCCCGCCCCGCTGTCGGCGGGAACAGCTTCTCAATCTCCGTCGGCTTCACGATGAAGTTGCCGTTGCGGTCGACGTCCACCTCGATGCCGACGTGGTAGCCGCCAAACGTCGTCATGGACACGACGACGTCGCTCTCATTGACCACACTGAAGGAGCGCGGCACCGCCTTGTTGTAGATGCGCTGGAAGGTGCGGTTGCCCATCCGGGGCTGGCCGTAGGTGTACACGGTCACCTCGGGGATGGGGTAGTCCATGCGGCGCAGCACCGCCGTGATGCTGTACGCGCTGAGGGAAGCGAGCGCCCCACCCAAGCTGTGGCCCGTCGTGAAGATGCGGTAGACGATGTTGCGATCCTCCTCTACGATCGCGCGCAGCCGCTGCATCACCGTCGGCTTGAGCGTCTTCCAGATGACGAGAAAGCCGGCGTGACACGTCGGCCGCCACGAGGTTGCCCGGGCACAGGAGCGGAGGCACGCCGCACAGCCGAGGTGCTGCGTACCCATAGTGCTGCCGCCGTCCAGCGTGCTGGCCATATCCGTTGGCACCCCGCTAGAGCCGTTCTGGTTGTCCTCCGCCTCGACTCGCTCCATTTCACGCCACACGACGCGGTGGATGTTCATGTCGTACTTCGCGTTGCTCATGTTGGCCGTCCCGCGGAAGCCGATGATGATGCGTGGTGCCTTCCCGCGATGCTCCGGGGCGTTGGTGTCCATCTTCACCATAATCACCTGCACCTCCTTCGCCTCTGCCACGAGGAGCAGGGTGAAACCGTACTTCTCCACATCGATCGGGAAAAGGGTAGAGGTGGTGGGGACGGCCGGGTTGGACGAGGGAGCGTTGACCGTGGTGACCGGACCGCCCTGCGCGAGACCGCGCGAAGGCAGCTCACCAGCCGCCGCCGCCGCCACCGTCTGCTGCACTACCGCATCGGCATCCGCCTCGTTGCTTCCTTCCTTATCTGGCCGTTTGGGCTGCGACGCGGCAGCCTGCGGCGCGCGCTCCGCCGTCGGCACGTTGTTCTGCTCTCCCTCCCCCGTCATGTGCACAATCACCACGGCGTCGTCAGCGTCGTGGACGGCGGCGTGGTGCAGCGGTGACAGGGTCTTGTCGCCGTCCTTGTCGCCGTCTACGCCAGTCGCCGACGCGTGCCGGGGCAGCATCTCGTGTTGTTCTGCCTGCGCTACGGTGCTCGCCGCTTGTCTGCCGCCCGGTGCGGGGGGCACGGCGGCCGACGTCGAGTCTTGCCGCTGCTCTCCTTCGCCGCTTCCAACATGGTCGCTGCTGGCATTATAGTGTCCACTTGCCTGCAGGTAGCGCACCACCCGATCGTTACCACCAGTGCCCGCCGCGTTCTCGTCCTCGCTGCTGTCCTCCTCGTCCTGGCTAGAGTCGTCCTCCGCTGGGCAGCACCCACATACCACCTTCTTCACGCCGTGCGCCACCGTCTTCGGCACGTTCTGTGGCGTCATTTTGATGCCCGTCTCAATCGCGTCATCGCCGCCGCTCTTCTCCACGCCATACGCCTCCCACGATACGTTAAAACAGTCAATCGCCGTCTCCAGGTTAAAAAACGGAAGGTAGTGCATGGACTGGAAAGGGCGGTAGGCGGCATCAAAGATGTGCGTCTCGAAGCGGTCTAAATTGCGCGCCGGCTTTTCGAACAGGTGCTTCTCCGCCGCCCCCATCGCGGCGCCCAGGCGTTCTCGCACCACGTTCAACGTGTGAAAGAAGGAGCGCCGCCCGCGGCCATGCCCATCGTCGCCGTCGTCGTCGCTGTGGTAGTGCGCGCCGTCTTCCTCCTCGCTGGTCGGCTGCGAGAGGTCAGAGGCCATGTCATCCAGCAGTGTGGTCGACGCTGCGTTGACGTCGGTGGGTGGTGCACCGAAGGACCGATGCCCGGTGGCGGTCGACGCGAGCGGCGCCGGTGCACGACGGCGTTTCGCGTGCGCTCCTTCGCCGTTGCCATCATTGCCGCTGGCGTGTTTGACGGGCTGCGCCGTGGTGGGCGTTGCCGCAAAGGTGGGGAGCGCGTGGGGTCCTCTCCTCAGCGTGTCGGCTGGCGAGGCAAAAGAATACTGCTGCACTTGCCGTAGTGCCTGCAGCAGCGCCTCTGACTGCCGCGCGTGTGCAGTGCCGGCGGTGGCTTCGTCCGTCACGTCGATGCTGCCGCTATAGCACGGGTCCTCCGTTTCCTCGTTGTTGTTGCTCGTCGAGGGGCCCCGAGGAGACCTGCGTGTTGGCCTGACTTCGTCCCCATGCCCGCCCTTTGGACGCGTGCCGGCGGTAGTGGAAGCCGCTCGTGTGGATTCGTGCACCGGGTCACGATAGCGCTGATGTTGCCGCTGCGGTGGAGGTATCGGCGGCGAGGACCTTTCGGCATCGTAGTTCGCGTGTGCGCTGTTGCTGTGCGCGACGCTGCCGGCCGAGCGCGAGCGCGCGTGACAGGCACCGCTGCGCAGGCCCTCTCCAACCACCAGCGGCGTCGACACGTGTTCGGTCTGCGGTGCGTAGCGCGGACGGCCTTCAAAGCCCGCAAAGGTGCGACTCAGTGCGATTTGGTTTTCCGCCACCGTCATCGTCTGCTCGCGGCGCAGCCCTGCGTTGTCGTGGCGTCGTGCTGTAGAGGTGCCTTGCAGAAGACGGCTGCGATGACGGGCGGGGCCCTCGACCGCAAAGGCGTCGAAGGCGCTGCCGGGCTCGCGCTGGGGGCTTTGGCTCGGGGTGGTCAGCCGACTGTTCGGACGTCTCGCGTAGCCACCACCGCCGCTGCCGCTGTTGCCCGGCCCTGCAGCGGACGCCATCGGATCCGTGTTGGCGACGCCGTTCCCGCCGTCTGCCAAAAAGTAGGTGCTAAAGCGATCCATGTTCAGCACACTTCGCGCCGCCAGGTTCACCGAGGTGACGTTCGCCGCCGCAGCCGCAGCCGCCGCATCGCGCGGGCGCGCGAAACTACTATTGCGCGGGCCCGGAAGAAAACTTACGTTTGTCGTGTTGGGGGCATCGGGGTTCTCCCAACGATTGGGGCGGTTGCCGGCGTCGCGACCCACGCGGCGACGCCCCTCACCCGGCGCGCCGCGCATCGCACCAGTGGCGGCAAAGCTGTTTGGATAAACCCGCGCCGGCGGCTGCGAGGGAATCCCTTCGCCATCGCTCCCCTCCACGTCGCTCGACAGCGGACTTGGCGGCTGACTCGGCATTGGGGTCTGCCAGACGTCCGTCCGCCACAGCGCCTCCCCGCCCCCACCTCCTCGCGTTGCCGCCGCTTCACGCGATGCCCGCCGCGTCGTTCTGCCACTCATCGCGTTGTGCGTGCGGAACAGCGAAAAAAAGCCGCTGTGTGTCGCCTCCCGCTGCGTCCCTAACGAGGTGGACCGCTCGTACAGAGCGCTGTCTTCATTCCCATTCCCACCTGCGCCTGCACCGCTGCGTTGTGGTTGTTGCTGCTTGCGCTTCTGTCGTGCCATGAACTGACGCTTGCGGAATTCGAACTGGAGACGGTAGAAGCGCGTCTCCTCAACTTCCGTGGAGAAGATGTACTGGCTGCCGCCGTGTCGGGCCAACCAGCGGTACCACGAGTCCGGCCACACCATGTGCTTCCAACGCGAGTCCTTCGGGTTGATCGGCACGTTGTCGTCGCGGTTCTGCGAGGTGTAAACGAAGGTCATGATGTTCACGAAGAAGCTGGCCACCATCAACGTTGGCAGCTGCAGGAACGGCTGATGCGAGGCCACAACGGGGAAGTCGTGATTGTACAGCAAAAAGAACACCAAGCAGTGAATAACGTAGTACACCACGGCGGACAGGAAGATCATGAGGAAGACCCTGCACGCGAGCTGCTGCGGACGGCTTTCGAGGTACGGTTTGTTGCCGAGGTAACTGCGCAAATACATCAGCAGCACAACACAGACCAGCCCGCCAAAGAGCAGCAGCGCAATGGCCGCCCAATACAGTCGTGCAAAGCGCGTGTAGCTGTTAGAAGCGGCGTACCAGTCGAACTCCTCCACGCACGCGTCCACAATCACCAGCACAAAGACGCACACGAGATAGAGAAAGACGATGATCTTTGTCCACTTGGGTGGGTCGTACACGTTGTGACTGCGCAGAAGAAAAGCCTTCGCACGCGCCACGACACTCGGCGGCGTGGTGCGTCCGGCGTGTGTGGGCCACGCCATCGAGGCGGTCATGACGGACAGCATATAAGCGATGAGCACCGCCATGAAGTACGTCGGGATGCGGTACTCCATGAAGGCCAGCACGGCCGGCATCGGCCAGATCGTGATGTTCAGCGCAAACAGCGGGTTGAGGTACCAGAGCAGCGCGACCTGCAGCGCCAGCGTCCACGCCTGCTCGTACAAGGTGCTCGTGTACTTGCGAAACGCGATGAAGCGCAGCGTGTGCAGGAAGGATAGCAGAAGCAGCACGTAGCGCCACACCAACGTGGCGATGGTGTAGACGGAGCGCTGGTAGGCCACACCCACCGCTCCCTCCGCCGCCCCCGCCGCCAAGGACGCCGGCACCGAGAGAAGAGAGAAACGAAACGCATTCGAGCTGCTCGTCTCAGCCAGCAAGTCCTCCGGCACCCGCGCGACATCGCAGCGACTTTTCTTCCTCTGGCAGCGCAACGTGAGACTTCGATTCGACGTCCAGGTCAGACCGCCGCCTTCCATCGTTGTGGAGGCGATCAGGTCGTAGTTCTCCACCGGGTTGACTTGATCGGCTGGGGTCGGAAGGCTCACCACCACGCGACGGTATCGCACGAGTTTGGCATGCAGGTGATCGAGGTCGTGCCCGGCCCACGTCAGAATAACATCCGTCGGCACGGCGCCACCACCACCAGTCCCGTCCATCGGCGCCGACGTCACACAAGAGCTAGACCACTTCTCCACGTGACGCAGATCGGTCGGGTAGCCAGCGCCGCAGACGTTCGTCATGGACCACTGCACGCGTGGCAGCACCTCGATCACGAGGGCCGAGATGAGGGCGGCGTACCACAGAAAGAGAATGAGTCGAATAATGAAGGCCGAGAGTGACTCCACCTGCAGCTCCACCGGCTCGTAGAAGCGCTGCTTTATGCAGAGCTTTTTGAGGTGCCGGGACTTGTGTGACTTCGCGGTGGAGCCGTCATTCCCTGATGTGGGGATGAGGAGGTGCGGGAGTTGTTGGTGTGCTGGTGTCGGTTGCCATCCACTTGGAACCACGACGGCACAGAAGGGGAAACGTAAAACGTCACTCCACGACTGCGCGTGGTGTTATCGTGGACGTCGCTGCCGACTCCAGAAAGAGCAAACGAATGCATGCCGGGGCCTGTGCCGATGCGGTTCGATAAGGCGGCCGGGTCCGCGCCAGGGCGGGATACACCACCACCACCACCACCGTCTACCGAATCGCGGCCGTCGCGCTGGTCCTCCTCGTTCAGCAGCGCCTCTCGTTCTCGCTGTTGTTGCGGCGGCGGCGGCGGTGGCTGCTCCGCCTGCGGCCCACTCGGGTTCGTCGCCCAATAAAAGCCGTCTACGAGAAAGAGTTGTCGGTGTGGCGCTGCAGGAATGGTCCGTCGCGGTGGTGGCGTCGCGTCTTGCTTCGCCGCTGCCTTTTCGATTCGTCTGCACCGCCGCTCCAGCTCCTTTTCGTCATCCTTTTGCCGCTGCGTCTCGACGGACGTGATGGGTGGAGGCGCGGGCGGCGACGCGGGTGGCGCGGTCACCGGCGGTGGTGCGGAGGTGGCAGCGGCAGGGGGTGTATGCTCCGCCCGTCTTCCGTCGTGCAGGGCAGATGAACTTTGTGTGGCGTCGCGCTGCCGCGGACTCGGTTCAGCGGCCGAACCAGCCGTGCTACTGTGACGACTGGAAGGCATGAAGAAATACTCGGAGGCACATGAACTAAAGCTTTATTAGAGAGAAGAAATTAAAACAGAGAGCACCCAAAACAATTCGCCGGCAACACTTCTCGTGGTCAGCAGGAGCGGAAGTCACACGGGCAAGGTTCAGCAGGAAGGCCGACCTAGCAATGGAGAGCTAGCGAAAAAAAGAAAAAGGAGAAGGCGAATCCTTCAGAAAACGTGAGAATGTAAAAACACGGAATGAAAAGCAGAAGATCTACAAAGGTCCGTCCGTTTGCGCCAAAGCAAACAAACAAAAAATAATAATACTGCTACAGCTAATGTACTGAAACGCGGAAGAAGACGTGAAAGTGCTTCCTACGGAGGTTGATTCTGTTCTTGCTGCTGTTGCGTTGGGTCGCCTTACTAGGTACTTCCCCTATAGAAAGAGAACGTGAGAATATATATAGAGAGAGAGTAGTGTCGCTTGCTTTTCGAAAAGGCAGGAAGAGGTGCACGTTAGACTCCGACACGCAGTGCGCACAGCGCAGTGCCTTTTCCTCCCCACCAGTTAGTTGTCAAATGGCTAACGTAAAAGAAAGGAAAGAAAAATCGAGAGACTCAGGAATTAGAGGCAACGTGTAACACCAAAACGTTGTCGCAACTATATCAACAGCAACAACAAAAAGACAAGAAAAGGCTCAACAGGATGGAATGCTGCGTCACTTTTGGGCGTTGCCTTCTCTCAGCACACCCACACCCACCCCCACTTGCCTGCCCCCCAGTCAAGCAGGTTGTTCTCTTTTTCTCTTGATGAAATCTGAATTGCGAGAGTTAACCCTTCACCTTTTTTTCTTCCTCCTTTGTTTGTTTGCTCACGGTAGACACGAATCGGCGTTTCACTGTTGACCGTTTTGGTATCCTCCGTTTTTTTTTCTTTTACTTGTGTGTTTTGCACTATTGTCCCTACTCCTACCCGTCCAACTATGTTGAGGTGACTGCAACCTCCCCACGCTGCATCGCAACTCAACAACAAAAAGAATGCTGACATCACCGAAAAGAGAAAGGACATGAAGTATGGCGTTTTCGCTGGTCACAACCCCCTTTTCTTCTTGTGTTTCCCATTACTTTCGATCATCGCTCTCTTTTTCCCTTTTTCTGGAGTTGTGCTGCGGTCTTTTTATGTTACTTTGCTGCTTAGAATGGCTTTAGCGTTTTGGGTTTTCTTTCCTTTGTTCCTTTTTTTTATCCTTTGGGATTATTGGACGCTACGCAATTGCATTGTAGGCGAGAGAAGACTAACGTTCAACTGGCAAAGAGAGATCAGCAAGAAAGGACGTTACCTGTTCAGTAGTCCCCGGTCTTTGGTGTCGCGCAGCCTCACCGCCCCCGCGCTACTTTTCCAGTCGAATGTATCCTTTTTTTTTTAGATTTTCACGCTGTGAATTTTTTCCTTTGATTCTTACCACAGCTTCTTTTTTTTTGTTTCCTTCACAGGTTCTCGCGAAAGGCTCCAAAAACGAAAAGAAAAAGAAAGAACATGCTTCTCTGTTGTTGCTGTGGCCCCCCCTTTTTTTTACCACCCCTCTCGAAATGCGTGCTTCTCTCTTTCTTTTGACCCCTTCTTATTATTATTATGTATTCATCTATTCTGCAGCTGCGTCGACAGGGTGATGGACGAGGGCCACGTGCGTACCTCCCGTTTTGTCACGATGGAGTTTGTTTTTTCCTTTCTTACGGTTTCTCTTTGTTTAACTGCGTACCACCCCGAATTGTCACCAAGCTAGAACCGCGTTCTCTGTCTGTCTGTCTCTCTCTCTCTTCTACTGACTCTTCTTGCGAGCGTCAAAACACTCTTGAGAACTTGCGCTGAGCTTTTTGCGGTGGCTGATTGCTCCGCTACTGACGCAACCCCAAGAGTGCTTGCTTCCATTGTGAACAGCCGTCTTCATTCTTCCCTTCACTGAGGCGTAGATGGGGTGTAGGGCACTAACAGTTTTATTTTGGCATTTTCTGCAAGATTTTTCTCTTCTATAGACAAGAGGAGATGCTTAAAGAAAACAAAAAAAAAATAAAAGCAACCACACACACGCTCACACGATTTCGAGGGTACCTTGTGAAGAGAGAACCAGGTCTGGCAATGAGCGATGCACGCTCCGTGTCAGAAATACTCCATTGTTATTTTTCCTATTCATCTCTTTTTCTTTTTCTGTCCTTCTATTTATTCCTTTTTGTTTTAATCGTTGTTAAGCCTACTTATCTCGTTTTTTGACCTTCTTTTTTTTTGTCGTTTTGCAACTCTTTTTCTATTTCTGTTTCTTTATTTTTAAAATATTTCTTCTATTTACTATGTCGTTGTTTCTTTTTGGTGGCGGTGAGGCATGCGTACGTGGAAGTGTGTCGTTCGAAGGTGACACATGACATGTTCGTTGGTGTTCGTGCTTTTCTTCTTTTTCTTCTTTCCCTTTCCCTCCTTTCTTTGTATTTATTCCAATCCTTCATCGGCGTCTGCCGTCGTCTGACCTACTCCTCTCTCCTTTCCCCTTTTCGAACTTGTGTTTTTATTATTATGTACTTTTGTTTTCTAATTGTGTGTTGCCGCACCGTTTTTGTTTTTTATTTTATTTTATTTGACTTTACGAGAATCTGCTACACCGGACTCTCTCTCTCTCTCTCTATTGATACTTTCGAGTTGTCGTTCTCGTTTACCGCCGCGTGAGAAAGAGAGCAAAATGGGGACTCTGTCACTTTTTTCTTTTTTCTTTTTTTTTTCCTGAGACAAACAAACAACAATTACCTCCTCCCCCCAAAAAACAAAGCGTGTTTTTTCCCTGTTACATTGAGAATCACGTCATTGTGCGATTTAAAACGGAGAAGTAAAAACGAGGACGTCGTCCAACGACCAAGCGCAGAACGTCGCCACAGCAGCAGGCGAAATCGATAGCCTGGTCGTCAAGAATGATGGTGAAGAAAAGTGATTCGAGGTGCGCAAGAGGAGTTACGAGAAACTCCTCTGTGCAGGGGGAGCGACATACTTGAAAAAGACGCGCTCTCTCTTCTCTCGCTCTCTCTTTTGCTTTCTTTCTTGCTCCTACCTTCGTTTTTTCCGTTCGACTGTCGCCTGCTTCTTTCTTTGAAGAAGAATTCGTGGATGCGAAGCGCAGCAAACGAATGTAATTAAGTAAGGCGCGTTTCTCTCCCCCAAAATTTTGAGCTGCGTTTTCTAATACACGTCTCCACTGATCAACGCGAGTACGGAATGGAAACTGTCGCGCCAACTCGTTTTTCCTTTTCCTTAAAACCATCTGATCCATGATAACGGAAAAAAGGGAAGAGAAAACATATTTGTGGTATCTTCGCGTGCGCCTGTGCGCACGGCGTGTGGGGCGTTCACCGTTCTGTTTCGGCGCCCAACCCGTACGTGTGTGTGTGTGTTACGTTGTGCCGATGGACTTAAATCTTTTTGGTTTTCTTGTTGGATGTTGGTTTAAACGTAATGTTTTTAGCTGGAAATCAACGACGCTCTATCTTTCTTTCTAACCGCCTGTTTTTATTCTCCCACTCTCTCTTCTTGTTCTCTTTTGAGCTCTTCACGCTCTAAAACGAAAAGAGAAAAGACGACGGGATGTTGATTTATCGGTGTTTTTTTTTTACTGGTCCGTTGCGACTGTATTATTGTTGTGAAATCGACTGGAGAGCAGCAACCAAAAATGTTCACCATGCCGGTGCTGTTGCCGCTTACTTGTTTGTCCACGCACCTCGCATAATAAAAAAAAGGAAAAGCTTTGTTTTACCTCTGACTCAATCTCAGGAGAGAGAGAGAGCGCTTGAAAACCAAAAACGGCGCTTTCATGAAAAAGAGAAAACAAACAAACAAACAAAAATATTTCCAACAGAGGGCAAACAAACATAAAACGATGTTGAAAGCAGTTGCTGATGGAAACCCACAGACGAAGGATGAGCGCACGAGAGCAGAAGCTTGACATTGTGGGGCGGTTGGTGATTGCTGAGAGTAACAACCTCTATTTAAATGATTATTGTTACAATTCTATTTTTATTTTTTGCTGGACGTAAGTAGAAGAAAGGAATCAACATAGGAACAGGAGAAAAACAAAAATCGAAGACGCCGTCACGACTGAACTGCGCCATTTTTTTTCTCTTTCTTTTCTTCGCTGATCAACTTCTTCACCATTGCGTCTGGTTCAAAAATCAGGTTTTCGTTGGCAAAGCAACACCACACCTCTCTTTTTTTTTCCATTTATCTTTCTTTGTTTTCTCTTCCCGCAAACTACGCACTGTCGATTATTATTATTATTATTATTATTAGTATATATATGCTTTTTTAAATAGTTTTTGAAAGGAAGAAGAGAACGTATATATCTCAACTCTTTCTTCCTTCCTTTTCTCAGTAGAAGGTTCTTGACACGAACGAAGGCACGTGCGTACACGCGCACGCACGCATTATCGTTACGCCGTGGTTGCAGGAAAAAAAGTAGAAAAAATAAAATGCATGCGTGCCTTATATACCTCCAACGACGCAAGCAAGCAAACCAGCAAATACACTGAAAACACAAACAGACACGCACACATAAGCAAACATACTAACGCACCCGCTGAACTTCGTGGTGTTTTGATTCCTCTTTTTTATTTTTCTCTTTTTTTGTATTTATCTCGAATAGGTTGAAATGCAATAGAATATAATTCCCCGAAGAAGAAACGAGACGAAGCAACGAAGAAATTTACCTAAAAAAGAAAGAGAAAAACACGCGTCAAAGGGCGGTGTTCGCGCAATGCGAAGGATACTTCTCTCTCCTTCTTTTTCCATTGGGTCGTACATGCAGCACCGCACCTGGCTTCTATGCGTCACGCTGCAACGTGCATCAGTCGACGACTTGAATCGCATGGTGGCAAAAGCGCAGCAGTTCCTTCCTCCTCCTCCTTCCCGGCTCGAGGTGAGTTCTTTTACGCTGTTCTTCTCTGATTCGTTCTCTGCTGCCTTCTTATCTCTTTTCTCTTTTTTTTTTGTTGGGTTGCTGCCATTTCTGTTGACACTGATTCTTCCGCCTATCCACCATGGCGGATCCCCCTCACACCCTTTCCTCGTGCTGCGCTGCACAACTGAACACAGATCCGTGTAAGGAGCAGAAAGGTCTCGTCTCGCGTTCATCATCGCACACACACACACACACACACACAAATAAAGAAAGGAAACAGCGCACTCCCTTTTCTTTTTCATCTGCTGTTGCTTGTAGTGCACCACCAAAGTGAACACAGGCGATAGCTGCGTACAAGGGTAGTACACATCACCTTTGCTGATCGGTGCTTCACGTGTGTTTTTTCTCTGTCGTTTCTCTGTCGTTTCTCTTTTTTTTTTCTTTGACCTTCACCATTATCCGTCGCCGTCGTCTTTGTCTTTCTAGCTTTTCATTTTAGGCTGTTGTGACGAGCGAGGGCTTCTCTTCCTGGCTTTTTTTCGAGTTGTCGAGAGTTTTTTTTTTCTGCGGAGGTGTTCGCTTACTGTGTTCGCTTCACATATTCATTTTTTTTTCTCTCTCCTATTCTTTGACGCTTTCCGTCACTTCTACGTGTTTTGTTTTTTCTTCTTCTTTTTCCCTTCTTTCCTCCATCGTACCGGCCGTTTCTGCTCGAGCGCATCGGGGGGAGAGCAAGAGTTGTGCAGGGTCGCCGTGCTGACTCACAGCAGCGCGCGCAACATCACTTCTTCGTTCTTAGCTCTCCTTTTTTTTCTCTTTTCCGTTTGTTTGTGCGAAACGTAAGCGATCAATAGCGGGTGAAACGGTGTTTTTCTTGCTTTGTCTTGCAGGGTGGACGATTCTCAGTATTTGAAAGCCAAAACAAGTCCTAAAAGAAAAGAAAACGAAAATAGAAGCACTCACACGCGCGTACACGCAGGGGAGCGGGAGTACTTACGCGAGGTTGTCTTGGTGCTCTCTTTGTTGGGAGGCGTCTCCTTTTTTTTCTTTTGTGGTTGCATGTATGGCCTGTGAAGAGGAAAAAAGGACAAAAACATCTTGTGGGTGCGTTGCCATTTTTTTCTTCTTGATTGTTGTCGATTAAAGGGGAACATTTGAATCGTGTTGTTGTATATCGGGAATATATATGCGTTTCTCTTCTAGCCGTGTAAGCGCGTTTACAGGAGCTGACTTTAATTCTTTAAGTGTTCTCTAAAGCACTGAAACGCAAGCTATTTCTTGACTTTGCAAAGAGAGAGCAAAAACAAAAAGTGGCACTCACGAACATTGTTTATCGCTTCAAAGAGTTGACGGCCTGAGTGGAAGCTGTCCACTAAAGCCGGGTTTACGGTATACATATATATCTTTTTAACTAACGTTTTTTCTTTTCTCTTTCCCCTTCCAATTCATCGTTATTCCCGTTACAGCTGCACAGCATAAAACGGTGCTTCTTGTGTGTGTTTTTACGTTTTTTTTTCTATATATATATATATATTTTTCTTTTACATATCTGTGCGGCTGCCCGTGCATTTCCGCCGCCCCACTTTCATACGTAGCGCACCGCCGTAACGCAATTGAAGGACCCATTTTTTTTTTCTAAACTGACTTCGCTGTTTTTATTTTCCTTTAGCTTTCTTTTTTCACACCTCATTTTCTGATTTCGACGTCGCTTACGTTCGCTTTTATCTTCGTTTTATAGTCGTTTTGCGCTCACTTCCTTCTTTTCCCCGAAGGAAAGTTCTCCCTCTGCGTGTGAAGATCTCTCGGTGCCGCCGTTAAAAACAAAAAGCAGAAACAAACAAAAAAGGAAACACAAAACGAAAAATCCCCCTCCCCCAAACAGGATAAACACACACACACACACACACACATCTATCAACGTTCACCACTCATTGTTCCTCTTCACCTCGTTTCCGTTTTGTTACTACTATTATTACTGGACACACTGGAATCTTTAACCTAATTCGTTTTAGTGGTTTTCTTTTTTCCTTTTCTTCTTCTTCGTACACCCTACGTGCTGTCAGCGAAGCACGAGTGACTTCTCCGAGTTAAGTTCTTTTCTTTCTGCGTGTGCCTTTCTTGCGAACCGGCAAACGGCGAAATCGAAGGAAGTACTGCTCCGAGGAGTTGTCGTGACTGCGCGACGGTAGCGAGGAGAACTGCAGAGCGAAGCAGAAAGTACTGTAAACTTTAACGTTACTGAAGAGGAGTAAAAGAAGAAGGCAAGCACGTTTGTCTTCCTTGGACTATTACAGTGACAATATTTATATTAATCGTGTTTTTCTAGCCTTTTTTTTTTGTTTGTCGGATAATTGAGACGGCTCTGCAGTGCCCCTTTTTTCTCTCTTCCTTCCCTCGCTGGTTCAGTACGTGGAGGCATTTAGCCTGTGCGGCGGTGAACCAACGCGCGTGTTTGTGCGTCGATTTTGTCTTTGTTCTTCTTGTTTCATTACTTCCGTTGGTTTTTTTTTTCTTCTTTCTGAGGGTTATTGATTTTTTTTTTTCTTTGAGTGGACGGGACGTTGAAAGCAGCACTTTTCTTTGTTTTGTTTTTTAAATATCTCTCTTTCGTTTTCACTCGATTCACACTGAATTGAAGCAGCGCAATTGTGTGGAGGTGTAATTTGCGTCATTGCCTTGTCGTCCCACGGTTTTTCTCAACCTCCTTTTTTGACTTCTTTTTTTCGCAAACACGCTGACAGCGCCACATTTTTTTTTCCCCTGTTGAAGGCGTTTTCCCCTTTTCTCTTTTTTCAGCGTCTGCTAACATCGTCACAAGTTTCGTTGATGCTTAATCGCGCATCTTCACAACGGATTCAACGTGTCGACAGCTCATTGAAGGAAGAAGGAAAGCAAGTACACCCAATCCCCCTCTCTTTTTCTTTTCAGAGTGCGGCAACAGTCGCGCGTCAGCGACGACTACCAATTGTATTCAACGCGAGCATCAACCGCAGAAGGGCCTCTGCGCCTGCGTTTGTATTTTATTTGCCCCCAAATTGTAGTGCGCTGGCGTTCCTGCAGCGATGAGCAACAAGGCGGATAACCTCGCACCACAGCAAAGTCACCAACGTGGTGGCCGCAGCGCATACCCCGGCAACGGCAGCGGTGGTGGGAGCCATCACCCTCCGTTCACCACGACAGCAGGGAGTTCCGCGTTGCCCGGCGGCGTCAGCGCCTCTTCCATCTCCTCGTCTGCACAGGCTTTCGCCCCTTCTCCGATCGGGGCCGCGCGGCACGTTGTTCCACCGCCGCGAAGCTGCATGGCAGGCGGCTCGACGAGGAACTCCGCCGCCGCCGCCGCCACCGCCAGCCCGCGCCACTCTGCTTCTCCTTACGCGCTAGACGACTTTGACGAGGAGTCAAGTTTTCGTAGCGGGCAGCCCGCTGGAGCACATTTCCAGGTAGCTTCAGCCGCGGCCTCTTCACCACCGCTAGGCAAGGGTACAGCAACAGTGCCCTTTGCACGCTACAGCACCCCCAGCACGGGTGACGGCGGCGGCACCAACGACCCCACCGGTGCAACGTCCATCAACGTGATGAGTCCGCGGCCTGGCAAGTTCACCCCCTCGCTTGATGATAGCACGCACATGAACAGCAAACAGAACCGGAACAGCAACGGCAGCTACGACTCCGGCAGCGATGGCGCTCGTCGACGGACCAGTGCGCCGACCGGGAGCAGCGGCGGTGGTGGTGGCATGAGTTTTGGCCTCGGCCACACTCTGAACGACCCGATGCACACCGCCACTACGCTTCATCACCGCAACAGCATGAGCGCTGCGCCCATGAGCACGGGGGGCAGCACCGGCAACAGCGACGGCGGCATCGCCAGCCGGCATCTACAGCCGCCCTCCAACCACAGCCGCGTGAACCTCTTTGTGCGGGACCTGCCCTTAGACTTGCGGGAGGATCAGCTGCGGGCGATGTTTACCCCCTTCGGCGAAATCGTGAACTCCGCCATCATGCGCAACATCCACACTGGCGTGAGTCTCGGCACGGCGTTTGTGCGGTATTCGCAGCATGCGGAGGCGATGCGGGCGATGGAGGCGTTTGCGGGCGGACGCGCCGGGGCGGGCCCGAGGCGGGTGACGGTGCAGTGGGCGCGCCGCGAGCACGACAAGGCGCCTGCTGGGGCTGAGCGGCGGCGCATGCGCAAGCTGTTCATCCGCAATGTGCCGAAGGACATCACTCCGGAGATGCTCATCCACCTCTTCAGCCGGTTTGGACCGGTCAAGACGGTCAGCACGCACCGCGACACGGCAGCTGCCAACGCCGTGACGCAACCGAACAGTGCCGCGGCGGCGGCCGCCGGAGAGTCGATCGAGCAGGTGCTAGACGTGCCCGTCAGTGCCGGCAGCCTTCCCGCGGCCCCAACGACAACGACGACCATCGCCACCGCACATGGCAGCAATGAGGACCGACGCATCGCCTTCGTCACCTTCGAAATTGAGGGCGTGGCAGAGCAGGCGACGGCGGCGATTCACAACACGCTGCCGTTTGCCTCTTGCAACGGCATCCCGCTCATGGTAAAACTCGCAGAGGACACCCCGGTGCGACACAACAGCACTCTTAACAATAGTAGTAATGTGCACTTCAGCTCGGGAGGAACCGCCGGCGGCACGGCCTCAGCGGCGACGGTGTCGACCGGCACCGTCGGTGGGCACACCTTCAACGCTGGTGGGCAGCCAAGCCATCCCGGCGTGAGCTGGGGCGACGCGCAAAGCAACGAGTACCTGCACTCGCCCACCACGTCGCCTCTGATGATGCAACTGAACACACACACAGGCGTTGGCGCTGCTGCCGCTACGGCACCACCCTCCACATGGCGGGCCAACGCACCGAGTACCGTTCCGCAGGGCGGCTTTCCGTTCGGCTCACCGGAGGGGCTTCGACCGCAGAGCAGCAGCAACAGCACCATGACGGCGGCAACCACCACCAACAACAGCGTGGCCGCAACGCTGTCGGCGCCACGGGCTTTTAATAGTGCCGTAATGAGCAACATCCCGACCCCCACCAACATGTCTTTCAACGGCATCACACAAATGAACAGCGCGAACACCAACGCTATCACACCTACGATGACGCCCTACGCGACTCACAGCGCCGGTGTAGCATCGCTGCGCCAGCACCCGCCGCCGGTACCGGGCGTGCCTCCGCTGAGCTCGTCGCACAACGCATACGCTGCTGCTGCCGCGGTGGTGGGAAGTCTTTCGAAGCCTTCGTCGCTCGAGGCACGCGAGGGTCCTTCTTCACCTTCGCAACAGCCACCTTCGTCGTCGTCGCACCCCATCGGCACGAGCAACAACGCCGCGGCGGGTGCGCAGACGAGCCTGCAGGACCTTTGCTGTCTCGGGTACATGGTCTCGAGTAATGATCTGTGCACCTTTCCGGCCACCACCAGCGCCTCGCCGGAGATGTTAGGCTTGGCGACGGGCGCCATGGCGATGCTGTCATATGATCCACAGGACTACTACGCCCTCTCCGCCTCGTACGGCAGTCGTGGGATTAGCGGGTCGACTCCCGTACCGACGCACCCACCGCTGCCGTCCTCGCAGGCGCAGTCCACCGCACCGAGCGCCAACGCCGACAGCAGCCCGCGCAACGTATCCTCGTCTCTGAACGCGTCGCCGAGCCCGGCGCTGCCGTCACCGGGCACATTGTCGTTCTTTCAGACGAGTCCACGCTTCGGCCACAACAGTGCGCAGCCCTCCACCATGCAGGTTCTTCCAATGATGAACGCCGCTGTGTCGTCGTCTCCTGTTGCTCCTGTGCAGCAGCCGAAACTGCCAATGCAACTACAAGCAGAGCTGTATGGAAGCAACCACACCAACCATAGCAAGGGACCTTCGCCGTCTGCGATGGTGGTTCCGCCCGCGCCACGAAGCGCTGCCGCCGCCGCCGCTGCGGCGAATCGAGGTAGCACCCTCACAAACCACCAACGTCTACTGGACGGGAGGGCGATGACGGGGGGCATTAGAGACAGCGGCGGAGGGAGCACGTTCGCGAGGCTGCAACGCAGCGACCTCGCCGCAGGTCCGCAAAGCACCGCAGGACGTCGTGCCAGCGGTCCCAACCCGAGCGGCGTTGCGGGTGTGCCGACCGCCTCCCTCACCACGTTAAACCCCGCCTTCGCCTCGTCCTTCTCGAGCCCCAACATCCAGCCCTACCAACCGTTCGAGGTCACGAGCGTCTTCGGCACCGGCGTGCGGGGGACCCCTCCGCCGGACAGCAACTGTATTAGCAGTAGGAGCAGTCTAAACAACGTCGGCGCGTCTGCGCCTGCGGGGCCGGGAAGTCTCCGCACGGCCCCCCCGACGCTCCCCAAGTGTCTCCCCCTCCCCCCGGGTGGCGCACCGACCGCCCTCATCACCGCTGCTGCACCGGTAAGGCCTGCGTACGCCCTGCCCGTCACCGCCGGGCTCGCAGCTGGGGGAAGCACAGGCTCCGCCCTCTCGCTCGAGAACACCCTCGCCCCGTTCGACTACGACGACGACAAGGACGCCGAGTTCATCGCGTCGACCAAGTCGCGCGGCTCCTCGTCTTACGCGGCGGAGCTGCTGCGCGCGGTGACTGAGGGCACGGTGGAGGGCAGCCTGGGCATCAGCCCCACCCACCCAACTTCCGCTACCACCACAGCCATCGCCGACCTCTCGGCGCCGGGGTCTACCAGCGGGACCAGCCGCGATCGCCGCCGCAGCTTCACGAGCCCGTCTGGCATGTTCGCCTACAAGGACTCGAGCGACGGCGAGGGCAAAGTATCGAACGTCTCCTCTGCCACCCGGCCGACCGGCACGCAGGCGGACCGTCGCAGCGCCAGCAGCAGCAAACCAACGTCCCTCACGATGGGGGCCCCGGCCTTCCTGGATGAGCAGCTGCTGTATCAGTGGGACGGCACGACGGCGAGCGCGCCCGGGTCGTCGAACTCCGCCTCGCCCGCCGGCGCGATCGGCTCGCAGGCGCCGTCGCCGGTGGCAGGCTCGAACCAATCGAAGAGCCGCAACGTCTTTACGCTGATGTCGCCGCCACCACCGCGTGCCACGTCCATCACGCACGACCCCACCGCGCCAACCTCGGCGTCCAATTTGTGGCTGACCACCGACCCTAGCCCCTACTGGAACACCGCCCAGATGAAGGATCCGCTGACGCTGCTACCGGCGCCGCGCGGCATCCCCCACGTCAGCACGAGTGGCAGCAGCACCACCGCAACTACGACGACAGCCGCAGCCGCAGGGACTGAGGGCGAGAGGGGCAGTCGGGCACGGGTTCCCCTGGCAAGGGTGAAATCATCCGGTGATTTCAGTCATTGCAGCCCGGCCCCCACGCTGCCTGGCACGGCGCTGCCGCGGACAACGGAGAGTGCGGACGAGGACGATGAGCAGACGGGCTGGGGGACCTATCCGGATTTGACCATGAACTTTTCGTGGGCTGCGGGGGTGAATGATGAAGCACCGAGGAGTGGCCATGACGGGGCAACGGGTGTGGACCCTGTGCTCTACAGCCACCAGATGGGCGACGATGCGGAGCGGCTGTACAACTTCATGACCTACGATGACAGCTCCTATTGAAACAGCAGTGAAAAAAAAAAGAAGCGTACGAGGCAAGGTGCTCCGCATCAGCATTTTGTGACGCTGCTTCCTCTGTCGTATTGGATCCTTAAAAAAATTTCTCGATGGCTCTTCCGCAACGTGCTGAGTGGACTAAAACGTTTTTTAATTACTGTTACTGCGACTCCGTTCATTGCTATCATGATCTTGTTTAAACCAACAATGACACTAGTAAATTGCATGCGCAGAAGCTGTTGCCCTCCCCCCTCCCCCCTCCCCCCTGTTCCTTAAATAATGAGCTCTCGATTTCGCCATCGAAGGCTTTCGCTTTTTTCTTTTTATCGTTCTTCCATTTAGTGCTTTTTTTTTTCTCCGGCTTGTTTTTACTTCTTTTAGTTCTTTAACGAGCTCACTCAAAAGAAAATCGTTTTGCTGCTTGTCTTTGCTTTTTCCAATGTCGTTGCTGAATGAAGGAAGAAAAGGAAATGTATTTGTCCTTGTTCTGTTAAAAAAAAAAACTCCGTTGTGTAGTTTCTGTTCGTGGAATTTGATACCTTGTCTTTTGATTTAGAATTTCACTTCTCCAGCTGTCATTCATCGCCTCCCATCCCGTATATATCTATCTATACACATACATATATATACCGCACCGCATGCGACGTGACGGAGGCTTCTCTTTTGCTGTTCTTTTCCTCCTTCCCTTTCGCGCAAATCTCTCTCCCTCCACCTTGCGTGTCGGGAGCCTCGCGCGTACTTTTTCCTGTTTTGTTTTTTTTAACAGTACAAGCAGTGCTTCATTTTTTTTTTCTCTCTTTTACTGATTTGTTTGCAACCGTTACTATTAGTTTCGAACCGCTTTTTGCTGGTCTGCGCTAATTTCCTTTTATCATTAAATCTGACAGTGCACACTATCGCCAGGTGTGAAGTCGCTCTCTCTCCTTCTCTATTTTTGCCTGACCTCTCTTAGGTTCTTTTCCTTTTGTTTGTTCGACAGGATACCGAGCTGGTGTGCACATATACTAACCTTTCACGCGTAGGGAGAACTGCATCGTTGCCTTTTTTTTTTTTAATCAATCCCCGCCTCTTTTTTCTTTCTTTCCTTTTCTTTCATATTAATACAGGTCCGCACGCTGCTCCCCTCCCCCCTCCTCCTTTTTAGGCGTCATACTCACTTCACGGAATACCTCGATTAGTGCGTGAAGAAAATTTTTTGTGTTTTTTTGTTTTTGTGGTTTCTGCGAACCGCTCCTTTTTTTTTTCTCTCTTGTGAACGAGACGTTGATTCGTGCTTTGGCACGATGCGGCGTCTTCTCCATTGCTGCTTCTTTTTTCTTCTCCTCTTATCTTTTTCCCCCGTTCTCCACACCATGTGTAATACTTGTTTTTGTTTCTGGGCTTCTTATACCTGCTTTGAACTTTGTCATCGTTCTTTTCTTCTTTTGCTGCTGTTGTGCGTTTAACAAAATAAATAGGGAAAAGTCGGAGGGCGGCGACCTGAACAAATCGACTCGTTCGTGTCGTCGGTGAGCGATGAGCCGTTCATATATAAAAATATGTTTGTATGGTATTCTGCGAGAAGATAATTTCTTTTAATAAAGTCTGTTCGCTTTCTTCTTGGTGATTCTGAAAGTTTTTTTTTTGGTCCTTCTCTTCTTTTTTCGTTGTTGTCGGACTTGAAGGGTGAACCGGCTGATGTTGTTTGGCTCTTGCCGTGAGACCGGTATGTTGTGTTTTGTATTGTCGCCTTGCTTTTCATTATGGATGCCTGCGTTCTTCATTGTCTCGTGATCTTCTGCGTTATAGTTTTCTAAATAAATATGTTTCTCGAGTGAGAGAGCGAGAGAGAGAAGGTCTTCAATGTTCACAACAACTACGACGGCGTTAACTGTATGCCGTGGATCAATACCTTTTTTCTGCTGTCGACGACGTAGCCTGTGCGTTCACGTCCCCGATGGTATTTGCGCAGCGGACATGCACCAAACGCGCGTAAAGCACTACTGCCTTCCGCAGCAACTCACCGCCTTCGCACCTTCTATCTACTCCTTTGCTTTCTTTTCTGGGTTTCACACCTTGTTGTTCCACAATTACATTTTTTTTCGCGTTTGCTTGGTGCGCTCGTAGAAGCAGAGGAATCACCTTCACCCCCCCCCCAAAAAAAAAACGGAACGAGTCGTTCTCACTTGCGAGATCGGCACGACGAGGCGAGTCGTTTCACCCACATCGCACACACACATATATATATATATATCTTTCAAGCAGGCGCCATTTCCCCGTGCCATGCCGACCGTCAAGAAACCGCGCAACAAGGGCGTCACCTACAAGCTCGTCCCACGCTCTTATGGCGACGCCGACGCCGCGGAGGGACCGATTTGGGTGAGTGAGGCGGAGTTCTACCGCAACCACCAGGACCCGATCACAGCAGAGGACGAGCAGGACAAGGCGCAGCGGCAGTTCCGCATGTACGCGGCGGCGGCCAACGCCGAGTTCACCGAGGAGCGCCGCCGTCGCCGACGCACGGAGGGTGAGGAAGAGGACGACGACGACGGCGGCGAGGAGGAAGGCGAGTGGGTCGACGGGGACTGGGAGGAGGAGGGTGAAGAATGGGAGGAGGAGGCAGAGGCAGAGGCAGAGGCAGAGGCGGAGGTTTCTTCTGCAGCAGCAAAATCCACCAAAACGGTTGCGTCTGCTCTCCCCGGCGCCTCGGTGCCCACCCCAGCCGCGCCTTCTCATCTTCACCCCCCTCAATCTGCCGCTGCTGCTGCACACGACGGTGGCGGTGATGTTGAGCCCCACCACGGACAAGACGCGAGTGCCGACCGCGCAGCAGATGGACAGAGGGGGCGGGATGCGGACAAGGCGGAGGCAGAGGAGCAACTCTTCGATGACGCGGTGGAGTGCGAGGTGACGGACGACTTCTTGCGTCAGCTCGTCTTCGGCAACGGCGACGCGGCGGGTGGCGATGAGGACGGTGGCGAGGGCGACGACGATGACGATTCTATGATGGACGAGGAGGACGAGGATTGGGACGGTCTGGACGAAGAAGACGGGGAGGTATGGCGGCTGCTGACGGAGGAGGAGAAGGCAGCGATCAAGGCGTCTCGCCGTCGCGGCACGGCCCGTCGTCGAAAGATGGCGTCGTCCGGCGAGGCCGTCGCAGCGGCGGCCCGTACCCACGCGGCAGACGGCACGGAGTACCCCGTCCACGACGTCACCCAGCGCGCGGTCGACCGTCAATTTACGGAGATGATGCGGGAGTTCAATGCGGATGCGCGGCTCAACGATGCCTGCATCGACGACCCGCGTACGCACGGTGCGCTGCCGATGGAGAAGTACATGGCGGCCCTCGAGGAGTTCGTGATGGACCGCGCCGGCGTGGACGTGGAGACGGCTGAGCCGCACAAGAACAAGGGCTTAATCCAGCAGTTGAAGTACCTTACCCACCACGCCGGCGCCTTTGACTCCGATGGACAGGGCACCTACATGACGACGTTGCTGCCCGAGAAGCAGCAGCGATTTGTGGCGGACTTCCAGAAGGGCACTGAGGAGATTCGACAGGCGGCACGTGTGCGCGTGGCGCAGCGTCGTCAAGCCGCCGCGGCTGCCGCGTTGGTTGCGTCACCCTCTGCCACGGCCGGCGCCTCAGGGGAGGCGGGTAGCGCTGCCGCTGCGGTTCCGGCTCGCACGTCTGCGGAGCTCGCAGAGGAGGTAGAAGAAGAGGAGGAGATGATCGTGCTTGAGGTGAAGCCGAAGGCCGACCGCCTTGACTGCGAGACCGCCGTCAGCGCCTACTCCACCTACTACAATCAACCAAATGTGCTTCAGGCGCCTCGCAAAGGGCACCCGATGGGCCGTGGTGCGAGGAAGGCGGTGGGGGTGGTGAAGGGTAACGTGATCAGCGCTGCGGAGGCCGCGAATGCGACGAGCAGCGACGCGACGAAAAAGGCGCCCTCTCGAAGCGCGCAGCTCCACGCCTCATCCAACGACGACGACGACGGCCGCCGCAGCAGTGGCAGCGACGAAGACGAAGTGGCGGCGACGAATGCGCAGCGCAGTTTCGACGTAGTTCCCACAGTGCGCCGCAAGGACGAAACGAAGGAGGAGAAGAAGCTGCGGCGGCAGGCTGTGAAGGTGGCGCAGCGCGAGCGTCGTCAGGCGAAGAGCGCCCTCAAGTCCACGTACAAGAATGTGGAGGCAGAGGAGGTGAAGCGCAGTGCCACCTCGCAGGCCGCACGTCGCACGGTGCACTTTATGTAGGCCTCTTTCCCTCCCCCCGCCTTGCGTGGCTTTGTGCTGTTTAGTGTTCCACCTACTCTGCTGATGTTTCTCTCCCTGTTGTTGTTGTCGCGCACAGACACTCTTTCAAATCTCCATCGTCTGCTCTAAAATTGAAAAAGAAAACATCAAGAAGTGATCTGCCTGCGTTGCTGAACTACGTGTCATCGCGTTTTCGATTCTACAGTGAACATCCGTTTTATTATTATTATTATTATTTAAGTTTCTACTTTGAACGATTAAGTGTAAGTGTTCTTAAGCGGAAAGCGTTAAAAAGACCAGTCAATACTAATAATGATGGGAAGAAAAATCGCATGAACACCTCCGGTGACAGCATACTAGTGTTTCTGACAGAAGTCATCAAGCAGCAACAAAAACAGCAAGGAAAAAGAGAAGTGGAAAAGTCAAAAGGACTGTGGAGCTGCGAATCGGCGTAGAGTTGTCGGGACTGCCATTTTTTTTTTCTGGCTTATGTATTTGTGTGGCCGTTACGCAGCTTCCAGAATCAGACCTTTCTCTTTTCCTGTTTTCACCTCCGTTACTCACTCTTCTACCCGTCTCGGTTTTATTATTATCCGTCTTTTGTTTCTCGTCGTGGTGGCGTTGTTAAACACCTCCCTCCCCACCCCCCTTCCACCACAAACACGCTCACCTCTACGCACGTACACCACCGCAAAACAACAACAACAACAACAACACCAACAACAACAGAAATCTAATTCTCCCTGACACATCTGACCACCCCCCGCGCAGTGAAATACCCTCCTACCTCTCCCTTCTTTCTTACTTTCTTCCTTTCCGTTTCCTTTAAGCTGCTTTCGTGTTTTGCAAAAGAAGAAGAAACATCAAAAAAAGACAACAACAATAGCCAGCTTTTCACGTGAAGCAGATCGTCCACCGTCACAACAACAAGGAAGGATATCACCTGTTGTCCTTCGAAGCTGGCTTTCACGACTCACAACTCCCTTTTTTTACTGTTTGTTTTGCTCCTTCTTTGTTCCTTCACCACAGACACACACAAAAACAACAACAACAAAAACGACCGTAAAGGAAAGAGAAAGAAGAAGAACGAAGGTACTTCACCTTGACTCAGTTACGCTACTTTTCTATTTTTCTTTTTATTGTAATTTCTCGTGTTCTTCCTCTGTTATTATTTTTCTATTCACTGTCGTGATTTCTCCTCTCTCTCTCCTCTTCCTTTTTCCTTTTTTAATTCTGTGTGTGCTTTGGCCCTTTTCTTTTTCTTCATGTGCATTGAAAGGCCTTAGTACGTTTAGTCCTGGTTTCTTTCGCCATCTTTTTTTTCTTCGCTTTCTCCTTCACCACCTGTGCTTATTTTTGATATATATATATATAAACGCCTGTTTTCTTTTTCTTCCCAACATTAGGTTGTGGTTTTTCCCTTTCGTCTGTCTCGTCTTGCGGTGTAATTCCCTCTCCTCCTGATTTCGTGTGTTTGTGTTTGTGTTTGAGCCTGTGTGTTTGTGCATGCCGGTGTAACGCCCTCGCTCTTACCTGTCCTTTTCTTGAAACGAAAAGCACAACCAACAAACAAACAATCAGGGAAAAAGGAAATCGATGATGTCCAACTACTCGTACATGCACGCTCCCGCCATCCGCAACACTTCACTGGTGGCGTGCTATGGCACTGGGTCGCCGACACCAAACAACATCGTCTCCGGCGGTCCCATCAACTCCTCCTCCGAAAAGCCACTGAGCGAGTCGGGCGCCACGTCGTGCCCGCGCGTCTCCGGCGACGTCGGCGAGTTCTGGGGATGGCTGGACGAACCCCGAAACTTCGAGTGGGCCGTCGCCACCTTCCCGGTGGAAAACGGCTTTAGCGACCGGAACATTTTCGTCTCGAAGCTGCCGCCATCCTTCAAAGACGGCGACCTGCTCTCCATGTTCGCCAACTTTGGCGAGGTCGTCTCGGCCAAGGTGATGCTGAACGTCAGCACTGGCGCGTCGAAGGAGACCGGCTTCGTCCAGTTCGCGGCGGCAGAGGACGCGCTGCGTGCGCGGTGCTTTCTGCGCCTGCGCCCTGCCGTGACGGAGCCGGCGATGCCGGAGGTGAACACCCAATGGGCGCAAAACAAACACGACGGCGGCGTATACGGCGACCGTTCGCGGCTGGCACGGAAGCTGTTCATTCGCAACATCCCCATCAACGTCACGAACGATGAGATGCGGGCGTTGGTGACCCAATTTGGGGATGTGGCGGAGGTCACGCTGCACGCCGACACCTACGGCCCTGCCGCGGCTGCTGCACGGGGCGGCGGCGAAGAGCGGGCCGAGGATGCGGAGGCGGGGGGGGCGAGTGGCGGCGCCGCTGCGGGCGAAGTCGTCACCCCCCCGCCGCCGCCGACGACGAAGCGCGCGACGCGCATTTGCTTTGTGACGTTCATCCACCCCGGCGTGGCGGCGCGTGCCTGCGCTGCGATCCACAACACCCGACCCTTCCAAAGCTGCGGGGACGTTCCGCTGATGGGGAAGGTGGCGGAGGACAACAACGCTCGACAGGCCCGCCATCAGCAGGGGGCGATGCACCACGCCGGTGTTCGTGTTGCGGCTGCGGCGGCAGCAGCAACGACGTACGGCTCGCACCCACCCACGTACAACGGGCAGAAAGGGAGCGGCCGTGTCTCGCCGACGGCGAATGCGGAATGGCTGCCGTACCCCCCACAGAACAACAACGCGACGCCGATGACAATGATGCTGCAGCAGCCGTATCAGCAGCCGCCGTCGGGCTACTTGCTGAATCCCTCCTCCGCTTCCGTGTCTGCGCCATTCTACGACGCGTCGCAGAATCAGTACAACAGCAGGCACTGCTGCCCCAACGCGTTTCCGTCCTCGTTGCCCACCGCGGCGCGCCACCACCCGAGCAGCGCCGCGGTGGCCGTCAACGGCGGCATGGTTCGTCTCACTTTCCCGCCGCAGAACCCGCACGCAAACGTGTGCTCGCTGGACTCCGCCGCTCTCGCCGCCGCCAGCGGCACCCCTCGCGCGCTCTCCACCACCGCCTCTCCGTCGATGAACCTGCCCGTAACGCTGAACAATCAACAGGCGGAGGCGACAGAGGCGTGCCAGGCGACACGTCTGGCGCATACGCTGAGCTCCACCACGTCCAGCATGAAGACTCGTATCCCCGCCACGACCACCTCGGCGCCCACCTCGGCTCGCCGTGCGTCTCGTGAGGCGCTGGGCCACTCTCCACGGAACAGCTTTGGGGCAGACGGCGCGCACATGGACTCGTTCTCGTTTTCCACCTCAGCCAGCGCCAACTTCTCGGCGGAGCAGCTTTCCTCCATGAGCATCTCGACCCTCTCTCAGCAGCAGCAGCAGCTGAAGCGAGGGAAACGAGTCAGCGATGCTTCGCAGAGCTGTGGCGTCAACTTTGTGACCGCCGACGCAGCTGTCGCAGCGAAGACGGTTGTTGTCACGATCCCTGACGCGGCGACCACAACCCCACGGCGGTCCCGCACCCGCACGCTCTCATCGCGTTCGTCGGACACCACCAACTCCCACGGCTCCAACACCCACGACGCGACACCAAATGGACTTCGCGTGAACATCAGCGACGCCGCTCGTCCGCGCCGCGTTGGGCGGAGAGTGCGGATCCACAACAGCAATGCTGCTGCTGCTGTGGAAACAACTGCGATGCCGCCGCCGTCACTGTCGCCGCACAGTGCGCCACAGACAGCGCCGAACGTGAGTCTAGTGCCGGTGATGACGGTTACCGCACTCTCACTCAACCGCGCCGCCTTGGAGGAGACGGCGGACTCCCCGCATTCGTCTTCCGCCTACATGACCAGCCACAGCACGCCGAGCGCCACCCCGTCCTGTACTTGCAACACGTCGCAGGTACGCTATCGCAACAACCCCTACGGCATGAGCATCGTACTGGAGAAGACGCGGTCCGCTTCATTTACATAGGCGTAGAAACGCACGAGAAATGCGGCCGATTGCGCTTCCTTCCAAAACGAAAGAGCTCTCGTCTTGTCCGCTGCGTGTGTGCGTCTTTCTCGAAGCTCCCCACCGTGCAATCGACACTCCCCCAAGAACGAATTTGTTTTTCCCAGTTTTCTTTTACAATTAATTTCTTTCTTCTCTCACGTAAGGCACGGCCTTCATCGCGCTTCCTTCCTTTCTTCCTTTCCTTCTTCTTCCCTACTCTCTTTCTCTCTGTGTCCCGTGCAACCGTCTCCCTAATCGACATGCTTTCTTTGATCCTCCGAGCTCCACGCTTCACGCGCGTGATGGTGAGCTCGCTCCAAAAGACCCTCCCCCCCCCTCGCAGCATGACCGCGTCCTTCCCTCAAGGTCTTTTTTTCTCCCTTTTTTCAAATGGGGATGCAACACATGGTGGGTAAAGGGACCTTTAGAAAAAGGCGACAGGCTTGCTTGGGGCAGTCGCAAGCCCACCGCCCCGCCTAAATAAATGAATGCTCTACTTAGAATTTTGATGTCGTTTAATGCCGTGCACGGCCGACGCAGAAATTCGAAGAAATCAGTATTGGCAGAAGTTCAAGCACAGCGTATTGGCAGCAACGCGAAACGGACGGCCGATGCAACTTCTCTTGCTTTGATTTTTTTTTTCCTTCCTTCTAAGAATTTCGTCGATGAGTCACTGATGGTTTGGTTCCTCTTCAATGTGTTAGTGCCGTATTTTTCTGTTTTCTGTTTCCTGGATTACTTACCTTTAATATCGTTTTTGCCGTTATTTTGTCGTCTTCTTCGCTTTTTGTTTCGCTCTCTCTCTCTGTTTGTCTTTTTTTTAAAGGCAAACGTCCTGTTTTCGTTGTATCTCTCTCTTATATTCTTCTTTCTTCTTTCTTTCTTTCGCTCTCACGCCGGTGGAAGAGAGGCGAGGAGAGACGAGGCAACGTAAGTGCTGAAAGACGTTTCTCCTTCTTCTGGGATTCTCCCTTGGTTATGTCCCACGCTATTAACTCTTCACTACCTTTTTCCCCCTTTTTTCTTTTTTGAGCGTGTAGAGAAGCTGTAAGGCATACCACGACTTGTTCGTACAAGGTCCGGCCTCTTCTTCCTTTGGGTTTTCTCTCTTCTTCTGTATTAATCATTCCTCTCTCCGTGTGTGTGTATGCGTGTGCGTGTGTGTGTGTGTGTACTTCCAAATCCCAAAAAAAATAGAACGACAATTCCTTAACCTTTTTCTTTTGGAAAAGAATTATTTTCCTTTTATTAATATTGTTAGTGGTGTTGTTACTATTTTTAACGTCTTTGTTTCTCTTGTTTCTTGACCTTTTTTCTTTGTGTATGTTTGTGAACGGGGGACATGTGAATAAACTATTCTACTCTTATGCAAGAGATGTGTAGCGCTCTCTGTTTTTTTCTTTTCTTCTTTCCTTTCGTCTCTTTTTTTTTGCTTCCTCTTCTTTTGTCAGTTCAACTTAAAAAAACTTTTTTCCTGGTTTCTTTTTGCAGTAAGAATTCGTTGTCTATAATTCTTGTTATTTATGTAGGGATCTTGTCGAGTTAGCAGCGACTCGCTATTCCTCCCCTTCTTCTTTTCTCTTTTTCTTTCCTTCTTTTTCCTTTTTCAGCCTTTCCATTTTTCCAACATGCTTAAAAAAATAGGGAAATACACGCTACATACTTCTCCTTTACGCGCTGGTGAACTGTATGAGAGGGAAAACTGGGATTAAAGTACGCACACGGATCAATGTTGCTCGCAGCTTCTTTGTCCTCTCCCTTTTTTCCTTTTGAAAGGCCCCCTTCGATGAGACAATGTGCGAGCGCGTGACCTTCGTGAATCATCTTTTACGCTTACAAAACTAAGGTTCCTTTTCCTTTCGTTTTCTTTTCTTTTCTAACTGTGATGTAATGGATTATGTGCAGCTATCGTTTATCCGCTCCTACAAAATAACAGAAAGTACGCTTTGGCCTTTCCGCTCCGTTTTTTTTCTCAACGAAATCTCGATTGGCGCAGGCGTCCGTTAAATATCCTTTTTTTTTTCTAAAACACTATTTTTTTTCGTTTGCCTCCTTCTCCTCCTTTTCTTCTTCTCTGTATCTTTAAATGATTTTGGATTTGCGCGTTCTATAATATCCTCACTCGTCTGAGTGCTGATGACAGCTAAATGGTATCCGCTACATTTCCTCGGTTATGTATGTTTTTTTGTTTTCTTCTCCTCTTCCTCCTGTATTGAAGCTCATGTACAAACCGGTGGGGCTTGGTCTGTCTCGCGAAAGCCTTTCTCACCACCACCACCTCCACGACAACCCCACCAACAACAAAAATTCTATCCTTCCAATAGTTTCTTTCCGTTTTAATGCTATCCGAACTACTACTTCTATATTACTGAAACAAACGGAGGATGAGTGTGCTTAGGAACGCGTTTTAGGCTTTTGTCTTCTGTTTGTGTGCCTCTTGGTTTCCTTCTTTTGTTTTTGCGAGGGGTAATCTACCCAATGTATTTTGCACAATGCAGCGTCTCGTTCTGTAGTCGTGGCCCCCTTTTTCTTCTTCTTCTGTCCTCTCTGTTGTGAGGTCATAGCTTTTTCCGTTTTTTTCGTTTTTCCTGGCTTCGTTGTCTTTCCGTTAATTTCGCATTGACGCAATCGCGGAGGAATGCCGCTCTCCCCGTCAGCCGCTTTGTTCTTCCTTCTCCTTCCCTTTTTTTCTTTATGTGGTGATGATGAACGGAGATGGCTGTCAGTGAACGCGGCTACCGTCAGTGCGAGCTTTTTTTTTCTCTCGGTTTTCTTCGTGAACTTCCTTCCACTCCTTTTTTTCTTCTGTTTCCTTTTGGTTACTGCGTGTTAGCTGTTTCGGCCCAAAATACTTTTCATGATTTTCCTGGTTACCTAATTCGTCCATTTCTTCTTTTCTTATTTGTTCGTCTCATTTTATTTTCTGACTTGACGCGATCATCATCATTATAACAAGCAGTATAAAAGAAAAATGAAAAGAGAAAAAGTTCTTGAATGCTTCGCCGCTCGTTTATCCTGTATCTTCCTTTTTTGTTGTTGTTGCTGAACACGGCACGAACGCGCAGCGGCATTTGCGCTTTGTTTTGTTATTCGTTGTTCGTTAGATTTGTTGTGTTTTTCTCCTTTTGGAAATTGTAGTCAATTTTTGTGTTCTAATCCAAGCGCAATGCCGATATATATATATATATATACACATAAATATACATGTTTCTATCTTCTGCATTTCGTTTCCGCTTGAAGAAGGTGAAAATGAAAAACACGATGTTTGCGGGTGCGTGTTTTTGATTTATACGACGAAAACAAAGATGTTTCTTCTTTTTCCCACTTTTTCCCACTTTTCCCCACCTTTTTTGTTTTTTTCTTCAATGTCACCCGCAACGGTGCTGCACGCTTTGGCGTATGAAAACAGTTTCTATTATTTTTCTTTTCTAGATATTGCGAGTACTGTCCTTCAAAGGGAGGAAAAGAAGGCGAGTTTATTGGCTTCGCTTCACGTCTTGTACGCCTTTCTATTACTTAACTATTTTTATTCCTGTGCGTGGTTTTTTTTTTTTTATGTCATTGAAGCGCACCGCCGCAACGCATCTCAAATACACGGTGCTTTGCCGGCGTTCAACGACGCTTGCAGTTGTACGTTGCTTCTTCTTTTTTTCTTTTTTTTTTCGTTCTGTCTGCCTGTTTTGCGGTGTGTGCTACGCAGGGCGAGGTGTCCCGTGAGCTTTCCTTTGTCTCTCCCCACCTTTACAAAGAAAAGGGAAGAAAAAATCCTTTATTCAACCTTCAACATTTTCCTTCTTTCTTCTTTCTTCTTGTTTTTCCTCTCCCTGAGGGTGCGGCGGTGCTCACGGCCTCGTTTGCGCTCCCAGAATGGACACCTGCAGAAACACGTTAAAGAATCGATTTTTTTTTTAATTCCAAGGAGACTCGGTACCAAAAAAAGAAGACATAAAGAAGAACTAGGTGGCATCCACATCGGATAGACGGGGAGAGTAACGATCAATATATATATATATATATATACGTGGCGCTTCACTCTCTCACGGCGGTGTGCGTGTGTCTGCTACGGGTTGAACAGCCTCGTCAAAGAGTGTTCGATAGCGCCGAGAGAGACGAATGCGTTGAGTACGACCCAGACAATGTGCATTCCTCATCTTTCTCCTTTCGTCTTGGCACAGTGGTCGTTCGTTACAATCCAAAAAAAGGAAAACACAACAGTACCATAATTTTCTTTGTTCTGCAAAAACAGCGAGAAGTTGACATTTTTTTTTTTGCTACTATTTATTTATTTAAGTATTATTACTGTTCCGAATAATGTGAGATTCTCCTTGATATATCGTCCTTCTCACCTCTGTTTTCTTTTCTTTTCTGTCTCTACCTGGTTTGTAGTACTTTTCCTGTTTCGCTAATGTGTAAAACACGGGATTAATGTATTCCACGGGGTTCATCCAAACATGCTCACGGGACCGCACTCTGTGGTCGAAGTACCACTATGTTGACGCGCCGTTTCATTTTTTTTTTGTCTCGGAAGAAAAAAGGAATATATCCTCTTTGATTTGCTGTGGTGATGTGCGCTTCGTTTTTTTTTTCTTCTTCTTTGCTTTGTTCAGTGTCACACAGCAGGGAAAGTTAAATGAAACTTCGCATGCGATGACCTTACGCATTTTTCTCTCCTTGTTCTCTCCCTGTCGGTGTTGTTTTTATTTATTTATTTTTATGTTTATTTTTGTTCGTGTGCGCGCCTACGTGTACAACAATTTTTATCCTTTTTCTTTTCCTCTTCTCTTTGAAGTTGTTTCGTTGGCGTTCGCCAATGAATAATCAGAAGTTATCCGTTTCTGAATAATTCCAGCCATTTTTTTTAAAATATTTTTGTGCACGTGCTTTCGCGATGAGCGAAGCACGATGTCAACTCTACCCCTTCTTCTACAGAGAAAAGCACGAAGAAAGAAACTCGCGTGGAAAAGGGCGTCTAATGGGGGAAAAAAGAGAACTTTTCCTTCCTTTTCTGTTATTCTTCGATCGTTTGGTGTGGCTAGAAAAAAGAAAAACCCCTAATGAGTACAATCAGTGCAGTCGATGAAAAAAAAAAAACACAAAAAGAAGAAAACAAATTATTGCTGAACAGTACATGTTTTCCTCTTCCTTTCCGTATATTTTTTTTTCTCTCTCTCCAAATGCTCTTAATGTGTGTTTGCGTAGACTGCACAACAGTTGCTACGCTCGTGGTGACAGTTCCAAAGATGGAGGAGAAGACGAAAAGGCGCACGGAAAGCGAACGTTTGCGTTCAGCCTATGAAATCTGCATGTGCCATGCATTACACCCCAAGACAGCAATTGCTTTGCCTCTGCCCTCTTCTTTTTTTAATTCTGAAGCCGTGCTGACGACACACCGTGTTGCCTAAGTCTCGACTTGGTAAAAACGATGCTCCTTCCTTTCTTCTTTCCACATTTGCGCTGGATTGGAGATCGGAGAGTGGATCGTTGCTCTAGAAAACCTTGCGCTACTCGACAAGTGGTGCTCTTCCGTGAGCTTGAACGTATGAAACTCTTTTGAAGCCTGTCAGGTCTCTTTCTTTCTTTCTCTCGTTTTTCCTCTGCTCTCCTTTCACTTGTCCTTCTCTTCACCCCCCACCCCCTTTGCTGTTTCTTCTTCTTATCGTAATGGCCAGAGGACGTTTTGATGGGTGCTCCGTGATAAATCCGAACCCACTTTTTTCTCTTTGAGTCGCCTCGTCGTTGACAGCCTTTTCGCATCCATTGAATTATTGTTTTTTTTTCTGCTTCCGAGAGAAGTTTCAGTTTACACTGTACTCCTCATCGCACGCGGGCTCTTCAAAAGATGGTCTCGTTTACCTGCAACCGCTGCCAGGATGTGGTGAAGAAGCCGAAGGTGCAAACTCACGCCAACAGCTGCGGCGCCCACTCCTTCACCTGCGTCGACTGCATGTACGTCTTCGACTTGGACTCCATCAAAGCGCACACCTCTTGCGTGACCGAGGAGGACAAGTACCAGGGCAAGTGGAAGCAGAAGCTGAGCAGCAACAGCGGCAACAGCGGGGAGGCTCCACGTGGCATTGAGCGGCCACCGCGTGCACCGATGAACGACCTCAGCTCGTCGGACGAGAGCGATGACGACTGGGTGAAGAAGAGCAGCAAAAATGGAAAGACGGGAGGAGGGGAGTCGAAGAAGAAGTCGACACCAACAGCTACTGCTGCAGCTCCTGCAGCGCGCCGCAAGAACCCGCGCCCTGGCGTCAGCCCGTCCTCGGATGATGAGGGCGACGCTCACGCACCGCCGGTGAAGAAGGCGAAGACGGCTCGGTCCGCCTCCGCCACTCCCGCGACGCACCCTGCTGCTCCGTCTGCGGCTTTGTTGCGCTCACCGCGGAGCGCCTCCCTCGGTCCGAAGGCGGCGAAGACGCCCGTGCCGGAGGTGAGGCACGCAACGAAGCACGCAACGGAAGCGAGGGGCGAGGTGGAAGATGCGCCGTCGCACCCAGTCAAGAAGGACACCCCCCTGCTGCTGCCGCGGTCCACGACGTCGACGGAGTGCATCGTGCCGTCGTTTGTGCTCGGCACGAGTGCAGACGTTGCGGAGATCGTGAGAGACGTGTTTGCGGAGAGGGGCGTCACGGCGATGCGCAGCAAGGACCTGGCGCTGCGCCTGGTAGAGCGCTATGCGAAGCGCATTGCGAAGTCGGTGCGTCATGCTGTGGATACGGCGGTGGAGCTGGGCGCGCTGAGGTTGGACAAGGATAGCAACATTGCTCTGGCCTAAGTAAAAAAAGGGTGGGGGAGGGAGGGGAATAGCCACACGCATGGCGTTGCAGCTGATGCAGAATTTGGCTGGCGATATGACTTTTCTTCGTTTGAGTTCGAATAAGCACGAACGATAATTGTATTTTTTTAAAGTATTTGATACGTTTAATGGCTATAAAGAAATAAAGAGCCGACTGATTCTACAGCGTACTTCACCACTCCATTGTCTTTCTTCTAAGCGTTGTTTCGAGGCTTGTCGCCAAAAACAAATTTCGCTGCGCGTGTTCGGTGCGTGCAGAAGCGTGTACGCGGGAGAGGGGATGAAAGCGTTCGTGCCTTCACTGCGACGTCGTCTCAAATTACGAGTAAAAAGAAACTGGAAGTAACGTAACTCCCTCATAAAGCCAGACACTGGCATTGAAGGAAGGAAAAGCAAACAGACAAGCATCAACGTTCTTTCATGTTTTTCCTCTTTTAATCTTTACGGTTCTGACGTTTCTAAAGCTCATTGCTGCGCAACGCTTTGATATCAGCCTTTTTTTTAACCGCTGAGAAATGCATGTGAAGGGCAATCTTAAAGGCGTTTCTTTGCTTTGCCGTTGTCTTTGGCCGCATCTCACGGCGGACATCACTGTTTGCTGGTTGTACGATGGAGACGGTGAAAACCCATTCTTTAAAAAAGAACTATGGACTCTTTTTCTAAAAACTAAATTCATTAATTTGCGTAATGTGACGTCCGTGGCGCTTCTTCGTTCATCTCTCTTCTTTTCTTTTTTCTCGGCTTCTCTGCCCTCCTGCTGTACCTCCGTCTTTCTCATGCCTCGTTCTCCCTTCCTTTTCTTCTTCTTAAGCGTGTCTTGACGCATACATACACAACATACAAGTACGAAGACAAGAAGCAGCGCAACCGCAACGTGAGGAAGGGAATCCGTACTGTACTGGTGGTGGCCGTTTTCTCTCATGTGATGCCGAACCTGATAAACGAGCCCGATGCTGACCAACATGATGCTACACACCGCCCATCTTTGCCGCTCCACCCTCAGAGAAGCGCGCCGCGTCGTTCTCGCGTGCCAACGACCGCGACTCTTCGTCCGGATTGGCGCGTGAAGGTAGAGAACGAACGCGTCACAGCCGCAACGACCGTCTCGGCCACTACGGACAACACCGTCGATAGCAACGAGGTGCGCCGCAGACCGTGTTGCACCCACCGCGGCAACTGGCACGACGACAGCCTCATCGAAAAGAAGACACAAGACACCGCGGAGACGGCGAAGAGGCTGCCACGCTTTCCAAGTTTGCTGGCCCAGAAGCTGAACGCAACAATCACGGCGGCGCAGGACGGGGACTCGCTGAACGCGCTGACGTTGTCCACGCAGTTAAACACAGAAGATACGCAGGAGGACACTGCAGCTCAAGCTGCTGCGACTTTGTCGACGATGCGTGACGGGCATCAACGCATGCACTGCGCCCAACCCACCGAGGACACCGTGATGGTGCCGGCGCCCACTGCTGAGGCGCTGAAAGATCCAGCGACGCCAACGATGCTGAGGCACGCCGCACTGCCATGTCTGCGAACACAGCTGCGGGGCTCCTTCACAGCGAACACCTCCACCACCGGCGCCGCCACGGGCAGCAACAACCGTGTGGAGGTGATGACGGCGGCTACGCCTGAGGAAAGGCACGAGGTGGATGCTGCTGCAGGTGCTCCTTCGGCGGCAACGTCGCCTGTTGTGACGTCCACCGCGTTGCGCGGTGTTGTGATCATCGTCCCCTCCCCTCCACACGAGGAGCGGCCGCCCAACGTGGCCGCCGCACGCCGCTCGTACAGCCTCAACGGCTCGAGCAACGCCTCCGAGGTGTGGATGGCGCTGAGCGGGTCGGCGTGCAATTCGCTGGATGTCGGCCACCAAAGCGCGAGTCCGTCTCATCTGTCCCAGTCTCGTCCGCGTGGACGTCGCCGCAATTCCGAGGCGATGTCCGACTCGCTGCCACGCGTGGCGACTGGAACGTGCGGCAACGGCAGCGTCGGTGCGCACTGCGGTCACTCGCTGCTGCTGGATGCAACGCAGCTGAAGGCGCGCTACTTTCCTGCGTCCTCCTCTACGTTCACCGCCACGACTGCGTTGGCCCGCGCGGCGAGGTGCTGCACCGACACCCACAGGCCGGTCACGACGGATACGTGCAACGCGAGCGGTCAGGGGGTGGCGCAGGCGGCACATGGGCGTCTTCCACCCCCACCACCATCGCCCGGAGCGGCAACAACGTCGCATAAAAGCACCGCTGCGATACCTGTGTCGGGGAGAGAAGAAGAAGATGCGAGCCACGCCGCGTCAGCACACTCGGGCTACAATTCTAACAACGAGTCGTCGCCGTGCCGGTCAGCGGAAAGCAGTCTTATGACGGACCTGTCGGGAATGGCGTGCTGCGACATCGAGGGCACTCCCCTCCACCACCCTGCCATGCGTCGGCAACGCAGCGTCGTCATCAACGGTGGCGGTAACGCGAGTGCGCCGCGGCACAGCTCCGTGGCCGTGGTGAACTTGTCGAGCATGACGCCCAGCGCACTGATGCGGGCGACGACCGCGACGCCCCTCGTCAACTTCACCACGCACACCGCGTCGACGACGGCCACCGCCAGCGCCGCCGCCGTGTCCTCCGTCGTGCGCTCGGCAATGCACGTTGTCGTGGCGCGGCACGAGGTCGACGACGGTGCGGCCACCTCCAGCGCGGAAGGACGTCCCACAACGTCAATGGAGGCGCTGCTGCTCGACGACCCAGACGCGCCGCCCGGTGCGACGGCGGCAGCTCTGCGTCACCTACGTGAACGAAAACTCAGTAGGAAGAAGAACCGCCGCCCGCTGCGGCGCAATCCCACTGCCGCTACGTCATCGCATTGCGGCTGTGCACACAGCCACGCCAACGCAGCGGAGTTCGCCATGTCGCTCGTGGTGTCCACAGGAGCCGTCGAATCGTGCCGACGCCACAACAGACCCCTCGCAAACTCTTCTGTCCTGCCGGTGTCGCCGCAGTCCACCGCACTTGTGAGTCGGCACTGCAGCAACGAGGACGCGCGACGGGGCCTGGAGAAGACCATCCACCCGTGTGCATTCGGCGCCCACCCCTTACATCCGCTGGAACCGGGGCCGCTACCGCTGTCGAACGCCGGTGTGGTGCCGCTGGTCGCGATGGAGATTCACCTGCCAAAAGTGACGCGACGGGTGAAGCGGTCGTCGCGCAAATAAGGACGCGAGCGAGCGTAGTTGCTGCTGAGTGGTGCGATGGCTGCTGTCCTCGTCATGAACTTACCCATTGCCAGTATGCATCTGGTGCTTGCCGCTGATTATTTTGCTTTCACAATCAGTATCTATTAAATGGGTTCTGCTTTTTTTTTTTTAAATTCTCTTTCAACTGTCTTGGCGCGAAGTAGATGCTTTCCATAACTGTGCTTTCCCCCTCTTCTTCCCATATATATATGTCTGCTTTCCTTTGTTATGCGTTACTCCGCATCCTTTCCGATCGTTCTCCCCTCCTCTCCAAGCCAAATAAGACAGCTTCTTCCCCCATCTACCATTGTTAGTTATCATCGTATGTTTACAGACAGTATGAAAAACAAGGCAACCCATGCCTTGTTAACGCCGTGTGATACAGCGAACACACACACACACACACACACACAACAAACACTCTCTTACGCTTCCTTGCTCTGGGCTTTTGAAGTCGTCGAAACTCCAACGCAATAGCAAAAGCCAAAAAAAAAAACCCCGCACGCACGTCAGTCAAAACAAACAAGCAAACCTGCACTCTTTTTCTTTTGCAAAGATAGTACAAGAGGTTTGGTCCACATGCTTTTAATTCGTTTTCTTTTTTTTCCCTTCTGTATTCGTCCATGGATTGCTGTTGTGACTCTTCTCCTCTCTTTATACACTGACGAATACGCTTACGGAAGACACACACACACACTCACACATATGCTTATCCAAACATACATCCTCCCCCTACGTAGCCTCCTCTACGCTTTTCTTTTCCTTTCTGCGTGTTATCGGGGCTGCCCACCTCTCTTTCACGCGCAAGAGAGGGTTCGCCGTAATTATAAACGGTAGTTCATTTTTGTTGGATGTATGTGTTTAAATATACAGCGCTCAAAACGAATAAATACGAAAAATGAATCAGTACCTCGCAGAGTTGTGAGAGCTGGTCCAACCAGCAAAGACGCACTTAGCGTCTCCTAAAGTGTTCCACTTCGCCGTCAGTCTTCTCTTATCGATTTACCGTGCTCTTCTGCTCAACCCTTTCCAGCATCTTTGCATGCTTGTACACGTACAGAAGCATCTTATCTATATCGCTGCGTTGGCACTCTTTTGATTTCCCTTTCAAGGCTGTCAGATCAACAGCGCGTCGCATCTTCAAAGAAAAAAGGAAAAACAACAACTGTCGATACGCAAAGGCAAAGGGATTGCTGTGGACGCATGTCTGCGCACTACGCGGGTTCCCTCCTGCTGAAGGCCGCGGTTGGTGCAACGGCTGCGGGGAGGATGAGACTCGTCTCGCGCACCGCCCCGGCGCCGCTGCGCTTTTTGCAGCGTCGTCGTTGCTGGGAAGCGTATATCGGTGTGCGTTGCTGCTGCCACAACCCACGCCGTGCTGTCACGTCGGCCGCAGCCACTCCCTTCTCTATCAATGCGGCCGCGGCGGTGGAGCGAGGGGGCGCAGCCACTTCCACTTCTCCCCCTCCTGTTGCCGCCACGGACGAAGTCAGTGTGGTGTCCCGCCTTAGCATCAGCCGCAACGCGACGGTGGCCTCGTCGTGGGAGACGGTGCCGAACTGGTGCGAGCTGTGCGTCGAGCCGATCAACAACTGGGATAACCACGTCGGCAAGCGCGATCATATCTGCATGGAGATGACGCTGAATGCCATGGTGAGTCACCCGCGCAGCTGGGCGGCGGCAGACGTGTGGTGGATGACGGAGGTGTTTCGCGAGCACTACGCGAAGCGGCCGCGCAATCGACCTCGCACCCCATCAGCGAACGTCCGCCGCATGCTTCGTGCCGGCGTGTCGGTCCCTGCCGTGGACAGCCCTATGAACATCTTTTATGAAGCCTTCGACAAGGGGGAGCCGGCGGACCGCCGCGAGGAAATTCTGTTGCTGTTGATGCATCTCAAAGAGAAGGGTTTCCTGACGCTCTCGCCGGAGAACTTCTCGCACGCCGTCGCTCACGGGCAGCTCGTTCTTTTCAAGGAGCTCATGCCGCTCATGGCGCGTGTGTTCCCGGATAGTGCGGTGCGCGGCTGCTCTGCCATGACCTCGATGACCTCCTCGTCCTTCAACGCGGAAACGACGTACCTGTTGTGTGGCATGGAGGCGTTGATTCCGCCGGAGCTGCTGCGCGCGTTCCTCAACCGGAAGTCCGCACCGCCCAAGTCGAATGGAAACGGAGAGGGGGCGAGCAGCAAGGCGAGGGAGATGCGCCGCGACGGCAGCGGAGACGAGGTACAGTCCGGCGATGACGCGGGCGACACGGAGGCGAGCACTGATGAAGAGGGCGTGCCGCAAGATTTGCGGGCTAACATGCCGCGTGCTGTTCTGGGCTCGCTGCGGTGGTCGCTGGAGCCCGACACGGCGCCGCCGCCGCCGGCCCTGTACCAACAGGAGATGCGCTACGGCTACTACAGCACTCTCGCCGCACGGGCGTCGCGGCTGCTGCTGTCGGAGTTACTCTACGCCCGCGTGAGCGAGTCCGTCTACCGTGTGGAGGAGGTGATGCGATCAGAGCTTGGCCAAGAAATGATGCGGCGGCACAACTTGGCCCACTCTTTCTTCCCCCCGTCCTCGACAGCAAACACGAGCGGGGAGAGCAGCTTCGGCAGGGATACGCAGACACGCGCCCTGTACGCACACCGTCTCGTGCCGCATCTATCGAACCACGGCATCGTGGAGTTTACGGGTGGCGTGGGCTTGTGTGCGACCAAAGTGCTCGGCACCGTCAACTCCAACTACGCCATCCATCAGCAGGAGGCAAAGCGGGCTACGCGCATGAAGACCCGCAAGCCGACGAAGCAACAGAGTGGTACACCGCTCACATATGCACGCACCGTCCGCGCCGGCTGATGCACGAGGGCATTTCTTCTCTTCTTTTATGCTTTCCGAGTACACTTCTTTTCTTTGGTAGTTGCTGTCGCGTTTGGGCCGGCGTAGCCGCCTGCTCGTTTGTTTGTTTATAATTGAGGAGCGATTTCACTTGATTTCACGTTTCCATGGACTCCGCAGCGTTCAACACATCCACGGAGGAGTGGTGTCCCCCCCCGTTTCGTTCTCTCATCGTCTTCTGTACTTCGCAGCCACCACTACAAGAAAGAACGAGAAAAACAACGCAGGTGTTCTCTGCGCGTGCTGCCGATCCTTGCACATTTCGTTCTTTTCATTCTGTTCTCTTTCCCCCCATTTTTTTTTTTAAAGAGTTTTGCGTTCCAAAGAATACACACACGTACAATCGTTCTGCAGCGAATAACCAGCAATACCAGCTGCATTTTGTGTGTTGTGTTCTTCTGATTGTGCCGCTACGTTGTGTGTCGCGCTTTCGCATCTTATCGATTCATTTCCGCAAAGATGATTCAGTTTCTTTTGCTCATGAGCCGCCAGGGAAAAATACGGCTGGCAAAGTGGTACGTGACGCTCTCGCAGAAGGAGCAGGCGAAGATTATCCGCGAAGTTAGCCAGGTCGCTCTAGGCCGCTCGATCCGGCTATCGAACGTGTTTGAGGTGGAGGGGCGCAAGTACATCTGCCGCCGCTACGCCTCCCTCTACTTCATCGCCTGCATCGATAAGACGGACAACGAGCTCATCACGCTCGAGGTTGTGCATCACTTCGTCGAGGTGCTGGACCAGTACTTCGGAAACGTGTGCGAGCTAGACCTCATCTTCAACTTCCACCGCGCGTACTTCATCTTGGATGAGGTGATTCTCGGAGGGGAGTTGCAGGCGAGCAACAAGCGATCGACGCTGGTCTACGTGGATCGCCTCGATGTTACAGCCGAGCGCAGCGAGGCGAAGATGGACGGCGGCTCGCTGGTGGACCAGGTCACGAACGCCATCAGGGGCTTGTAAATGGGGAGACCGCGCTGTGCTGGAGGGGGAAGGTTGGTTGGGTTTTGCATTGTGCTTTCCCGTGTGTGTGCTCTGGTTGGTCTCAGTCGGTGTTTCGTTGCTCGCGCGCCATCACGGCGTCCGATTCATCTCTCTCTACCCGTATACAAATACAAAGTGAAGATAATGGCAATTCCACAGCAGGTTAAAGGAAAGAAAAAGGAATGGCGCTTGTGAAGGTCGCAAAGGCGCCGTCGGGGCGCCGGCTTTGTGTTGCCCCTCTCCCGCTCTCTGTGGGTTGTGCCGTCTCCACTCTGTCTCCTGGTTCTCCCCTCCCCTTTTTTTGTTGTTTTCCTTCCCTGCAGCAGCAGCCCAGAAGGCAGCGCGGGTGGAAGAAGAAGAGAGCGGGTTGTTTGAGGATGCGTTGGAATAGCAGGTTGGTGGGCGGGCCGCGGCGTCTCAGAAAACGCCCAGGCGGCGCGGCGCTGACATTCCGGTTGCTCACAGCTCTAACGAGGCTTCAGCTTTTCATTCATCAAGGCACATGAAGCACCAGGCAGCAAAGGAAGGAAGCGAAACAGGAATATGAGAGTTTTTCTTTTCTCTTCTTGCGTACCGACAACGCCTGCACAACGACAAAACGAAAACGACGCCAACCAAAGAAAACAAAAAACGAAAACACCAACCTTCGCGGCAATGAGGGGAGGCCTAGTAAGAGAGGTGCAAGTACAGCTGAGTTTTGAAGGATCCATAGACGTACGAAAAGGAACGCAAAAAGAATGAAGAATTGTAAAGTTATCGGGTTTTGCGATGCGGTATAAGGAAGAGGAAGATGAGAGCGCAAAGGAAAGAAACGAAGAAAATAATAATGTCAGTGCCGATCCAACTCACATCTCGATGCCCTCGGCAACCTTTTGGTAGTAATCGTACAACACCGTGCGATAATTCTGGCGCGCTTCGTGGATGCGACGGCGCATAAAGGCGGCGGCCTCGACTTCGTTCTTGTCGATGGCCAGGCGCTCTGCCAAGTTGCGGATCGTCTTCTTCGGCTTGAAGCACGGCAACCCACTATGCAGCATCAGTTCCACCAAAATGCAGATCTCCCGCGCGTACTGCCGCACCGCGAGGTAGCAGCGGTTGACCAGTGTTTTAAAGTAGATGTAGTTCTCCTCGTCGACAAGCGCGCGGGCGAGCGACTTGCTGTGCAGCGTGGAGGCGCCACCGACGTCCATGCCAATCAGCTGTACCATCTCCGTCGTCAGCTTGAAGGGCGACGACTCGAAGTTGATGTCACCACCGGGAGACGTGTCGAAGAGGAAGCCGAAGTCGATGTGCACGAGGTTGCCCGTGTTGTCGATCATGATGTTGCCGTTGTGCCGGTCCTTGATATTCAAGATAAACGAGACAACCGAGTAGGCGGCGGTGCTTTTCACGAAGTTCTCCCGCGCACTGCGGAAGCTGACGGCCTCGGGGTGGCCGAAGGTCTGCACAAAGAACTCGGCGAGGTTCGACTCGACCAACTTGCCGATTTCGTTGCGGCTCATGGAGTGCGGCACACATTCGATGATGCCGCTGTCCTGGCCAGTGGTGACGACACGGTAGGGGTACAGGTACGACGGCACGCCGACGGAGCACAGGATGCGCTGCATAAGGCCGATGAGCTGCAGGGAGATCTGATCCTGCCGGCAGTCGTCACCCATCTTGAAAATGCACGCCTTCACGACGGGCGTCGGCGGTGCTGGGTGGGCGCCGGTCCTCGCCGCCTCTTCCTGCGCCGCCTCCGCCAGCTCCGCCGGCGTACGCACGTCCTCCAGCGCGCGCTTCACACACGTGAACTGAACCAAAATCGGACACTTCGCCGCACTCTGCATGGCGCCCGCCGTGTGGGGGATGACGCCGGTAATGCGGTACTCCGGGTCGGTTGGCAGGTACAGGTGCTGCGTGGCCGGTGGGGCGTTGAAGTGGTCGTCTTTCAGCCGCTGCCGCAGGTTTGACTTTCGTTGTGGCTTCTCGAACTTCATCAACTCCCCGGAGAGCGACGTGACGAGGCCGACGAAGTCAAACTCTGCCCTGTAGAAGTCCATCTGCGCCGGCGTGAAGGCCTCCTTCACCTGCTTCTCCAGCGACTGGCACTTTTTGGCCAGCACACCGTTGCCCTGACCTTCGGTCTGCAGGGACCACAGCAGCTGATGCGCGAACATCGTGCTCTTGGCGCACATGCGCATAAGGAAGGACTGGATGCCGCCGCTCTTGTCGATGGCCAGCAGCTGCAGCATCTGCGGCAGGTAAAAGATGAGCTCCTCGCTGCGCTGGTAGAGCAGGCTGCGTATAGCGTAGCTCGCCACGTTCTTGTGCTTTGCGTAGCGGGGGTCGAGGAGGCGGAGGGACTGGATGATGGTGCAGTGGCGGAATAAGAAGAGCCGTGGCGCACCCGCGGCCAGCACCTCCTCGGTCAAGTACAGGTCCGCCGCCTCCGAAACGTTGGAGTAGCGCTCAGGGCTCGCCACCACGAACTGCGAGGCCGCCATACGCACCGCCTCGATGCTGGCGAAGCGAAGCGTCATGGCGACCACCACGGCGGGGTTGTGGTGGTCAGCGCACTCGACGAGCTTGTCCCAACCCGTGACGGGGGTCGTGTCGACGAGCTTCAGCGTGCGCCGCGGCGAGCGCCAGACGTCGAGGCGGAGTATCTCGTGGTTCACGAGGACAAGCAGCAGCTCCAGCAAGCTCTTTAGCCGCGCTTGCTCCTTCGCGATGATCTTGCGCAGACCCGTCTCCCCGCCCTCTGGCGCCTGCCGCACCGCCGCGACACCTTCCCGCACGACACTCAGCGACTCCCATCGATGGATCACGGGGGTGCCCTTTTCGCTGTGGATGCCGCTGCTGAAGTCCAGGAAGCCGAGCGTGGTGCGGGCGAGCAGGCCGTCCTCCTCTCGGAGGAGCTGCGCGAGGGAGCGCACGACCATCGACTCCTCCGTCGCCAGCACCAAGTCCTTCGCGTAGTACCAACTCGGCGGCGTCTTGCTGAACCAGCGCAGCAGCGCCTTGTACCAGCGCTGCCGCAGTGCGCCAATGGCGGAGAAGGGGACAACGGTGACCAGGCCAGAGCGCAGGCGTCGCATGTTCGCCTCCCGCAGCGTGCGCGCGATACTGCCAACCACCAACATGCACCGCATCACCTCACCAAACATCTCGTCACGCAAGGAAAGGATCGTCGAGAACTGCATCATGTGCGCGGCGACTGAGTACAGCTGACGCAGCACCTCTACGCTCAAGCAGAGCGGGTTGCCCTCCGACACGTACATGTCAGCGAGGAAGGAGAGGAGCAGCTTGTGCGGCGAGGCGCCGACTTCGGTGTCCGTGTACACGCCATCTCGGTCTGCGTCGGCGAGACCACCACCGTCGTTACTGCGGTTACCGCCGCTGTTCAGTGGAACTTCGCCGGTTTGCACTTGTTTGTTCTTGGAGGCGCGGTAGCCGTCGAAGAGACCGAGTCGGTTCGCCGCCGTCCACTCCAGCGCGGTGTCCACCTCCTGTAATATGGGCAGCAGATAGGCCTCGCGGTCCTGCGAGAGCAGCCACTTCCAGCACAGGATGGCATCATACAGCACGTCGGAGCGGAAAGTCTGCACCGGGCCTTGAACGAGGTACTGAATGAGCCGCCGCCGTCCGCTGGGCGTGCCGTTGCCAAGGACGAGCAGCGCCACGGCTGGCGCAAAGCTCTTGGCCGTCGCCGCGCGCTCCATCGCCGCGGCGTCGGGGGACCCACGCGCCACGCGCACCTCCGCCACCGTTCCTTCGTCGTTCTCCTTCGCTGCCGCGGCGCCGCCGTCGACGCCCAGGACGGTGCTCACTGCGTAGCCGCCCTCCGCGAAGAGCGCGCGAGCGGGGCGGAGCAGCGCGGATTGAAGCCGCTGCGTCAAGGCGGCGACCAGCGCACGCCGGCTGAGCCGTGTCGCGAGCTGCAGCTGCGCCGTGACGGTGTCCTCCACCTGCCTCACGGAGGCATACCACCCCGCCGCCTGCAGCGTTCCTTGTGCGCGGCCGTGCAGCAGCAAGCTTTGGGCGTAGTTTGGCGTCACCACGCGCCCGGCCGCACGCGCGCCGCGGACAACGGCCGTCGTGTCGATGGCCGCTCCCGGTTGCGCCGTGCCGTCGGTGTTGTTGCTGCTGCTGTTGCTCTGTGCATCGCGGCGGGTTAAGGCCTGCTGCTGCTGCTGCTGTTGAGAGGCGAGCACGGCAAGACGCGATCCAGCCTGCCGCCCGCCCGCCTGCGCTGCCGCACCCTCGCCACACTCCTGCTGCTGAATGACCATGAACTTCACGGCTGTGTCAAAGAGCGCCTGCGGGGCCTTCGTCTGCGTGAGACTCGCCCACGTCTCGGCCACGCTTGACACAAAGACGATTTGCTGCTGCCGGTCGGCGCTGTGCGGGTCCGCGGCGACTGACGGGACCTCCGCAAAGCTCACGTAGTTGCAAAACGCTTCGATTTGTGCTGCGGTGCCGCTGTCGAGCAGGTCCAGCACACACCACAGCAGCGGGAGCGCGCTGGCGTGCGCCGCGTAGCCGGGGAAGCACTCCACGATGCGGACGGCTAACTTGCTCGCCGACTCCCGCACTGAGGCAATGGCGAAGCTGAGGAGAAAGACCAGCTGCAGGAGATCGGTGCGGACGACTTGGTAGGCTACCGACGGCAGCATCGCACCTACCGCGCGGACGTACTGCTCACACGCGGTTTCGATGATGGCTGTCAGCGCACGCGGCATGGTCGGACTTGCCACGAACTCGCGCACCTCAAAGTGGCGGTAGAGCGTTAGCTGCGCCACCGAGCCCGCCGCCGCGCGGAGAATCTCGAGCTCGGCGATGGACTGCATCAGCACCAACTCCCCGGTTGTGAGGCGACTCCAGTGGTCCGCGGAGCCGCCGAACTGTTGCCGCAGTGCCTTGCGCAAGTTGTGGTGGGCGGTGCCGGAGGTGGCAGAGACGTCGGCGGCCACGTCGGCGTGCGTGCGCTCGACGGCCGCGCTGTAGCGCATGAGGACGGCGATGTCTGCCATAGATTGCTGAATGTCCGAGGAGCACATGCGCAGCAGCGGTGCGGCAGAGGCGGCGATGAGGCGAAAAAGTTTGCACTGTCCGGTGGACAGGATCGGTGAGCGGCCAAGGACGGCGCTGAGTCCCGCGGCGGCGGCGGCGCCCCTCGGACCGCCGGCTCCGCTCTGCGCGGCCATCAACGCCTCGGCGGTGAACTTGTAGTGGGAGAACATCATCCAGCACGAGCGGAAGATGGTTCGGCACTCGTGCTCCGTCCGCTCCTCCGCGGTGCCCACGTTCGCGTCGCCCGTCGCGACACTCGAACGGGAGAGGCGCCGGTAGTAGTGGAAGACGTACTGATCCGTCGTGCTGGGGTCCTCGGCGGTGAGGTAGCGGGAGTAGTGATAGTGCGTGCAGAGCTGCTGCAGCGACAGCGCTGGAAAGAGCGTGGAGAGGTGCAGGAGCAAGGCGAGGGGACGTAGAAACGGCGTGATGGCGGTAAAAGCAGAAGGGGCCACGGCGGCCGGCGTCGTCGTGCTGTCGAGGGGCCGCCGGCTGCCGTCCAGCGGGTTTTGATAGAGCACCCCCGACGACGGCCAGGCCACGGACAGCATGGACTGAATCGCACCCCGCAGCAGCAACATGACGCTCACGCTCTCCGCGTTAAACGCCCTCAGCAGCCGTGTCCGCTCCTTCGCAAAGCTCTCGGAGGCAGCGGCGGCGGCGGTGGCACTGCCGCCACTCACGCTATCCACCGCCTCGGCCTCCTGCGAGAGGTTGAAGGCCACGCGCGACATGCCGAACAGTCGCTCGTGCACGCGCAGCACCAAATTCATGAAAGCCTTGGCCGCCACGGACATGACCGGCGTCGGCACCTTGCGCTTCACCGAGTTGCTCTCCGCGACGCGCCAGAGGTGTTCCCGCAGCGAGTCGACGTAGGTGTCGCATAGCAGCTGACCGTAGCGAGAGAGCTCCTCCCGCTTGGACACGGCGTAGAGGCTCACATTCGCGTTCTTGCTCTCGTGGCCGGCCTCTTCCGCCTCGCCGCTGCCGTCTTGGACCGGGTGCAGCAGCCTCTCCAACGCCTCCTGCGTCTCCTCGGCGTAGGCACCTTCCACGTAGGACGCTGTGGGCACCATGATGGAGGACATCGCGTCAAAGCAGAGCGCTAAGCGACGGGCCCGTCGCTGCTCGGCGTGCCTACGCGCCTCCTCGAGGTCCTCAGGTACGCTGCTCAGTGTGGCAGCTGCCGCCTCGCCTGCATTGGCGTTTGGGTCTGCGTGAAACGTGCTGGTCGTGTTGCTCCGACCGAGGGCTTTGTTGGTGAGGCTGCCGACGGAGTTGTCGAGGCCGCGGCGGGCGGAGATGCGCACGATGGCGTCCATCACCTCCGACACGGCGAAGGTGCGAAGGTGGTGGTTCGTGGAGCACATGTGCTGCATGCACGTCGCCGCCACCACGCCACGCATCATCGCGTCGCCCACCGCCGTGTGGGCCGGCGCTGCTACCTGCGAACGTGGACTGGTGGGCTTCGTGCCGGCAGGGGAGGCGGGCGCAGAGGCAGAGGGCACCGCTTCCGCTGCTGCAGCGTCATCCGGCTGCTGCAATACCGTTTGGATCAACTCATGCAGAACTAGCTCAATGCGGCGGTAGAAGTTGTTCGAGAAGTGGGCACGCTGGCGGGTAGCCGTGAGGGCGTCCGCCGCGGCCTCGTCCGCTGCCGGCGCCGCCACACGCAGCGCGCCGACCGGGCTGTGTGGGTGGAAGGCGCTGGGCGGCAGGCTGGACGGAAGCTTCCCTGTGTTGCTGCTGTTGAACTCGATCGCCGTCACGACACTCAACACACGGGCCGCGGCGGCGGTAAGAGACCACCGCAGCTGACTCGCCTCCATGCTGGGCGGCAGCGCGTTCATGATGCTGGTCGGCAGCAGCAGGAGCTTGACGATGTTGCTGCAGATGAGAAGGCGTAGCGCCTCCTCTTCTTCAGACGGGATGTACGCGGCGGCCGTGGAGCGGGCGGCTTTACTTTTGTTGTTCGTGGGGGCCATTGCGGGTGGCGCAGGACTCTGCGTAGCGGCCGCTAGCGGAATGTCGACCGACTCCGGCGTGCGGCACGGCTGCTGCGACGTGGACTGCGACAGCGGCGCGATCAGCGACTCCTGATAGGCGGTCGTCGCGCTCGTGATGACGTAGTAGCACCGCAGCCGCTCCACCTCTGTGCGCAAGAGGTGCTGCACGACGATCTCAACGTTGTGGCGAAATAGCGTCAGCGGCCGCCTTTCCGCGGTGGCGACGGCGTCCTCCCAGGAGCCGATGATGTCGTGCAAGGCCTTCCACACCAGCTCCATGAGCTGATCACCCTCCGTGAAGTCTGGCATGGCGCCAAGGTCCACCACCTTCGCGGCACACTCCTTTGCCATCTCCTGGTACTGCCGAATCAGCAACGTCAGCGTCGCCGATACAACATGGGCGTGCAGCACATCGCGCTGAAACAGACCGCGAACAACATAGGTCTCCTGTATAATGGCCGTGATCCAGTTGTTCGTGCGCTCGTAGTCGATCACGCGGGAGCAGCTGATGGCCTCCAAGAGAATGGAAAGGACGCGCTTGAAGGGCAGCTCCCGCCGGTGCGTCGACGTGGCGAAGGCGTCGGTGAGATCGTGCATGTGATTTACTAAATCGGGGCCCAGGTAGAAGAGCTGCTGCGAGTAGGTGAGGGCGACGCCGCGGATAACGCCGAGCGCCACCGTGTCCCCCACACAGGCGTCGATTTCGGAAGGGATGTTGCTCACAAAGATGGCGTCGAGGGCGCGGTAGCCGAAGCCGGCAAGGCCCATGTTTCTCTCACGTCCGTTGGTCGCCGAGGCGGCGGCTGCGGCGAGCAGCGAGGGGCGAAGGTTGCCGTTGTTGGCTGCCCCTGCCGGCGTGCTCGCGGCGCTACGTGCGCAGGGTGGCACCGGCAGAGACGTGTTGCCTTCATTTACACATGAGGACCGCGCCTCATCGCTCTCGTCGTCGTCGTCATCGCGCAGCTTCAACCCGCAGGCGACGAGCGACGCGGTGAAGTCCTCCACGTTCACGCCACACGCGAAGCGCAGGGTGCGCAGTTTGCTGAAGAGCGTGGTGTAGAGGGAACTGCACTCGGTGAAGAACCCTTTCGTGCGGGCTGCCGGGATGCCGCCGGCGCGGCACGACACCGCAAAGCCGAAGAAGGAAATCATCGCCGCTGCCGTGCGCTGCGAGATGACCGGCTGCGTCGCTGCGGACGAGGTGAGGACGTCTTTGAGACGAGACAGACGGAGCAGGGTGCGGACCCGCGCGTCGTGCAGAATATCAGCGCTGGCGGTGCTGCTTTTTTCACCGCCGAAGTTGTACGAGTTGCTACGGCGCGCAAAGGCGCTGCCGACGGCGACGATCAGTGGAGAGGCTGCCTGCGACCGGGCCTGCGGGTACGGCGTCGGCGCGGGAATCGTAGTCCGCACCAGAGCAGTGCGGGAGCCAGTGGTCGAGGAGGGCTGGAGGGAGTCGAGGGCCTTCGAGTTGAGGTCCATGAGTCGGTCCACCATGCGCAGATAACCCGAGTCCGCCACACCGCTGCCATCGTTGGTGCCCTTCGTTGTTTTCGCCCCCAGCACGTCCTCGTAACCGCTTTGTCTGCTGGTGGAAGATGAGCCGCCTCCGTCGCCGTCGTCGTACTCGTTCGCCTCGTGTGAGAAGGCGTCGCCACGGGTGTCAGGGCCTGCGTTTCCTGACCTCTCCTGTCCACGCCCACCGTCCACGGCTGCTGTTGCTGCTGTTGATGGGCTCGCGTTGTCGGTGCTTTCCTCGATGAGGAGCCGCGACAGCACCGACGCCATCGCCAGCGTGGGACTGTCGGTCACCCACGCAGGGAATTTAATGTCGTTCATCGCAGCAGAAGAGGGAATAACCGCTGCCCTTTTGTTCCTCCCCTTCTCCAACAGGTATCTCTGTCGCACTCCTTGTGATGTCTAAGATAAATAGATAGTAATACAAGGCACACACACACCGGGAAGGTTCTAATGCCGAGACACCCCAACAACACCGCTGTACTCACCGTCACTTCAATATAGAGGGTGCACAAACACACCACAGAGGGTACGTGGAAAAGGGAGAGGTATAAAAGAAAAAGGTCAAATGAATGTGCGCTGCATCTTCGTGGAATGCGCAGACGAACCGATAAAGTAAGAGGAAGAGAGGGGGGAGGGAAGGAGAATGAAAGGCGAGAGAGACAGGAGAGTGGCAAACCATTGTCCTCGCAGCGGCGCATAGGAAAAAAAGGAGATCATAAAAAGAAAACCACTGCTGTTCCAAAGGGGAGAAAAGAGAAGAGGTACAAAAGGCCCACCCAATCGCAAGACGTTCGAGCGGCGGGGCCGCAGAATAGTCAGCGTGTGGAAGGCGCCTCATTGACTCCCCCCCCCCCCACCAAGACAGCCTTGCAGCTGTCGTTGTTTCTCCGCTCTTCCTCTTCGTTTCTCGGATCTTTGGCGTGCGCTGAACGGGTGATCGACCACGTTGGAGGACTCTCTATCACAAAGAAAAGAGAATACCGGGTGTGAGAAAGGGGGAGCTGCTCCTCGTCGTCTTAATAATAACCGTGTACTCAGAAAGCACAAGAAGAGAGAAGAAAAGTACGGCGTGTACCAAGCAAAAAAAGGTAAAATGAAGACGATGCGCACGACAGTCTTTTCGATGTCATGTTCGGCAGAAAACACAACCAGCTCTCGCAAACAAGAAGAGTCGTTGAACACATCATCGGGGCTTATGTGGCGAGGTTACTCCCCAACCATGACATCGAAAAGGCTGTCGTGCGCTGAAGGGAGAGGGAGAGAGTGTCCATCCGAAAAGAGCGAAGTGAACCGTCGAGACAACCTCACCGCCCCCTTCCCCAATTCACGCCTCGAGAGCCATCCGTAAAACAGCATTGAAAAGGACCTCGTTGCGTACTAAGAGAAAGAGAGAGTGTCTGTTTGTGTGTGTGAGGGAGAGAAAAAAGAAAAACAAATGAAAATGGCTGTACCGTGTGCTGTGTATATCATTTCCATGATATAGTGAAAAGATACAGAGTGACAATCAAACCCATAAAGGAGGGCAGACGTGATGAGAGGTCAACGCTCTGCCGACAGAGCGAGGTCAACAGCACCCTTCCTTTCCTTGTCGCTTCTTGATTCGCCAAAAGCAAAACAAAAAATCCTTATTGCAAGACTTCAAACAGCGTGAAATGACGAGAAAAGTAAGGTAGAAAGAAAGGAGTCTGCCTCACGCCACTCCACACAAATCACGCTGCGCCTTCATCATCACTGACCTCCTTTGAAGTAAAAAAAAAAAGGGACCAATGCGGAATCAAAAAGAAAAGAAGAAGAAAACAGGAAAGCACAGAGGATCATTGTCGTGAAAAAGAGGATAGAAAGAGCTCTTGAATCAGCGTCATAAAGTAAAAGAAAAAAATGAAACGTGTTGTGTAGCCATGCCTGTGGCCGCCCCTCTCTTTTACCCCCTCATTGACGGCTGTTGTGCTTCCACTGCTACTCTGTCTCCACGTACACATCTCCACGCCCTCGAATGGGTTTGGCGAGGAGACGATGTAGCGTTTTAGGAGGCGTTGTGACCCGTTTCGCCTCAACACCTGATGTGGCAGCGGTGGTAGTGTCGGCCGGTTCCGACACTTCAGGGCTTTGCCGTATGACCTTTACGCGCGTTCGCCCATTCTCCGGCACGCCATCGAGTCGCTCCCGCAGCACTCGCGTCGCCGTGAGAAGGGCCTGGATCGGGCTCCGGCCGACAACTCGAACAAACCCGGCACCGTCGCCCGACTCCTCCGGGCTGGCTGGCGGCATACCATGCGTCATGTCCTGGCTTGGAAAGGTGTATCGCCCAAACTCCAATTCAGTCCGCGGCAGGGTGGCGAAGAAGATGTCCATCACGTCCGCAAAAACCGTCAAGGTGTAGATCAGCGCGGGGTAGCTCTGCGTGAGCGACACCTTCATCTCCTGAACGCAGTTGGGGAAGTGGCGCTGGATCACGTTGGCGATGAGCCGATCGCACCGGGACAGGGCAGTGACACCTGGCTTGGACAGCTTTTGTATCACCGCCCCGCCTGGCGCGCGGCTGGCCAGCGGTCCGTCCACGTCCAACGCACCCAGCTTTGCCAACTCCGCCTGCAGCGTGTGCTGCATCGGAATAACGCCGGGTGTGCCGACCATCAAAATGTGCTCCGCGTGTCCCTTCTGCTGTATCGTGCCGTAATCCACCATGCGCAGCAGCTCGGGCGTGAAGTTGGTCTTGCCGGTGTACAACAGGGCTTCGTTGCGCGCCGCCTTCTTCGTGTTCGCGACCCTGTATTCGAGGTTGATGTACCGGAGGTCGGACGTGTTGTGCAGCGGTGCGCGCGGGTAACCGACGCGGACGGTGGTGCTCCAGCCGCCCGCCACTGCCTGCTCGCACATCTCCACCATATCCTTCATCACCCCAGTTGGCAGGCGGCACATGCCGAATACCAGGACGAGGTAGTTCAGCACGTACTCGCGTGGCTCGTTCGACACCGGCAGCCGCAGCCGATCAAACGACTTCTTCAGCAAGAGGTACCTCTCCAGCACCCCCAACTTCTCCGCGACGTTGTACAGGGCATCGAAGACCGTCGGCACCAGTGCGGCCTGCATCGGCGACACGAGAGAGCCGACATCCCCGACCGCCATGTGCGCTGGGGTCTCCCGGTCGTACACCTCGTTGTACTGCTTGCTGGACTGCCGCACCAACACCGTTCCGTCGCCGCTGTTAATATGCACTGTGTAGCTGTCGATTGGACTCGGTCCATTGTACTGCCGTTGCCGCTGCTCCTTCCCTTCTGCAATGTCGATGGTCAGGGTGCCGACATCGGGCCGCTGCTGCTGCATCTGCTGCAAGGCCTGTGCGAGGAAGGAGCTGCGGTTGAACTGGAAGGTGACGGTGCGGCCGAACGGCGCCTCCGAGCCAGCCCTGCGGTCCATCACATCTTTCCACTCGGGGGAGTCATCCGGGCTGAAGGCGTCGTCTCGGCCAAGGCCGCGGTACACGTCAAACTCACGTGGGAACAACAGTTTGGCGGCGAGAGACACAATGCGCATCTTCGCCTGTGAACCGCGGATGCACGGCTCGGACTGGATCAGCTCCATCCACGTGCAGCGCTCCTGCGCACTCGACTCTGGCGGCTCCGTCGCGTTACGTTCCTCCATCCACTTCCTCCACAAGTTCTGCTCCTCCGTGTACATCTCCGATACACAAATGTCGAGCGCGGCCGTCCACAGCAGCGGGCCGCTCTCGCCGATCTGCTGGGACGACGAGCGGACTTGATAGGTGACTATGTTGTAGTCCATCTTGCCGAAAACGGACATGAGCTCGCGCAGTGTGGGACACTTGGCGAGGAGTTTGCGGCGCGCCGCCGACATCTCCTCGTCTGTCGGTCTGAGAATGCCTTTCAGCAGCTTTTGAGCGCGGGCGTTGCGGCGACCCATCGCCGTCGCCGGGTCACAGAGTGGATCGTTCACTGCTTGCTCTGGCAAGGTCGCAACCATCGGCACTCCAGGTGACAGCAGGTCGAAGTGGACTTCATCCTCCGCGGCGAGGGTGTCCACCAATTCGTTGAGGAGGACTGTGGCGTCCATCCAGTCTTTGCGGAATTCGCGCTGATGGTGGTCATCGTCATCGGAGTCGCTGCCGTCGTGTTGAAAGACGGATGTTGGTATGGTGGACACCGAAGAAGCTGTCTTGGCAGATGCTACCGGCAGCGGCGCTTCCCTCGTGCGGCCCGTCGGCGCCTCCGCAACGGCCACGACCGGCGATGCCTGCACCGGTGACCGTTGCGACTGCTGCGGCGGTGGCGGTGATGACGCGCTCTGCACGGCGTCCTCGCCAACCTTCTTCAGCTTGACCCACGAGAGCTGCGCCCGCGCGCGTCGCTCCACCTCGCTGGCAACCTGCATCCACGTCAACACCTCCGCGCTAGCCGGCTTGGCGAGCGGGTCGACGGTGGAGGTGGCGGCATCCTCACCGTACACGTACGCATGGCAGTCCTCCAGCGCCGTCAGCCGCGACTCGCGCGCGTCGGCCACCACCTTCAACGTCATCGGTGAGAGGGCGGTGGCCTGCAGTCGCCGCGCCAACTCCGCCTGCGCCTCCACCGTCGCGCACATGAGCTGCAGAATGGCGCCGTACGCACTGCGCAGCGTCGCCGCTTCGGATTGCCCCCTCGCCGCCGCTCCGTCTCCTTCCTCAGCTTCCTCTTCGTCGTCATCATCGGACGGAGAAGGCGACCGCAGCACCGGACGATGATAGGGCCCCCCACACGCCCGAAAGCTGCTTTCGAAGTCGGCGTTGAAGAGACGCCGTGTGTGCTTCTCAAATTTCCGCACGTTCTCCGCGGTGGCCTTGACCACCTCGTAAACGGTTTCCTGTAAGCCCGAGACGGACGAGATGGTGGTAACGCTGAGCTCCATGGCAAACCGCAGGGGGGGGGGGGGAAAGGACAAATAGAGAGAAGGACCCTTCACAGGCCCCCTTTTCTTAATGGTCAGATCTCCCAACCAGCAGCAGTGGCTGAGATCTTTTGGATAGTGGACCCTGCAGCTGGTGTGTGTGTGTGCAGAGACCAGGTTGCGCCGAGAATTGGCGCAGACAAGGCGCCTGTGGATACGAAACAGCGACACCAGCAGTAGTAAAAAGAAAAAGAAAAAGCTTAAGAAAGCGGAGCGGAAAACGAGATTGTATATCTACATATATCTATATATCTAAATATATCTATATATACACTCCCGTTCTCCGTTACCCTCTCTTTTCTTCTTCTGCCTTTTTACTATCTCCACTCTCACTGCAGCGGAAGTGTCGGCAACCTGAGGAGACGCTAAACCCTTTCCTATACGAGAACAAAGAGCGGGGAGGGGAAAAAAAACTTTACACCGGGACGTCTGCGAATGCGCTTCTTCGACTTTCGCTTTCTTGCACTTGAGGAAGGAAAACTCAAAGAGCGGCGAGTACACTCCGGTGCCTTAACTTTTCGCTTTACTCTTCCAAGTAAACAGAGAGGTCGATAGGTCGACAGGTCGAGAGAGTGAGAGAGAGAGAGTGAACAACTATTTTTTTTTCTTTGGTGCAATAGCGGCAGACAAAATCGGAACTACGCGACGCCCGGATCAAACCGTGAAAAGAAGAGTGAAAGCAGCTAAGCGACGTTTCTGCCCTTTCCGCGTTGCTTCGGAAGGAATGAAAGAGAGAAGAGAGCGTTGCTCGAAGGTCACCTAGAGGTGGGACGAGATGTAAAGCTGTGTAGCCCTACGTGGGTTTTACCCCCTCGCCTTTTTCCTTTCTTGCAATATTGCGTGCTCCGTTTCCCAGTTCGTACGTGTGCGCGCGCAGGTGACACCCGCCTCGCTTCTTTCATTTTCATTTTCCCCGTTCATTCTGCGGATATGGCATTTGCCAAAGAAGAAGGAAAAAAAAGTTTATGTGAGAAAAGGCGACAATATGAACACCTACACGCCCGTCACGCATCAGCAACTCCAAAGCAGCACTCACCCAATACACGGAATGAACGGTGCGCTTATACTTAAAACTAACAGCATCCTGATGACGGAGCGCCGCGTACAGAACACACACAGGCCAAGGAAAGAGCGACACGCAAAGACACTTTCAAATAGCAGCGGAAAATACGCGCTGGAAACCACGTTAGAACTGCACCGCCGCCGCCAAGAAAAAAAAAGTGAAATAACGTTTTGCAGAAGAGACAAATCGAGCAGCAACGCGCACAGCCGAAAAGTCGGCTCGTCGATTTGGCAACTCATCTTCTTTTCCCTTTTCCTTCTGCCTCGTCCTTTCAACGCCTTCTCTCTCTCTCCCCCCTCCCCACACACCACCATTCTATCCGCCACACGCATCAATTGTTCTCTGATGGCGGCTCCCGGTAGCTGGGCTGCGCGGCAACAGCGGCGTACAGCGGCGACTCATACAAGTTCTCCAGCGCCATCACGGATGCTCGGTGCAGCGCCGCAGAGGCGGAGGTGGTGGACACGCCGTAGCCCACCAGTTGCATGTCCCCGGGTCGCACCACGCGGCCGCGCTGCAGGTAGAGACGGTACTGGAAACCGTGAGTGGTGTCGTATGTCTGCTGCACGCGAATGAAGCGCTCGCGACTCGGGTAGGTCTCCCTGGTGCACCGCACCAACAGTTGGAAGGGCGGCAGAGGCCTCGTGCTCTTCCTGCGCGCCAGCTGCGCCAGCAAGTCTTGGCAGATGGACGGAGGGAGTTGCTCCACGATGTTCTCGGTCAAGATATCCGCGGCAATAGCAGCGGCCGCGACGTCGTGCTTGATAGCGTACTGCAGAACTCGTGGGAAGTTGTGCCGTGCTGCGGCGATGAGGGCGTCGGAGATGCACTTGCGCTTGTTGGAGGCGACCGCCCGTGCGATAGGCAGCATGCCCAGGCGAGGCAGCACGGCCGTGCCAAACCAGTACTCTCCCACCTGCGTGGTCACCACCGTGATGCTGGCGTCGACGGTGGAGAGAATCAAGTCATCGACGCCGCCCACCGCCGTTGTGGCCGCCGCTGAGCTGCCCCTACTCGGAGCAGCGGCAGCAGTAGCAGGACTGCCGCGGGTGGTGGGTGGAATGGCGCGGAGAGTCGGTGCGGTTGCCTCGCCCAAGGCGGCACTGCCAAAAAACCGATCGAACAACGCCACGGGCAGTACCCGCGAGGAGGTGACGGCCGGGAGGGGGTGCGTCTCGTACTCGGTCCACAGCGTCTCCGCATCGCCCCCAGCAAGATGGAAGGAGGCGGACTTCAATGCCGTCACGAGTACCGGCACCGCCTGCGCGTCGGCCGCGGTGGTGGCGCTGTCGGAGTCGAAGTCGGCGATGAGGACATCGCCGCGGTTGCCCAGCACTCGGGCCGTGTAGGCGATGCGTGGGGATCGTAAAATACTGACCGGGTCCTGTGTGTTCAGCAGCAGCGTGTCGCCTTCCACGTAGCGCATGTCCAGCAGTCCGTGCGGGTCGGCGAGCGCGGAAGCCGCCGTCGTCAGCCCGCCTCCCTCCACACTTGTCTCTTCCGCCGCCCCCTTCACCCGTGCCTCGAGGGTGAAGCGCACCGGCGCACTCGCCGGGTGCCGGCCGTCGATGAGCGCCAGCACGTGGCTCACCATGGAGGAGTTGATGGTCGCGTTGGGGGTGTAGAACTTGTTCACCCGCGGCCCATCCTCCGTCTCGGGGTCGATGATGTCGCTGCGCTTCAACGACTTATACGTCGCCAACTCGTTCGGGAAGTACTGCTTTCCTAGGCGGTAGATGAGCGAGCGGCGCGCGGCTTGCATTTGTGGAAAGGAGGCCGAGACGGCCACGACGCGGCGACCCTCCTCGCCTTCCACCTGCGCCTCTAACTCGGCGGTCCATTGCGGGAGACCGAGGCTGTTGGCGAGGTTGCGCAGCCGCACCCGAGGCTGCCGCCAGCCCAGGTCCTCCTCCGCAAAGGCCAGCATCATTACGGACAGGTTCACAAAGTATGGAATGCGCTTCTCACGCGGTAAAGCACGCAGGTGGGCGCTGCGCGCCATGTCGTCCGCCGAGAGGTCCAACTCCGGGTAGCGGTCTAAAATGGCGGTGTACTGCCGAGGGAAGTTCTCCTTTATCGCATCCAGGCAGGCGAAGCGCCACGACTCTCCCTTCCTCTTGGATCGCCGCTGAATCAATGGTTGGTTCGTAACGCGTCCGTCGTTCACCGTCAGGGTGGCCACGTACTCGCTCGTCACCGTGTCGAAGTGGTAGTGCGTGATGTAGGGGCAGCCCAGCAGCTGCGACGTCAACGTGCCGAGCAGCGCGTAGCAGTTAACGTTGCCGCGGTGGTGCTGCAGCACTGGGAAGGCGTCGTGCCGGAGCACGTGCAGGTCCAATACTCTGGCGCTGGGAAACAGCAAACACTCGCCTACACCGCGGCCCATGCAGGGGAGGGTAGAGAGGCAGTCCGCGTACTGGTCGAGCAGGTGGTAGAGCGCCTGCACGTAGGTGTCGAACTCGACTCGGTAGCGACCGCCCCCGCTTGTCTGCCACACCAAGACGTTGCGTTCTGAGTAGAGGGAGCCGATGAAGCGGGGCGGGACCGGCGGGACGACCACGCCGCTGATGACGCCACTTGGCGAAGGTCCGAGGCTGTCCGACACGGCCGGGTCGACGGCACCGCTGCCGCCGCCATCTGTCTCCACACGGTCGTTGTGTTGATGTTCAGATGCGTGCTGTGAGGTGTCGCCCGTGAGCTGAATCCACGCCACCTCCTCCGGCGCCTGACCCGTCTCGCGGCAGATGTGGTCGAGCAGAAGGTCAAACTGCCACCGCAGTCGCCACAGCAGCGGGGGCGTCGGCAGGCCTGCGGAGAGGAGATGCGTCTCGCTGTCCCAGAGCGTCTCCGCCCGCAGCGCCAGCGACGCAGCGGCCTCGTAGGCCACATACGGCGAGGCTTTTTGACGTGCCGTGTAGGACGTGGTATTGCCGCGTGCATCCGTCACGTCCACATGCGCGCGATACGTCGGCAACTCCGTCAAGCTCGAAAGAGCAGGGGAAGCCGCGGACGTGGGCACTGCGGATGAAAAAAGAGATGGGCTCGTTGGCTCTGCAATGCAGGTGGTGGTGACCGTTTTGTGCTGCGACTGCACCATCCCCTTAACTTCCCGTATGCCTTCCTCGAGGACGGCGGGCGACTCTAGCTCCTCCTTGTACTGTTGACGTAGCTGGGTGATGCACCGCACGAGGGCGTCGTTGGGTGAGCTGCCGGCCATCTCAAAGACGAGGCGCGCTTGCGCCAAGGTGCTCCACTCATCCTTCACGTAGCACCGGCACCGCCACTGCTTATCTTCAATGATCGCGTCCTCTCGCCGCCCTTCCTCGTTCCCCATTTCCGTTTCGCATCCTTCCTCCCCTCCCCTTGCTGCACTTGTAGTTTCCGTGGCTGCTCTCCGTTGCCGCCTAGCAAAGGGCGGTTTGACGGAGAACTTCACACCACGGCTAAAGTGAGCGCACAGCTGCCGCAAGTCGTCCACGATGGCTTTCAGCTCCAGCTGGTGTGGCGTCAGCCGTGATGCGTGCGATGGGGACATCGCGTGCGCGTTCCTCTGCGTGAACCCGGTGGTACTAGCGTTGTGGTTGTGGTGTTTGTGTTTTCGTTTTGCGTTTGTCTGGTGACGTCGGTCGCGTGAAACGGCGGCGGCGTCCTCTGCACCACCACCACCCCCTCCTCGAATGCTACGGTTGTTGAAGTCGTGCCCACCCGGTCGGATAAACGTGATATCACTGGCGAGTGCCTGCTGCAGGCAGGATTCGATGGTTTCCTTCGCACGAGGGCCCTTGGCAACCGCCAGCTCCACCGCGAAACCGAGAAAGCGAAAGGTGGCGGAGGCGCGGTAGTACACTCCGCGGGTGGGGGTTGCGACTCTAACCACGGCCGACGCCGCCGCTGCGTCGATGGCGCCTTCGTGCTGCCCCACTTCGGCGTCTTTGGCCTCCTGCGCGGCCTGTCCTTGATGCTGCGTGAGACGGTGAAGAACAAGTTTGGCTTGCGGACCGTACACCTCGCGCAGCACCGCTTCCGCGCTCTCAACGTGACGCTCCGGGTCGTAGGAGAGGCGGTCGCTCGCCTCCGCCGCATCGGTGCGTTGCGCGGCAGCCGCGTCGTGCGTCAACGCACCGGTAAGATGCAGCGGGGTCGAGTGAAGGGCCCGCGCTGCTATCAAGATATTCTGCTGTAAACACAAGGACGGAGAGGCATTATTTAGCAGGGCAGCGGCAGATGTCGGCCGCAGCGATGCGCAAAGACTGCGCCTTACAAATCCACCGCCGCCCCGACACGAAGCGGTACGTGCGTAGAAGCCTACCGGCTTATTGGCCCAAGGCTCCACCAAGTACGTGCCTTTCAAGCAGCAATAAGGGGAAAAGAGCCGCCAAAAAGCCGCGGCGCTGCACGACCACCGACTTAAAAGCCTTGGGCTTCCGTGGTATGCGGGGACGAATGCAACGCTGCCGAATTCGACAGCAGTCGTGGAAGCCACAAGGTCGGCCGACGTAGACAGCCACTGGGAGCGGCACGGTGTGGCAGCGGGGCCGTGAGCCAAGAGACGACGTCCGTGCATGCTGTGGATTATATTGTGTGAAAATTGTTTTCCGAGTAAAGAAAAAAAGGAAACCAAAACTTGGTTCAACGGAATACCTTTTACGCATACACCGCCGTAAACAACAACAACAGAAAAAGAATATGTGTGCTTTGCTCTTCCATTTGCAGATATACACAGAACAGCAGTGAAAAGAAGAAGGGAAGAAAGGGAGAGAGAGAGAGAGATAATGAAGGGCCAAGCGAAGAGGGAGTCGGTGTTTCAGCCTGCGGTATTGGATCGGCTAGTTTAAGTAACACCTGAGAAGACAACGTGATGAGCTGTGGCATTCTACTACCACGATGAAGAAGAGAGACGTACATGTATAAGAAATTAGCAGGTGCGTATAAACTACGTGTCTGTGTGTGTGTGTGTGTGTGTGTGTGTGTGTGTGTGTGTGTGTGTCTGTGTGGCAGTTCTGTAACGGTCGTCACCGAGAGAAAGGTCTCGCCGTCATTGTTGCTTCAACGGATGCATATATATATAAATTTAAAGCGAATCAACAGACTCAGCTAATAAGACGCGTTATTGACCTCAACCACCACCGCCAGCGTGTCTGCGGAAGTAAAAAGCCACGCTTGCTCCGTCAGAATGCCCGGCAACGTCGGGACGCGATCCATTGAAGAGTTTGCATCAACCTCAACGACAGTGAAACACCCTCCGATTCGTAGGTAAAAGAGTAACACACCCCGCAACATCCACACAACCGAGATGGGCGAGATATCACAACACTGAATTCGTCAAATCAAATAAAAAAAAAAACTCCAACAACACCAACAACAACAGAAAATACAATAACCCCCAACAGCAATGAAAGAAAGGAAAAGAAGGAGAAAAAAAACGTGTCGATTGGAGCAAAATTGAGCTTTATGGATGAACTTCGTTCATCGATTTGATCAACAAGAAGAAAGGAAACGAGTGCGAAAAGAAATACAAAAGGAGAAAGGCGCATCAGCGCAAAAACAAGTTCATCGTTATGTATATATATATATATATATATATATATATATTACTTTCTTG